ACTAAGATGTATTTTTAGATGTGCATTCGGTTTACCTCAACATCTCTCTGCATGATCCTACGTCTCATTACAGAGATAGCCTCTTCTGAATAAGGTTCGCCACGGCCAGGACATCTGACACCAGAGAATGAAAAGGCAATGCTGCATGTTATCTTTGGGATATAAAGCTTAAACCGATGTCCGCTGAGGACATATTCCACAACAGCGGGTATTCTCCTGATTCTTTGCAAGGATGGCAGGAAATCTTTAGCTTTCTTAGCTGCCGCCTGAGAAAAATATATGCTTACCAATTAGATTACTGAAAAAAGACTAGTGAGGAAAATGCGTTTCTTATGTACATATAGATATATATACTAACCACAGTTAGGTCTGTGATGTGCATGGCTGGAGATTCTTTTGCAGAATGGATTCCTTTCTTTCCAGACAGAGCACGAGCTTCAGCAGCCAGAAGAGCATCATAATGGTTTGATCGCTCTTCAAAATCTCTATGTCTAACCACATTTCCAAAACCACGGGCAAGAACAAGCTCAGCAATATTCACACCAACTGGCTGACTGCCATTAACTGCTGCAGCAGATGATGCAGCCACTTCATCAGAATCGCCTTTGGCAGGAGATGGAAGGAACACAGAGCCAAAATCCATGAACCTATCAGCAGCTCCAGATGTGGTAGGACCATCTGCTTGGGTGACTTTCCTTGAGTATTCCATTTGAACAATAACCTGTTGCAGGAAAAGGGAAATCAAATCTTGTTCAAATGTGCGCAGAGAGGCAATGATTAGAGAAAGGCCCAACAGAATACCTGTTTGCCAATAAGCCGTTGTCTCAGAAATTCTCTTGCTTCCCGAGCATAAGGAGCTGGTTTCTCTTCTCGGCGTGGGTTGCCCATTTTGGGAGATCTGATACTCGAAAGACAGACCCGTCTCTCTGCCGCTGGACTCCCAAATGGAACAGCATCATCGGCAACTATAAGACAATCCCCACTCACCACTTCCACTACCTAAAGAGAGATAAAACCAATAACTCAATAACCAGAGGAGAAGGACAGTATTTCAAAAAGAATTTGGCCAGGACATGTTACCTTTCCCGTAAAGTTCTGGTCATGAATTGCCTTAGAGTTTGTAGCTGGAGGAACGTAATTTCCCCACATTTTAACCCTATCTTTCTTGCATTGAAGTTCTGCAGCTTTCAACTTTCTCTTAGCTTCATCCTCCATCATGTTAGCACTCCATTCAACAAATTTTGCAAGACCCTAAGAAAATATATTAGCAGCCAAGGACATTAACTTTGTTTCAATAACATCGAAGATCAAATATTCAGTAATTTTAATATCAGAGATCCAAAACTGACCAGTAGAATTACAAACTATAACATTATGTGTCAACCAAATTTCTCTAAGTAAAAAACTATAACATTGTGTCAACGAAATTTCTCTAAGTAACAATATGAGAAATATAGAGAAGAATATTATATCTAACAACAAAGGTAGTTTCTACCACTAGTAGAGCAAAAACATTTTCAGTCCATTAGCTTAATATGCAATTTATGTTGAAAGCAAAATAACTGCTTAGTGTAAGCACATACATTTTCAACGAGCTCCAAACCTAAGTCTTTAACTGTTTCCCCATCAGAATAATGAACTGAACCAATCAGATTGTTGAATTTGTCAACGCCTTCAAGAATAATGCGAACCTGCAATATCCAGCACAAATTGAGATCATACTAATGCCAAATACAGATAAACAGGAGAGAAGTTGTTGAGAAAAACACTTACATCTCTACTAAGAACACGGTGCTCGGTAAAGTACTTGGCTTCAGTTGCAAATGGATCAGAGGAAACCTCAGACGATGCTGCAGAGGCAGCAAGTCTCTGAGCTGACGTTAGAGGACCTCGTGACTCAGCAGAAACATCTCCATTCGGCTCATCTGGAACTGTCTCAACAACACTTCCATTTGTGGTTCGCCTTCCCATTGATGGAGCCTACAATGAAAGAGAAAAATTGTTGACTGTTCCAAAGTGATAGGTTAAAATGCCAATCTTTCACGTAGAAAGATCAGGGAAACAAGTTTAGTTACCTGAACTCCCGCAACAAATACTTGCACAAACTGGAACTCTGGAAGAAGATAAACCCGAATAGTACTTCCATCACGCACTTGCTCCACAATACCTTCCATAGGCTTGCCCTTGTTTGCAGCTAAAAGGCCCATGGCATCAAAGCCAGCAGAATCCCCAATGGCAGAAGGAGGAAGGTTTCTGATAGATGCCTCAGCAGCACCAGGAACCTGGAGTCAGGTAGCATCCATCATCAGTTCAATAGGAGAGTAAAGAATTAGGAGAATAAAGTAAGGAAGATAAGACCAACCTTGCTCCAACGACCATATCCTTCCTGCTTGGCCTGCTCTTCGAGCTGTAGCAACTCTTGAATATAAGGACTAACCTTGTCCTGATTCTGCTGACCTGGCTCCCTAACCTGTCATGTCAGAAAGCTAAGAAACCACACACCATAATTCAGACAACACCATCTACAGTGAAAGAAAAAGCTTATCACCTTTGCCCAACCATTTTTAACAACAAGCTTAGCAAGATTTTCATTGCCAAGGAAAACAGAGCCAAATTCTCTTCCAGCAATAGCTTCCACTTTGTAATCAACTTTGAATGCAACCTCCTGTCAAATAAAATAAAAACACATACTTAAGATGAGAAAATATAGTCACTCACAAGACCTAATGTATAACTAAGTCAAGAAATTTGACTTTGCACCTTTCCTATGCAAAGTTTCCTCAAAAATTCCTTGCTTTCCCATGCAAAAGGCTCATCTATACCTCCTCTGCGGGCCTAAACAGAGGAAAATAAAACAACATGACAGTTAATTCCAACAACAAATAATGTAATCTGCGGTTTAGGGACTTAATAAGCAGAATGAAAAAAAATTCAATATCAAAAAGAATTTTTTATCCTCAATGAAAGCTTTTGTGTCAAACATTATCAAAGGTTAGATTAAACTCACCATCTTAGGTGCCATAAGAGAAGATAAAGTAATGGTCTTTTCCGGTGGAGGTCCAGCTCTGTTGTGGCTCAAAGCCGTGATCACTAAGCAGTCTCCGGAGGTAACAGCCTTCACTCTTCCTTTAAGCCATTGGTTCTCAGTCGTTGTTGCCATGTTCACTGGCTAAGACCTTATACCAAAGACATTTCCAACAAAAAAAATCAGATTAAAACATTTCAAAAGAATCATCATTTGGCCGCATCGTTTATTGCATTAAACCATAGTGCATTGGTAAAAACTATATGATCAAACTTTAATTTGCTCCGATCAGATAATCGAAACTACGAACATGCATCGATACAAAATTTATCACAAAAATGTACATTCGTCTCGATCTGCACTATCAAGTTCGATCGATAAACTATAACGCTAATCTGATCGGAATTGATCGGAAAATATCAAATTGAATCAATGAATGGATAGATCTACAAGAATTCTTCGATAATTCCGACGAACATACCTTGTTTAAACCAAATGAGATATAAAACTAGATCTGGAGAAGAGTCTCTCTTGTTCCCTCTATGTGATTGAATTACAAAAGAGAAGAAGAAGAAGAGAGAAGCTCAAAGTTTGGGCAAAAAGAGTTTAACGGCGGATCTCGAGATGGGAAGAGAGCTCAGGGGATTTGTGCAGAGGAGCTAAAAGAAAGAAATCAATATAATAAATACAGAGGAAAGAGGGAAGATGACTAGTATTTGTCTAATTTACCCTCGCTATTTCGAATAAATTACGGGTAGGTGCCATTTTGTTAGATTTTGTTTTTTACGGAAAAGAGTTGGTTTTAAGGTCGTACCGAGGAAAGTGAATATCCCACTTGTCTATTTCACTTTACAAATTAAGAAAAATCAACCCTAAAAGCCTACTTACCAAATTTTGCATACCTAGTCCTTGTGATTATTTTTCTTTTATAACTAGACAGACATTATAGGTAAGTAAACAGTGTCATATTGGATTCAGATTACACAAAAAAAAAAACATTTTGGCTTGACTTCTTTATAAAGAATAAGATAGAAGATATCAAAAAGCCACTTAGCTATTCAAGCTAATCCATTGATTAGTATTTTTTGTTACGGGTTTGTTATTAGTGTACTAGTTTATCCGGTTTGATCACATTTCCCCTATTCGGTTGGCTAACGATTGGATAAATACTTAAAACAGATTATTCTTTTGTGGTCAAATATTTCTTCCGATTCTCTCCATTTATGGTTTACAGTTTACTTTTGAATTCGTATTTTTTTTCTCTAATTATATTTTTGTTATTAAGTGTTGCTTTTGAAGGTTACATTTAAGGACAATTAATCTGTAAGACCAAGGAGCTAAATTGCATATGATAATAAATAAGAGCAAAATTTGTAAAACCCCGAAATAATGATCAAGTCAACTTTTTCTTTGGGGTTAAAAAAATGGAAAACTACAAAATGTATCAAGTCAACTTGCATCGTTGAAATATCATTATTTATTGGTAATAAAGAATGGGATCTGCCGAAAATGTTTTCATGGACTCTAAAAGATTTTTGGTACTAAACTTTTTCAGATTAAGGTAAATCATTCTAAAGGATAAATATACGTTTGATCTATTGTTTTCAGGTTTGGATTATGCACCCTAATATTTTGTTTTCCGACGAAAAAAGCTTTTATTACAGAGAGTAGAAGTTGACATCGAAATTAGAACGCGAAGGTCGCTAAGTCAATGGTAGTACAATAAATTCCCACCAACAAAACTCGCCGAACACACAATTTATTTAATTAAAATTCTGTACCCACGCAATTCCCATTTCCACTTCTAGTAAAGCAAAAAATGCAAATTTCAAACACATACACGACAGCGACATAAAAAACGAATAAAAAACACGTGTATATTTCCACTTTTTATATCAGCTCTAGCTAGTTCCAAATTTCCAATCACCGTCAGTCACGTTCGATATGGAAACAAAACCCTTTCACGGATCAATCATTAGACAAAATCCCAATGTATTAATTTATAGCCACCGCGAAGCATGATCGCCAAAAATGGTCCCAACCATATGTTCATTTCATAACAATGACTTGATAACTCATTGAGACAGAACAATATGTTACTATAACATAACTTCTTTCTAAACAAAACACACAACATTGGTTTGACTATTTCCTAATGTAACAAAAACGATTGGAAAAAACTCAAATGTGTAACCTACGGGGAGGGATTAAAGCCCGAGGCGGATTCGGTATCGAGTCATCAGGTCCAAGATCATCAATAGGCGGTCGCTTTCTATGTGCATCGGTAACCGATTGGTACGCCATACCCAATGCCAAAGCCTACCATACAATTCTCCTTAATTTCAGTTCATTGAGTTGAGCGACATATAAGATATATTCATATATTCGATTGGATGTGCTTACAATGTGATCATGTTCTGGAGGGGCATAAATTCCGGCATTGATCGTTGTCCTTCTCCGGCAACTGTTGGTTGGTGGATCCGATATGTTCTTGAAACCTGTCGGAATCACTAGAACTGGTAAACCGACTAGGTTTCCCATACAGACTTTCTCCCAATCGGTCACATTTCCAATAAACGCATCGACCGTAAAGCTCTTCTCCACTTCTCGAATCAACTTACCACGAGCTCTCTGGGCCTAAACCGGTCAATGCGAGAGATAAATTAACCGGACATAACTATCACAAAACCAACCCATAAACCAATATGACAAGTTGAAATGGACAAAAACCTGAATGTAATCTACTGCTGTAACTACACGAGCACGGCGTAACTCAACCGGCCATTGATCATGAGCTTCAAAGAGATCGTCTTGACCGGCTCTTTGCCATTCATCAAAATGAGCTAACATTTCTACATCCATTGTGAAATTCAATATCCCTTGAACCGATTCCACTGTATAATTTAGCTCAAAAGGAACCATATTGACACCTTTCAACCTAAGAACTTCCACCACCTGAAGAAGTGAAACATCGAATCAACACAAACCAGTTCATTATTGTGATCGCAAACAGTATTTAACAATTTTCTTTACCTTCATGTCAGCATCTTTTGTATATCCAACTGTTAGTTTTGTGATATCCACGGAGAAGGGATCTTCAAACGCTATCTCTCTAGATGAGAGATCATCGGGATCTTTCCCTTTGATAGCGTCAAGGATTACAGCGCAATCCGCTGCTGTTCTACAGAATGGTCCAAGCTTATCCTGTAATAAGAGGAGTTGGAACTTAGAAGTTATATATTCTGAAATTTTCACTCGATTTTATAGCACATTAAGACCACTGATATTTTCACCATACCAGGCTCTCGGATATGCTCATCACTCCGGTTCTACCAACGCTCCCAAATGTCGGACGCAATGCTGTCACGCCACACCGCGCTGCAGGGTATGTTATTGAGCCTGCTGTCTCCGAGCCTATAGCAAAAGGAACCATACCTGAACAAAAAATTTACCCAAAAAGAGGAAAAGGAACTGTTTATATTTTTCAGCTATAGCCAACTGAAACGTAATCTTGATTCATTTTTTGATAATAACTAACCAGCCGATGTTGATGCAGCGGGTCCAGCTGATGACCCGGTAGAGAATTCCTCGATATTCCACGGGTTCCTAGTCCGTCCCCCGAACCAGATATCATCATAAGCCATAGAACCCGCAACGAGCTTTGCTACTAAAACTGCACCTGAAGCTTTTAATCTAGACAAACAAAAAGACCAAGTGTCCAATGGACATTGTAACTTCAATAGAACAAAAAGGAAAATCAATGAACATGGTGAAATTGTTTCTTCGGGACCTTTTGTAAACCCATGCTTCAATATCAAGAACTTGGTCTTTAAAAGAAGTTGAACCCCATGTTGTTCTGTATCGGGGAACCGCAATTGTATCCTTTAAACCATATGGAATCCCGTGAAGAGGTCCTATCACGCACAAAAAAATCATATCAGAAAGTTGAAACACCAATTTGTCACCCATCCATCAAACAGATTATATGGCATTAGAGAAAGATACCGAGATAAGTTCCTTGCGAGAGTAAATCATCAGCTTCTTTCGCTTGTTTGTATGCCAACTCTGCTGTATAAGTAACTACCGCTTCAAGAACATGATTGTACCTTTTTTTTTCAAGAAATCCCCATTAACAACATCAGATCAAGTAAAATTCCTGCAAACATTCAGTGAAAATAGAAGCTCCCTTACCGTTTTAACTGCTTGAGATAAATCCGAACGAGTTCCTCTGAAGTAACTTGTCTCGTCTTTATAAGTTCTCCGAGTTCAAGAACCTGCCATAATGCATTCTCTAGTCAGACAAATCGACCCATCTATCGAAATAACAACCATAAAAAGAAAAGGGTGATGACTTACGCTCATGAATGCGATATCTTCTTCATCTCTAGGGAGTTTTACTCCGGATGCTGAAGGGTATTTGAATCTCTTGCCTTGTACTCGTCGAACTTCTCTGTTCCAAGACGGATTAAACACCAGCGGGGATGGATTTTCCAACCCACCATTCTTAGTAGCGACTAGTTTCCGGTTGGCTCGATATATAGGAATATTCATTTCAGTAGCTCCCTTTGCAATCTCCTGTATCTATATATACCAACACAAACATTAATAAAACTCCATTATCATAACTGATAAGTAAAACATACACTTTCTTACTCAAAGTATGATCTAAACCAAATTTGCTTTCTAAATGAACAAATCTAAATCAATTCAAACCAATCAGGCTAAAACTTGGAAAGCTGATTCCTTGAATCATTACAGAACATAAACAGACTGTAAGAGAATCAAAAGACTTACTTTAGTTTCATTGAAGAATCCAGAATCAATCAACTCAAACATGCTCTGGAGACACTTAGCTTCCATAGTCTTATCTGGTAGTTCAGTTAGAGTGATGTTACTGTAGCAGAGAAGCTTCGAGTCAGAAGGATTTGCGTCGGTACAAAAGACCGTTAAACCTAGGAGGAGGCAGAGGAATAGAAGCGACGCACAAGTACGGCTACGAGGTAGCGAGCCACGCGTCGCTAAACAAGGTCGTGCGCTTGGATCACACGTGGCGATTGATGGTCTCACCATCGTCTCGGCTAGTGATTCGGGATTGATAACGGTGACGGTGAATCGCTCTTTTTGTACTTTTGGGCTAGGTCGCATGGAATCAGAAGCGGGTACGCGGAAGCGAAGCGTTTGGAAACGTGGAAACGATTTTTATAGAAATTATAGAAAGTGGGTACGTGTTGGAAGCGTATATAAAAATTAATATATATATATATATAATAAACATTAAACATTATATCATATAAAAAATTATAATTAACATATAAATCTAATACATAAATTCTAAATATCTCTCTATAATTAAAAATTAAATAGTGTACGCTTACAATCTATATATATAATGGGAGAGTTTCTCTCCTCTTAAGGTGTCCACATCATCACCAAATTAATATTATGGATCCTAATAATTAATAATTATTTCAAATATTTAATTTCATGTTTAATTACATCTAATTATCAAAGAAGTAATCATCAATTAATGCATAGTTTTAAATAAAGGTTATTTGAATAATAATAACACAAGTGTAACATATTTACATATAAAACACTTACATTAATTTTTTGTTAATATATAACTTAAAATGAACATAATCCCTAAATATTTAATTAAGAAATAAAAAATAATTATGAAAATTTCATAGAAATACCAATGTTATTGAAGATGGACAAAAGGCATCTTAATGAAATTTATTATACAATTACAAACAAATAATGACTTATTAAAAATAAAAAACGTTTAAAAACTATCACTTTTAAGAATAATAAGGAAACTTCAAATATAATTTAGGATGAAAACAAATTGAACTGAAATGGAAGGCTATAAGAGTTTTTTTCTTAATAATAAGAAGATATTCATATTTCATGGAAACATTAAATTAAAGAGATAATAATGAAGTGGAAGAAATTTATTTAAAATAATATTATTCTTAGATTAAAAATAAATGGTTAAATGTTATAGTAAATGTATGATTATAAAAGTTTTTTAAGATATAAGAAATAATTAATATTTAAAATTGAAAATTATATTTCAAGAGAGTAATAGTATAAATTCACATTGACGAAAAAATATAAATATTAATTGTATCTTAATATTAAATTATAGTAAAATATAACAATAAAATAATACAATTATATCTATATTATTGTTTGTTTTCTAAATAAAAAAATGAATATGTTTAAATATAGGTAAAAATCTTAATAAGTACTGTTGAGAAAATTTTAACAAATATATATCTTTCGTAAAATTATATTACGTTGAAGCATGAAAACCATATAATTAATAAAAGAAAATAAACTAAAAAGATGAAAATGAGGAAATAGTTTTCAGTTAAGAATCAATTTAATGTTTTATTAAAGTGAGCATAGAAGATAAAAAAGAGTAGATGTTGGGAAGCGAACAAGTGCATCATAGAAGATGACGAAAAATATTTGAAGAGAAATTGAGTAATGCTTGAAGCATTGGATATATGTATGTACATGATAAACGATATTCATCCGATCTATGTATGCATTAGCGGATAGTTTGATTTAGTAAACCAGACTATCATATTCAATATCGGGTTAAATCGTCGAGCTATGTAAGCGTAGTAGGATAGATAAGATTAAGACATTCATGATTTTGTCAAAACTTTCCTTAAGGTATGATGGTCTTGCTTCAATAGGTAAATAATGCTCTCCAAACCTATTGAAGCGGCATGAATATTACGTTTAAATATTTTCATAAATTGATGTTCAAACTCAGCAAATTTTCTTTTAGTATGAGGTACGAATAGGTCAAAACATCAAGACAATTATACTTACAAGATTTGTTTATGGAAATAACTCTCTTTTTGAAAAAAAAAAAAAAATTCATTGATGACTACCAAGACCAATTCATCTTATATAACTTTTGTTATTACGCGGTACCTACTAAATATATTTTATAATATCTATGTTGTATATTGTTTTGTAAAACAAGTATGAATGTATATAGTTTTTAAAATTCAAATGATTATGATTATTCTTAACATTTTGTATTATACCCAGTTGAAATTTGATATCCCGCGCAACGCGCGGGCGAGTAAATCTAGTAGAGAAAAGTTAAATAGTTCAAAGTCAAAAATTTAAGATCATTCTTCATTCTCATTTTACTAATTCCATCAAATAAAATTGTTTAAAATTTTTTTTTACCAATAAAAACATCATCAAACTCAAATTTCTCGAAATTAATTTAATTCAATTAATCATTTCAACATCTCCCCAATAAATGATCCATGCTGCTATCATTTTTCTAACTATGATATTTTAAAAAATAAAATAAAAAATTAGTATGCAAAATTAGTTTTGGTTTTTCTTTTGTTGTATAAAAAAACTATCAAAAATAATTTCTTATTTCTTATTTATTTTGTGACATCAAATTTTTTAAATGGAATCGCAACGGACGCAACCTTCCAAAATAGAATCGTAAGCTTTCAAGGAGCTTCCAAAATAAATTTTTTAGAAGCGTTATGGAAGCGAGATTTCGAAAGCTTCCGAGAGCTTCCGATTCCGACTAAGATTCCGAAGCGGGAAGCGGACGTCCAACGAAGCTTCCGTGCTTCTAAGCTTTTGGGTGAGGAGATAAAAAAGAATCAGACGGCCGTTGACTTTGACGCTGCTCCGGTGAGGAACTCAAATTGAATGATAAAATTGGAAACCGGCTAAATTGATCATAAATTACTTAATTAGACGATAAATGATTTTCCCAAAAAAAGGACAATTATTAAAATAGACCGAAAATCATAGTAAAATTAAAAAATAGACCAAATCTTATAAAAGAAAATAACTAGGTTTTTTTCAATGAAAAATCAAAAAATATTTTATCCAAAAACTATCCAAACTATCCAATAGAAATACTTTATCCGAAAACTATACATTAAAATCTACAAAATAACAGGGCAAAACCAAATCTATGAGACTACTTTTCTCAATAAATTTATCCAATAATTTTATTAAAAAAATATACATGAAAATCTATATAATATAACTCGGTGAAACTAAATCAACCTAATATCTCTGCAAAATCAGTTTTTTAACTTTACCAAACAAATACTCTCTCTGTTTCAGAATATATGATGTTTTAGAGTTTTTATTTTGTTTCAAAATATATGATGTTTTGCAACTTTCTATGCAGTTTTAAATGTATTTGATATTTTATGGTTGTTTGTATTCTGCAGTCTTTTCTCTAATTGGTTGAATTTTTAAAACCAAATATTAAATGATAGTTTTAAGAAAGCAAAATAAATTTTCTTAAAATGTGTGATTTCAAACAAAACTTCATATATTTTGAACCAGAGGAAGTATATATTAAAATCTATATTGTAAACTATCCATCAAACGACTATACATTAAAATCTAAATTACTTCACCAAACAACTATATTCTCCTAGATAACTTTTTAACAAAACTTTAGCAAAGACTTAATCTTTAAATAACTTTCCAAGAGAATTATGCACAAAACGTTATAAAGTATATGAAACTATGCACATACCTATTTTTTTGTGGAACTTTTTTTTTTTTTTTTTTTTTGTCATCTGTAATTAAATAGTGCTCAAAAGAGCCATTCTTGTGGAATGTTGTTTACATAAGTGATATGAAGCGGTTCCGTACGAATTTTTTGTGCCAGATTATCCGCTTTTGCATTTGCACAACGAGAAATTAAAGATAAAGAGAAGGTAGAGAACTCTTCCTTGTCGCTCTGAAATTCCTCCAGATACACTAAGAAGGCCGGCCATTCGGTTGGGGAAGACACCATCTTCACCAGGTCAGAACAGTCTGTAAGGAATGCTACCTCTTGATTATCTGCACCAATCATACACTTCATCGCCCAAAGGAGGGCCTCGAATTCGGCATGTAGCGGAGATAGGCTTCTACGGAGGTTGGCAGCTCTCATTGTTGATGGCTCACCGTTTGATGGTGTACAAAACCACCCTATCCCGGAAAACTTGTCGCTGTCTTTCCAGGATCCATCCACAAAATAACGGTATCCTGTAAAATCCGAATCTAAGGACACCCCCCTCGTTTGAGGCCGATTTGGAAATTCCACTGAAGCTTGAGTTTCAGTATGAAGCTCCACTTGAGCTGAGTGCCAAAATTGTGCCTCTCTTTCCGCTAACCGTAAAACCTCTAACGGATCGTTATCCACATTTTCAAACAATTTTTCATTCTGTGCTTTCCAAATATACCAAATAATCCAAGGAAAAGCTATAGAATCAAACTCCGATGGTATTCTCCAAAATAATTGATCCAAGTTTGCAAAAATAGAATCTGTGGGAAAAGTCCCCATAACCGTAGGAATCTGAGAAAGTGCCCAATATTTTTTTGTGGAACTGATAAGTCGTTTCTAAGGAGTTTAGTTTGATAAACACTTATATATACAAACCTAACAACAGAATTCATAGACACTTAATAATATTTTTCATAAATAATGTTTTTAGTAAAAAAATAATAATTTATTTTATGTAAAAAATGCATGTGATCTTTTTTTCTATAATTTTTAATTTTTTTTCATTGTCAATTATGATTGTTCATTGGCTTTTTTGTTTCAATTTTAAAAGATGACGCATGTCGTAAATAATAAACTCCAACCGTGTCCTGCAGTCTGCATCTAACTTTTATTAAATACAAATTAAATAAAAGAGAGAATAATAATTAATTTATTTTATGTATATAATTGTCCAGCTAGATTGCTTCGTTGCCTCAAAAAGAAAAGGAAAAAAACAAAAACAAAGCTTTCCATTTGTGAAGAATCGGACACCTTCTTATCGTCTTCTCCATCGTTTCTCCCTGAAGATTTGTTCTACTAGCTTTTTTGGGTATATCTTTTACTTGAATCTCTAACCATTAAAGTTCTTCCATTAGTTTTTTATTTACATCTAAGTTTCTTTGTGTTGAGTTTGATTAATGGGATCGTACTTTTCTAAAGTTCTAGCCTTTTTAAACGAAAAAAGCAACTTTTCGTGATTTTTTTTTCAATTGAATAGCTTGATTTGGAAATTTTACTATTCAGGCTGTTGTTTTCCCTTTTTATGCGTTTGTCTATTTTCTTGCTTTTCTCTTGTTCTTCAAGGCGATGAACCAGAAAAGTTTTGATTTTGATTTTGATTTTTTTTCATTTAGCTCTGATTGTTGCCAAATTTGTGAAAATGTTGTGAAAATAGGCGATAGATTCGCAGATCAATAGCTATTCCTAAGTTGTTGAGTTATATAACAGGTTCATTGATGCAGAGTTGTTCTTGTCTAAACTTGATAGTTTCAGTAATGCGGCTTTCTCAGGATCTTTTTGGCTATTATTGGCTGTGATGGACTCATTCTGATCTTTTACTGTCTCTTTGAGTACTGAACCGCAGATCTCTTGACATATTCATATTTTTGGTTTTCTGCTTGTGTTCTTTGGTTTTTAGGAGTGAATTCTATCTATCTAATTTCTCATTCTTCAGGTTCAGTTTCATAATTTATACAAGATGCAGCTCAAGGCCCCTGAACATCAGGTTGCAGGACACATTGCTAAAGACGGGAAGCCTGGTCCCCTCGTGGATGACAAGGGTCGGTTCTTCAAGCCACTTCAGGGTGATTCTCGTGGCGAAATCGAGGTAAAGTTCTACGAATCTTTCTCATCAAACACAGAGGTTCCAGAACACATCCGTAGATATTTCCCGGTGTATCACGGCACACAAGCAGTTGAAGGTTCTGATGGAGCAGCCATGATTGTGTTGGAAAATCTTCTTGCAGATTTCTCAAAACCATCAGTAATGGATGTTAAGATGGGTACAAGGACATGGTATCCTGAAGCTTCTGAAGAATACATCCAAAAATGTTTAAAGAAAGACACGGGTACCACAACCGTGTCAGCGGGTTTCAGGATCTCTGGTTTTGAAGTGTTTGATCACAAAGAATCGAGTTTCTGGAAGCCCGAGAGGAAGCTTCTTCGTGGGCTCAATGTGGATGGAGCGAGATTGACTCTGAGGAAGTTTGTATCATCTAACTCACTTTCGGACATCGGGTCAAAACCTGACTCTGCTTTTGCCTCAAGTGTTTATGGCAGTTCCCACGGGATCTTAACACAGTTGCTGGAGCTCAAGAACTGGTTCGAGAACCAAACGCTCTACCATTTCAACTCTTGTTCGATTCTAATGGTCTATGAGAACGAATCCATCTTAAAGGGAAATGATGATGATGATGCTCGACCACAAGTCAAACTGGTGGATTTTGCTCATGTTCTTGATGGTAATGGTGTCATTGACCATAACTTCTTGGGTGGTCTCTGTTCTTTCATAAACTTCATTCGTGATATTCTTCAGAGCCCAAATGAGTCTGCAGAATCTTAGATTAAGTTATTTTTGTTTGTTTGTTATGGTTTTGGCTGATTCCAATTTTTGGATATAAACTTATGTCTCCTTCATATATGTTACTTGATTACCTAAAGAGCATAATACATTCGTACTCTTTTCTCAAGAGTTTTACAATTCTAGGCATATAAAAAAGTTTCCATATTTGGTTTCTACTTTGAGTCTTTGATTGTGATTTGTGAAGAAATACTACTAGTCTACTACTACAGCTTAAATAAAAGTTAAGACCCAAAAGAGGAAATAATTCAGACTACTAGTAAATTTCGTAAATAATTAAGAGTTTGTTTGCACTTTGCAGTGAAAAATCCCAAATATTACTAGAAGTGTAGGGACTAAAATGAAATCGTCTTTCTATTAAAATCACTCTGCTCTCTCTGCGTTTCCCTTTTCAAAATTCCAGTCTCGCGCGCATCGTTGAAGAAGAAGAAGAAGAAGAACACGACGATTGACTAAGAATGGTGCTACTATGTTTCGTCTTGGATCTGCGGAATATCTCGCCTTCGCTGATTGGAGATCTCAAGCAGGTCTCTCTCTCTATTTCCATTGTCTCTAGAAATTTTTGAATCTATCTGTTGATCCAATTTGATTGTTGATTTCGTTACCGAAGCTTGAATTTGAGATTGTTGCTATGAATTTCGTCTAGATGAAGCTCGGATTTGATTGTTACTGCGAATTTTGTCTTCACGAAGCTTGAATTTGATTGTTGCTGTGAATCTCGATTTTGATTGTTGCTGCTCGATTCTGAATCTCGGATTTTTGATTGTTGCTGCGAATTTCTTCTTCGTTTATGAATATTGAATATTGATTGTTGCTGCGAATTTTGTTGTAGTCGTTTCTGAAACTCGGCAATTTACACGCAATTTCGTCTCCGGTAGATTCTCTCACTGATCGGATCGGTTTGTGTTATATCTCGAAAGATCGGATTTCTGGAAACGATCAGGTCATACTCGTCATCGATCATTGTTTCCTTTTATTTTCAGTGGTTTGTGTATGGTTTTCATGTTTTTTTACGGATCTAGCAGTTGAAATTTGCCTACACTCCTACTGGAAACTTCTGTCTTCGAGACTTCCATCACGCTATGAACAGCTTGCCTTTGGATTCGTTTGTACCTGAGATCGATGAATCGGGAGCCATATCTTGCAGAGGTCTCTCTTCCTTTCTTTATCTATCTGTTTCCTCTTAGCTTCCTGGTTAATTTCATGATCTCTAATCATATTGAATTTTTCATAGATCTTAAGCTATCAAGTGTTCTGTGTGATCGAGCTTTGTACTCGTGGGGAGGTAGAGACATTATGAGGAAAGTTATTGTGCTGAGTTCTTGCTTCCCTGAAGATATGGATTCTGAAGCTAGAAACACTCTTATGGTTAGTCAAATGTGTCAAATACTGTATTAGTTAGTGCTTTAGCTTGTTTCCTCAGTTCTGAGTCTTTTTGCTTCAGGCTGCAGCAGATAAATGTGTGTCAGTTGAGTTTCTTTTGTTTGAGAAGCAAGGAAGCTATGTGAGCTATACGCAGGAGAAGATTAATAGATTCCTCAGATGCTTATCGGATCTTGACAATTGTTCATTTCAAACCTGTATCCCTGGTAGGTTCCAAATAACTGGCTGTTTCTCATTTTTCTTTTCATACACAGTAATTAAATTTCGCATAATTTGATGACTGGCTCTTTAAAAAAGATTGCCAGGCGACTTTAATCATTTGAATCTATTATCTGTAAAGAGGTTTTGAATCCAGCACGAGATAACACAAGAATAGTTCTGAAACTGATCTGTTTATGAATTCAGATGAAAAATCACTTCATGGCCTTGAAAAGAGATGGCTTCAGGAGCTAAAGGATGACACTGGAGAATCACTGCAGGCTCAGATTATCTTCAAAAGTAACATAGTTGGTTCAGTGAACAAAATCTTCTGCAATCTCACCGCAGCCACAAATCAGATTGTTGACGGATTTAGCCCTTGTCGAGTACTGAGCCATACCCCTAAATTTGAATCTCTTATCTCCCAATAATTAGTTTTTGCATCGTTAGGCATTGGATACTGTCATAATGTAGGTTTTATAAGTTACTTCAGCTAATACTTTTCCATCTACAGTTTTTGATCCTCTGTGTTGCTGTTTACAGACATGCAGGTGCCATGGATTCCCATTACTAGATTCTGTGAAAAACACCATGGAGAATCTGAAATGCTCCATAACCAACCATGAACTTGGAAAGTATGATGTGATTGAAAATTCCGTGAAAATTGGCGACAGAACTGTCTTGTTTTTACCTTCAATCCATAGCCTCCAGAAACTTCATCCAATCTCTTCCCAAGTTGATTTCCATGTCATAGAGAGGACTAATCTAACTTCTCTCAGTGAAGGTAAGGGTTTTAGCTAATCTACAGCGCTCTCTTCTTTTGACTTCGGTTCTTGCCTCCAAAATAGAGAGCTTGATTCAAGTATATATACTACTCTGACGTAGGCCTACTACTTGGGACACCTTACATTGTAAGCCCTTCAACTTGTCATGAAACAGAAGCTTCTTCAGAAGAAATGGACCAACCAGATTTGAACACTCAGAGTAAGCAGTGTTTTTCCCTAAAAAAACCACATTCAGTAGCTCAGGTGTAGCCAATAAAAATACCCAATGACTCATACTTTTCCTAAGCATCTAGAAATACAGTTTTTCAGGGACTATGTGGTGCACTATATTCAATGGACCAAGGCTTGGTTTGTTCTTCAAACTGTAATATAAACACCATGACAGCCGTCGAATTTCATTGTTATTACGTTCTTCAACCGTCTGAAAAGGGTCCAATGCTTCTGAGGGTAAGAATTCAGTACTCTGACCCTCTTCCTTGATCAAACAGCATTAGCCTTTCTGAATAGTATTCTCCATATGATATGATAAGTTTGTGTTATGTCTTGAATTGGGAAGTTTCTTAGTTTTAACAGACAAAACTGTTTGCAGAGATTGGCAGGGTCAGAGGAAGTCCTTCCTATTTCCAATGTCAGTCAGTTTGCCGAATCCTCTATTCCTAGAGAAATCGAGATTTCTGTCAAAGGCGCTTTGTTAGAGGTCGATTTCATTTAAATATGTTGATGATATTCATATTTAGTATTTAGACTTCTAACTTGTCATTTCTTTCTGAAATTTAAGCAGATTGAATCAACGGATTACAATCCTCTGATCCACAACAGGGACTTCCACCAGAAACTGAACCTCATTGTGAAAGAAAGTCTTCAATTTGGGTGATTATTCTCCTCCCATCTTATCTTCTCTTCATTATTAGAATTCCTGAAAATATGCTACAGATCTCTAACTTCTTTTCTTGTTTCTGGAAGTTCATTACACTCCAACACGAAAGACGCAACATATGAAGTGAGCTCAGTACTTTCAGATTCTGTAGTTCCGACGGCACAGACATTTCCAGACATAGTAAATCCAGAAATGCTTAAGGAAGTTCATATAATTGATGAAGAAGACAAAGCAACAGCTTCCATTACTAAAGAATGGGAACAACTAGTAGTCACTGAGGAGGTTCTCATGAAGTCTCCTTCTCCGGTTATAACTACGATCCGCCAAGTTCAATCTCCTATACAGAGTAACAACAAACAGGCTGATATGAAAACCTCGATGATTTTGGAAAGACTTGAAGCTCCGAGGAAGATAAGAGGAAAAGTTGGATCACCAAGTGTAGTCATACATAGTCCCATCTCACCAGATGTATGTGTCCTGACTCAAAAGAAGCCTCTGATTCCTTTTCAGACAACTCAGGTTTCATCAAGCCAGCTCATGAAACCCAGCTTTCAGAGACTGAAAAGAAAGCCAAAGTGAGCTTTAAGTCGCTCTCAGGGTAAGATTCTGCTCTTCTTCTGCTTTTCTTTTACTTACTCGGTGATAATGACTAGTGAGAATGTTAAAAAGAGTGTTAAGGCTTTTTTGTTTTTGAGCTGAGACAGCGTATAGGAAAGGATCTCGAGGAGACTTGAAGTTTGGAGTAAAGGTAATGTTCTGTAGTTTGAGTTTTAAAATACAAACATGATCTAGTGTTCCTTTCTTTTTTTATACAAAAACCAAAGCTATATCAAATCTCACTATATATGTACAATTTCAACTATATCAAATACTCTTGTTATATATATCCAAACGTAATTTTTTTAGAAATTCTCTTTATGGAAAGTGAACTTGGTAGAGGTCTTATGAGAGAAATCCAGTGATAAGTGTCTTAACTCTTTCACTAATCCAGCTGCTCCGCAATAAAACACTCCTGCCAATTTTACCAAACATTCATATGATGTGCATATGCGTAAATAAAATGAGATTGATTGTTTGTTAGTAAGAAACTCACCGACTTTAGTCTTGGGATGATTCACAGCGATCCTTTTGAAAACGCTTCTCCAGTTTGGCCTAGCGAAATGGGACATAACACGTGTTCCTGACACAACGTCCACTCCGTGCTTAGCATGGTTCAGAGACTGGAGCATCGTGATTAGTGCGGACCTTGCGTCTCCTTCCTCGTAGACGCTAGTGCAGTAATTATGCAGCTCAATCACTTTGTTTCGGTCTGTTTCGGTCACTTCGTCCATCACGTTCTTGAACCAGTCAAACGACCCTTGCTCTCTTGTGACCCAGTAGAAGTAAGCTCTCTTGGTTATGAACGTCTCACTTTTTCTTGATGGAGAAACAGGAGGTGTGACCATATTGTGGATCGGTGACTGTCTTCGGTTACTGCCTTCTTCTACACCTTTCAAGTGATTGATTATGTCCTTCACAATACTGATCATTGGAGTAGCACCAATTCCTAGACCCACTAGTAGAAGAACTTCAAACTTCTTGTAGTCTTGTGCTGGTGCTCCATATGGACCGTCGATTAGGATTCTTGGAAAGCTAAGGAGAGATCACAATTTAAAAGCAAAAATGACAAAGTTAGAGAATTAAAATATGTGCTTCAGTGATTTGCAATTAAAATAGCTAGAGAATAACTGTAGAATAGTTAGTTACTGATAAGACTTACTTAGGAATGTTATCCCAGTCCCTCGAGTCGGCTCTGTTCAGTCTGTTTTCATCAGGAGGGCGTGGCTTACACACCTTAGGTTAAGAGGAAATCAATAAATTACATATTTGGACACAATTAATCTCTTGTGTTTATGTCTAGAGTGAAAATGGAGTAAAGTACCTCAGAGAATAAAGATCTTAATTCCTTAGTCCAGTCTCCTAAAACCCTGATGTGTACACTAAGGTAGTCATCTCCTGGAGCTGAGGTAATTGAGAATGGATGCCTATTTATATGTAAACCAATGTTCAGTTTTGTTTCCATACAAATGTCTTCAGATAATATGAGAGTTTTTCTTATTTACCATTCTAATGTAGAAACTGCAGAACAGTTGAGATACATGTATTGTCCGCTCTTGTATCTGAAGTTGGTTGGTCTTGACAAGTGAAGCGACAAGACATTCCCTGGTAACACAGCAACCTGTCGAAGATGTAAGGTAGTAATAGAGATGAATATACAAAGTCCTCCTTTTCTTGGATATCTCAAATTCTCAATATAGAAATGTTTATAGATTTGACCTTTAGTACTGAAACAGCCTCAACGCTTGACCTGAATGCACGAATCAGCCTTTCAAACAAGTAAAGAACCACCGGTACCATCAAATACATCCATGTCTATTAAATCACATGAAAAACAAAATCAGAGTTCATATTGCAACTGTTACAACTTTGTATTGGGTCTAGTGGTTAATAAGTTACTAACCGTTTTCTTGTACCATGGCTTGATGATGAGGTATACGTAGAATCCGTGAACGACAAGAAGCGAGTAGACGATAACAAACAAGTGGTGAGAGTACCAAAAGGCATTGAAGCCTGTTATTTTCTTCAGTGGTCCAGGAAGGTTGAGCTTATTACGTCTGAACCATGTAGTAGCCAATGTAAAGGCTATGGTCATTAGTATAACCATTCCAATCCCGGTAACTCCTTCTACCGATTGCACAAAGTCCAAATATCTCTTTGTCTGTGGCCCAAAATACATTTCCATTGGCTTATACTCGTCTTCATCTGCAGCTATCAGCCGGGGGAAATCACAGGCTAAGTGAGATGTAGCATGGATTCCTACTCCAATTGAGATTCCTATTGCTATGACCTGTGTAAGATTCAATCATAAGCATTCTTCTATATATCGGAAACTTCTTTTTTATTCTCCAGGAAGCTAAAACATTACCTTGTGAAAATTGAGGCTGTCATCGAAAGGAACAATAGCACTTAACTTGGTTTTGGTCCGGAGCCAAGTGATGGTGTTCCTACAAACTGGTAACAAAATCATAGCCATGTTTAGTTTAAGCGTCTCTGCAGCTCCTTTAGCTATACAAACACAAACTCCCATAACTTGGTAAGCGGATCTTTTTCGATACTCCATAAACTTCCACGTGAACAACCCCGCCATAGCACCTATCCATAGAGCCATCACCCACACTCTCTTCCAATTATCGAACAAAAAATACTTCATCCCTCTGCAAAAACGAGCCCCAAGATTCCTACTCTGCGGAACCATGAGATTCTGACTTAGCATCTTGCTCAGCTTCTTACTCTCCCCATCTCTCACATCCGGCATCGGCGCTTGCAATAGAAGTATCTCGAGATTCTCTATCTGTTTGGCATTGTAGCAAGTGCCTCCAAACACATCAAAAAACACTCACAAACCAAACTTTTCTAACTAAAAAAGATTAATCAAAACAAACCTCATTCACAAAACTTAACATACCATGATGTACCCATAATGATAAGGATCTAGTTCTTCCATAATCAAAGCAGCATATTCTTCAGCTTGTCTCCGAATGTTATCCAGCTCGTTTGCAGAAGCACTTAGAGTTATAATCTGTACACAAATAGAAAAATTACTTATGAAGACACAAAGAGCTTCAAGATTTCTGATACCAATCACTATAAAAATCAAGATTCTACCTCTCTTACTTCTGCTTCATTCAACCGCCCATCCGAATCCTTATCGACCCTAAATTTCATACCATACTTCAATATGAAACTAAAAGTTCATATCGGATATATAAAGAAATCGAAAGAAACATTTACATTGCGAAGAAAGTTCGTAGCCTCGAGTCAAAATCTTGATCAGTGATCTGCTTCCAGAACTCTTTAAGCTCATTCATGTTTATTAAATCTCCGCTTACGTTCTCCCTCCTCGCTAAAGCATCGAACAATGCCAACGCAAACTCCGTCGATTTCATCCCTGCCACAGAATTTATGTAATCATTGAAATTTCAAAACAGAAAACATTGAAACACTCTGCTAGTCGCTTCTGCTAACCTATACATTCACCGAATTTAGATCGGTGTAATAATCCGTTCGTAGTCATTGTAATCACATAAAACCGTTTCTCAACTTCAGGCCAACCAGTGACACCATCAGTCTTGGTGATGAATTTGAGACCTTTGAGAGCTTGCTCTGCTCTAGATTTCGAACGGCGCAGCCTAGCTATCTGCGGCCGCGGTGGTTTTCTTGCCGAAGACGACGAAACGGAAGAAGCAACTCGTTTCAGTTCGGTAGAAACCGAAGAAGCCAAGCGTTTCAATACCGAGTTACTCCTCCCTGAACGACCTTGTCTCAGAAGCGATTGATCCTCATAAATCGATCCGGCGCCTCGATGGTCCGGTGACTTCATGCCGTACACGGAGACAGAATCTTCGTGGATATCAAGCGTGATCTCAACGTATGGTTCATCTTCACCGTAATATCTGCTCGTCGACGCCGACGACTGTCCTCCGTACGGCGTCTCTGTGTAGTATCTAACGTTTTCGAATCCTAACTTTTGAAACTCACTTCGATTCATCAAATCTTTCTTCATCCTCTGGTTTAAGAAATGTTTTTGGGAAGCTAATGATGCACGAAGAAGAAGAAGAAGAAATTTTGAAAATGTTGAAAACCAGAGAGACGAACTTATGTAAATGGTTAAATTAATCACACCGGAATACCAAAAGCATACACTAACACTAAGAAATTAATTTAAACAATTGAAAATGTATAAAACCAGCCTATGAATCTTCTTAAACAAATGAAGAAAAATTCAAAGTAGCATGAAAGGAGACTTTATCTTGTTTATTGTATTTTTGGGGTTGGTTAGAAATTTTCTTAAGAGTTGTTAGTGTACTTTCTTCGTGGTCAAATCTCCCGCGCATTATCGGACCACGTCCAATATGAGACTAATTTCTATGGTCAGGTTTTACAAATTTTAATTAGCTTTGTCGTCGTATTCGCTCACGTTACATCTAATCTAATCAAACATCGAAATCTATATCTGTTGACAAACAAAAAAAAACATCGAAATCTAATTTAAAATATAACTTTCCATATCAATCATACATTTAAATTAATTATTCAACCCACCTGCTTAATAAAACATAGCATTTTCTATTCACCAACCACTTGCAAAAAAAAAAAAAAATATATTGATTTTGACCTTTTTTAAAAATGAAAAAAAAATTACGCAGAAGATTATCACGTAATTACATCTTAATAATATCATAATTGGCATTCGAAAACTATATATTAAAATGAAGACCTTAAAAATAGAAGATTATAGTACTTATTAACAGCTGTGTTAAAAAGCGGGAAAGTTATACTATTCTAGCGAAGGATAATTTAATCCTGCCATCCAAACAGAAAACGAAACAGCCTCCAAAAGCACATCGATTTGGGAGGGAAAATCAATCCCAGAAAGCCAAAATCAGTTTTGGGGAAAAGGGTTTTGCTTTCTCTTTCTAATTTTTGAAGGGTTTCTTCGTTAATCTTATATGTTAGATTTTGATTTCGATTTCGATTTTGTTGAGATATGAAAAGGCGACACTGCGAGAAAGTTTTGATTCGTATTCACAATTTTGGTACACCATTGATTTCTGGGTCTTCTGGTTTGCCTGTGGATTCACTTCACATTGAATCAGATCGGCCGTACACGTTTGGTCGAAGTAGTAGTAATGGGTTTTGTGATTTTGTCTTTGATCATAGCTCTATCAGTAGGAAGCACTGTCAGATTCTATTTGATAGCCAAAGTCACAAACTTTATATTTTTGATGGCGTGATTGTCTTACCTTCAGTTAGTTTTAGTCAAGTTTATGATGAGTTTAGGAGAAGATTAGTTGATTTTGAGGATTTGGGGAATTTGAAATTTAGTGTTTCTTTGAATGGTGTGTTTGTTAATCGTGTTAGGGTTAGGAAAGCTAAGATTCAGGAGGTTTCAATTGGTGATGAGGTATTGTTTGTTTGCGGGAAGGAAGGGTTGTGTTATAATCATGGTCGAGTTGGGTTTAGGGTTCAAGAGATTGATTTTGAAGGAAGAGATACTTCGATTATATCGGTCTCGTCAGGACATTCTCGAGGAACTTTTTCCAGTGGGAAGAGAAGCAAACGGGTTTTTGCTCCGATGGAAAACGAGATTAATTCTCCAGTTTCTGGGGTTTGTCCACGTAAAGCTGTTGGTGTTGCTGAGAGAGTGAATTCTCTTGTAAGCTATTGTAGACATATATTGAGCAGTGATGATCCTATGTCTTGCCTTAGGGTATCTATTATCTCAGATTCTGGAAAGGAATGTCTATCTTGTTGTACATCCAAAATGTTAAGTTCGAAAGTAAGTATAGTGGCCGATAATAGAGGAGTTAAGAGTGCGGAGAAAAATCATGAGATTGGTCATGGTTTGTCTGGTTTAAGGTTGAGTATTGAACGGCCAAGCCCAAATTTACATGTAGATAGAAGACTAGGTGTCTCTGACTTGATTAGTGAAATAGAATATGACGGTTCTGCTTGTATTTCTGTCAGTGCCAAGACTAGGACTATGCTTCCTTTTGATGGGGTAAAAGAAAACATTCCCGATATTAGTTGCATCGATAAAGAGAAAAGTCATCTATGTTCTCTCCCAGCACCTCCAGCACCTGGGAAGAACTTTTATCTAAATCGTCTTCAATATATTGAACAAAACTCAACTGGTAGTCAACGGGTGGTTTCCTTGCCAGAACTTCTCCACCCTGTGGAAAGCATTCAACAAATCTTTATTGCAACATTGACAAGTGATATCTTATGGTAGGTTGAAAAGAGTTTATTTTTATATTTTCCCTATTAGTCTAAACAGAAGAAATGGATACTCTATCTTCATTTGTTCTCCATGCTTGTTCAAGAGTCTGACGAAGTTGTATTAGCAGGTTTCTTACCTGTTGTGAGATACCTAGCCACTTGCCTGTGACTATTGCATGTCACCATGCTGAGAGATGTTGGAGTTCAAGCCCTGATGCAAGATCTACTGCTCCTTTGCCAAATTACCCAAATGTAACTATGGTGTACGTAATACTTGATCATATTTCTGTTAAAGGGAACGATGAATAGTGAATTAGTGATATTCCTGTTTATTTTTGAAACTTGATTACTTCCTTTCTAAATATTTTTTATCTTGTCTTAGGTTTCCACCATTTCCTGAGGAAATTGCATTTGGTAAAGACCGCAAGAACCGTGGCATTGCTTGTCATCACCCTAAGCTGTTTATATTGCAAAGAGAAGTAAGCATTCGTGTAATTATTACATCTGCAAACTTAGTGGCAAGACAGGTAAGAGTCTAGGCCTTAGTAATATACTATATACTATGAATCACAGACGAGTCTCAGGCATCACATTGGCTATTATGAGGTTTCAGCTATATTCAGAGAGTTTTATCATATTTCATTTCTAATGGAGATTTATCATTCCAGTGGAATGACGTGACCAACACAGTTTGGTGGCAAGATTTTCCTCGAAGAGCAGACCCTGATGTTTTATCCCTTTTCGGCCATTGCCGAAGAGAAACCAATCATGGTTTAAAAACAGATTTTTGTGCTCAGCTGGCTGGATTTGCTGCATCACTTTTGACTGATGTTCCAAGTCAGGCCCATTGGATTATTGAGTTCACGAAGTACAACTTTGAACACTCAGCATGTCACCTTGTGGCTTCAGTGCCTGGAATTCATTCTTATAAGCCATCTTATCTTACAGAGTCTGTTTGCTCAAATACCGTAAGTAGCTTCATCTTCCATCTTTTATGCATGCTTTCTCTGATTAGTATCAATATCTTGAACTCATTTTTTATTGGTTCACTTAGTTGTTTTTTTCTTAAAGAATATTGAAAGTTTGATTGGGTCCTGTATCTTAGAAATTTTGGTCAATACATCCCTTTCTTGACTAATCTTATGATTATTGTTTCACAGAATTTCAATGAAGAATTTCTGGGATCTGTTGAAGCATCTGTTGTAGGTCTCAGTTACCTTTTCCGTTCTGCCAATGATTCCACAGGCTTACAACTGAAACGACTGGCTTCATATATCCGCAGAGCCCGGGAAAATTCTCTCGGAATGTTGGAACTTGTTTTGAGAAGAAATACGAATGTGCCTGCTGACGCGAATGCTGTGAGCGTCCTTGTTCCTAACCCAGATGATGATTCAAGAGATGGTAGGTAGTTACATTTCATGTATTACAGATCGCTGTATGTTCCAGACATGAATTAACATTATGTGACTCGTCTAAATTGCCTTTTGACAGATTTTGTCCAACTAGGCTTTTTGCCACGGGATATTGCAAAATGGGTGTCTCCTTTGTGGGATATTGGGTTCTTTAAATTTGTGGGATATGTGTATCGGGATGAAGTCCTTGGAGCTGCTTCTAGTAGGAGCAACGAGAAGGTGCAACTAATGCTGCATGTATTACAGGCATGGTACTCTTCATATTCTTATGAGATACTTTGCATAAATGGAGTATGGATACATCTAAAGATCTCAAGAATTTTGCAGGGAGTGTCCATTTCAGATGTGTCAAAGTTGATTCAACCTAATCATGTTGTTGCATTGTGCTCGTTGATTGCTTCAGTTCAGAGATGTTCTGGCATTTGGAGGCTACAAGAGGTAAGTTTGATTATTAATAAAACAAATGAATCTTCTGTATTGTACGAGAGTATATCAGTCTTTAACTGTGTGGTCTTCTGTATTGGGTTCCTCAAAAGGTGTTAGGCCGTTACAAGTGGCCCGAATCTCTGGAATCTGATTTCGTCTACAGTAAGTGCATTGCCTATGATAATGGTAAACAAACACCTAATCAGGTTATTAAGTTTATTGGTTTTTTTCTTCTTATAATAGGTGCATCCTCGATTGGAGGCTCAGCAACTTCAGGATTTCAAGCTGATTTTTCATCAGCTGCAGGTAAAAAAGCGTTACAGCATTTTGACTCCCAGGAATCTGATCCAGAGGTACCGTTTTGTTTCGAAGCACCCTTAAAAACTGTTACTACAAGTTTTGTGCATGAAACGTTTGCTCTGTGTTCTTGATCAGTGGGGATGCTGGAGTAATAGGGAAGAACGGGAAGCTCCTTCCATTAAAGTCATCTTCCCTACCATTGAAAGAGTCAAGAATGGCCATCATGGTGTCTTGTCTTCAAGACGTTTGCTTTGCTTCTCTGAGGTATTTGCTTATTTTACACTTGTATTATACCCAAAGCTTTTGTTCAGAAAGAAACAGTAAGGATTGCTTTGGACTGATTCAATAATGTAATGGAAAATATGAATCTCAAAACTTTGTTTTTTTTGACTATCTTGTGCAGAAAACCTGGCAAAAGTTGAGATATAATAATGTGCTTCACGATGCAGTTCCTAATCCTCAAGATAGAGTTGGACACCCGATGCATATCAAGGTAAGAACAACGCAGAACTCTGTCTGTGACAATAAAAGATTCTACGACTTGGCAAAACCTGACTCTTACACTGTAGTAAAATGTCTTTATAAACGATGAACAGGTGGCTAGGAGACTCTTTACCTCCACGAGAGGTTCACGATCTTCTTCGTTTGGTTGGGTTTACTGCGGCTCACATAATTTCAGTGCAGCTGCCTGGGGACGGACCATTTCCAGATCCTCCAGGAACAACCAGGACGAGTCCCACAATGCCATCAGATCAGTTAAAAAACTTCGTGTATGTAACTATGAGCTCGGGATTGTCTTCGTTTTCCCTCCGCCTCATGAAGAAATGGATTCATGTGACCGGTCTAAGATCGATGATATTGTGTTGCCGTTTGTTGTACCGGCTCCAAAATATGGATGGAGTGATAGACCAGCTACAGGTTTGGCTATGAGAGAAGCTTTGGCTGAGTTTAGGGAAGGCCTTAGAAGTTTCTGTGGAGAATCAGAAGCTGAGGAAGAAGTGGAAGAAGAAGATGAAGATGAAGATGAAGCTGAAGGAAGAGTAGAGTTTGTTGCAGAAGAGGTGAAGCAAGAGGAAAAGGCTTATGCTGAGGCCTTGTGGAGCCAGGTTGAATCCTCCTCCTCCCTCAGCTCCTGAAACGTTTGACAAAATGACGAATATACCCTTGTATCTGTATTTCTATGTAACTAGTGAATTGTTTGCAATAAAAATAAAATTTTGAAAAAAATAATAATAAGAAATGAAAGGAATTCATTTGATAATCTAAAGCGGAAATTAGTGCAAAAAAACAAGCGAATAATGCTGTACATTGAAGGAGGGACTAATTATTAGATAAAAGGTTATATAATTAGATATATTATTTATTTCTTAAAAGGTTATATAATTAGATATATTCGAGTGGTTAGAATTTTTTTTTTCCTTTGTAAAACACTTAAAACTTAAAAAAAGTTTCCGGTCTATAAACATGTAAAGTTGAAAAAGTAAATAAGGGATATTCAAAGAGAAATTATAGCGGGATACAAAAATGGATCACCACAAACAATATAATAGCAAAACGAAAATGAAACTCAAAAGTTTTCAGGTCTCTTAAACAGTATATATACCCATGGCCATCTTTCCATCAAATCATCCAGAAAAAAATAAAACAAAAAAAAATAAAACAAAAAAAAAAATCTTTTTTATTTTTTAATAAAACAAAATAAAAAAATAAATAAATGGGATACACAAATGTGTCCATTTTATTAGGCCTGTTGGTGGTCTTTGTTTCACCGGTGGTGTTCGCAGATGATGTGACACCAATCCCAGAGGCCAAACCCCAAGTGGCGCAGTGGTTCAAGGCCAACGTCGCTCCATTGGCTCAACGTAAAGGCTTAGATCCAGCTCTCGTTGCTGCTGAGGCTGCTCCACGTATCATCAACGTATGATTCACACTTTATTGTCCCAAACCCATCCTTGTAACAATAGATTTTGATACAAAACTTTGAATATATATATATATATATATATATATATATATATATATATGTAAAAATTATTGCAGGTGAATCCAAAGGGAGGTGAATTCAAAACACTAACGGACGCAATAAAGAGCGTTCCTGCAGGGAACACAAAGCGGGTGATCATAAAGATGGCTCCTGGGGAGTACAGAGAGAAGGTCACTATCGACAGGAACAAACCCTTCATTACATTGATGGGACAACCCGGTGCCATGCCTGTTATCACCTACGACGGTACCGCCGCCAAGTATGGAACAGTTGATAGCGCCTCTCTCATTATCTTATCCGACTATTTCATGGCCGTTAACATCGTTGTTAAGGTAAGTGATCCTACTATATATTAGACAACGAGGCAATGATACATTCTCTTTTTTGGCCAATGCTAAGTTCTCTAGATTTTTTCATATGTAGAATACTGCACCGGCGCCAGATGGTAAAACAAAGGGAGCACAAGCCTTATCTATGAGAATCTCCGGAAACTTTGCTGCTTTCTACAACTGCAAATTCTACGGTTTCCAAGACACAATCTGTGACGATACCGGAAACCATTTCTTCAAGGATTGTTACGTCGAAGGAACATTCGATTTCATCTTCGGAAGTGGAACCTCTATGTACTTGGTACGTAAACCACATTTATATATCTCATTATCTCGTACATATTTTATGAATACATAAAAATCTGAAATCTCCAATATACATGTTTGAATTCAAAAGGGAACACAATTGCACGTGGTTGGAGATGGTATTAGAGTGATCGCAGCGCATGCAGGAAAGAGCGCAGAAGAGAAGAGCGGGTACTCTTTCGTGCACTGCAAGGTGACTGGAACCGGTGGTGGAATCTATTTGGGAAGAGCATGGATGAGTCACCCTAAGGTTGTCTATGCCTACACCGAGATGACCAGCGTTGTCAACCCCACCGGATGGCAAGAAAACAAGACTCCCGCACATGACAAGTAAGTCCACATTTCACATTACATAAAAAATGTTGTGAATATCACCCAATCGGTCATGTTCCTTATGCCGGTTATATCAAAAATGACAGGACCGTGTTCTACGGAGAGTACAAGTGTTCAGGACCAGGATCACACAAAGCCAAGAGAGTGCCATTCACACAAGACATTGACGACAAAGAAGCTAACCGTTTCCTTTCCCTCGGCTACATCCAAGGATCCAAGTGGCTTCTCCCACCACCAGCTTTGTAAACTCTTTAATATTAACCTATTAAAATTAAAACGTAAAACTAAAATTAAAACTACTACTTACAACCTTTTCCACCGAAATATGTGTATCGGTGTATATTTTTTTGTCGCTAATTTCTTTCAATTTCCAAAAGTCCTCTCTTCTTTAAATACTATGGAGGAGTTGAGATTTGTGTAATTTTGATTTCATTATAATAAAATGTTGTCTCCGTTAATTCGTAACTCTTATATATTAATTTGTCTAAGTAACCCCTTTTCTATTCCTTTGATGACGTAATTATATCATATTATTGAGACTCCGATATATTTTATCTCGAGAATTTAATTGTTTTTCTCATGTTCTTATGTTTGATATATTTATAAGACAATGACATGCTATTATCAATTTAATTTGCATATCATGTTCATAATATTGTCAATATATGGAGAGCATTATAATCACGATGGTGATTATCACATTATTATCCTTTCAAGGTAATCGGGGGAGAATTTTGTACCAAAACTCAATTTAATCATAAGACTGATTATAAATTTATTGTACCTAAATGAATCTTTAAATAGTTAGACACAGTTTATCTTCATAGAGTGTAACTGTTGATGCATACCATCTTTTACGTGACTATTCAATGAGATAGTAAGAAAAAGACATCCAAAATTGGCTGAACAAAACAGAAAAGCTGATTCTACAAAGTTTTTACAGTTGTAATTAGTATTGCACCACCATTTCCAGGCGATAAAGAGCCGATAAGAGTATTTTATTTTAATTTGTTATATAATTAAGTGTAATTGACTAAAATGTTAAATTAATATTTTTCAATATTTAAAGAAAAAATTATTACAAATATGTAATTTAGAAATCTTATTTAACGTATCACCATTTCTTACCGATCAGAATCTAACTGAACTATATATCATCTCTTACTATATCATCATCTGTTACAACCAATTTTTTTTTTTTATTATTGTCTAGTATTGTCAGTCAGATCAGTACTGTCTTGTACAATCTAAGCAGATATGAGATAAGAAAAAAGATTTAAAAAAATTCATAAATAATGGACATGCATATGTAGTTGACTAATTGGTAACGTTCCACTCTTTATGTGAATCTACGAAGCATTTTTAGCACACACACACAAAAAAAAAAAAAAAAAAAAAAAAAAAAAAAAAAAAAACTTGTACTTTTCCATGAGCACACAATATAAGGAAAGCTCTAGGTTTCCTATACGATGCAGTTTCGGTAATTATGTAATTCCTATTATATGAAAATGTTTGATTAATATGATCATTTATTCGAGTCTCTGATGATCTGATCTCTGATTAATAAAAAAAAAAAAAGACACACTACTTGATTTCCACATTAATCACAATTCACACACCAAGTGCATGAGAAATGACTGCTTCGAGGAATATAAACCACAAATATAACGTCAAAAGTAAAAATACCACAAACGAGAATAATAGTAAAAGGAGATCTATCCGGTCAGACATCGATGATCCCGGCAACTACAAGTATATAAAAAGTCCCTTCAGGCTTCTTCATCTCTTCAAATTTTTTTCCAAATTTATATATATATATTTTCTTTTATTTTCTTTTTAATTTAAAAAAAAAAAACTAAAAAAATAAAAATTAATAAAAGATGGGTTACATTTCTCTGTCCCTAGTTGCATTACTTGTATTTTTTGCCTCGCCGGTGGTTCTCGCCGACGATATAACCCCAATTCCAGCAGACAGAGCCCTAATCTCGCAATGGTTCAAGGCCAATGTTAAACCCTTTTCCCAGAGACGGGGCACGCTAGACCCTGACCTCGAAGCTGCTGAAGCATCGAGACGTGTTATCACCGTAAGTAAATCACAATTTTATCATACTTATAAGATTGATTTATGTATTGAATCCAGATTTCGTATTTGAGCATTTTTCAGTTTTTGAGACAAAGAAACCTGATAAAAATTGCATAAATATATTTTAATCGTTGTACTTAATTTTCAGTTTAGTTGGATTTGTTCGGATTAAAACAAAAAGTAAACCATAATCAATTTATTTTCTTTTAGTATCGATTCTTGTATCGTTTTCTTTGGCACGGTTTTACCGTTTTAATTTGTTCATATCACTCTAACCGAATTGTACCCAAATCAATGCATACTATCAATTATTCCAATGCAGGTAAATCAAAATGGAGGCGGCGATTTTAAGACAATAAACGCAGCAATCAAGAGCATTCCATTAGCAAACAAGAACCGTGTGATCATCAAGTTGGCTCCTGGTATATACCATGAGAAAGTTACCATCGACATAGGCCGACCATTCGTTACATTGCTTGGCAAACCTGGTGCGGAAACCAACTTGACTTACGACGGAACGGCCGCTAAATACGGCACCGTAGAGAGTGCCACGCTTATCGTCTGGGCCACAAATTTTTTGGCAGCCAACCTAAACATTATAGTATGTATACAAATTTAAATCTCAGTTAGTAGTATACATACTATGTTACGGATTAGTTGGACCTAATTAAATTTTCTGTTTCCTATAGAACACTTCTCCGATGCCAAAACCAGGTACACAAGGACAAGCTCTAGCTATGAGAATCAACGGCGATAAGGCTGCCTTCTACAACTGCAGATTCTATGGTTTTCAAGACACTCTTTGCGACGATAGAGGCAACCATTTCTTTAAGAATTGTTACATCGAAGGAACCTATGATTTTATCTTTGGAAGAGGAGCTTCCTTGTACTTGGTACGATGTATACTTTTAATTTTTTCGATCTCTTTTAGCGCGCACACACATATATAGCATGACTGATAAGTCATGTTTTATTTATTTGATCCATAGACTACGCAATTGCACGCTGTTGGAGATGGATTAAGAGTGATCGCAGCACACAATCGACAGAGTACAAACGAGCAAAACGGGTATTCTTTCGTGCATTGCAAGGTTACTGGAGTCGGAACCGGGATCTACTTGGGTAGGGCTTGGATGAGCCACCCTAAGGTCGTCTATTCCTACACTGAAATGTCTAGTGTCGTCAACCCATCTGGATGGCAAGAGAACAGAGTGCGCGCGCATGACAAGTAAGGATATCAATTTCACATTATATATGATCATGCATGTAAATCTGCAGTGGTTGAAATCCCAAATCAAAAATGATAAGAAACCAACACTAGGTATATAAGCAATAAGGATCAATAATTCAATCATTTCTAATTGAGTTAAACAGTCATAATTTCTCACAGAGATATTGCAATAGTTTTTATAAGTTTAAAATGTGATTTGTGACAGTGCGAACCAACCATCAATTAACCATTAATAAGTAATTTTTTTGATATGATGAATGATAGGACGGTGTTCTATGGAGAATACATGTGCACGGGACCAGGATCACACAAAGCGAAGAGAGTGGCACACACACAAGACATTGACAACAAAGAAGCTAACCAATTCCTTACCCTCGGCTACATCAAAGGCTCCAAATGGCTTCTCCCTCCTCCCGCTTACTAAATCACACCCAATCATTACTAAAATTATATACTTTTGACTAAAAATACATGTATATTGGTACAATAGTACGTTTTGTTTTCGAAGAGTCCTCTCTTCCTGTATATGATGGAGGAGTAGAGACTTGTGTAATTTTGGTTTCATTTTATAATAAAATACTCAACTTTTCACAACTGAGAAGCGGATAAGAGTTAAAACATACTGGTTGTGAAATTACGTTTTTGGTTATAATTGTAGATTCACAAAAAAAAACATTTTGGTAATAAGCTAAGTTTTATACCAATTTTCTGAATTTCCCTGTACAATGTTGAAACAACTTATTTAAAGCAAAGAAACTAGAAAGAGAAAATGATACAGCCAAAAATTAAGGATTGTTTTTCATTGGTGGAACATTTTGTAATCTTTTTTCTTTTAATCAACTTGATAATGGACATTACCGGTATACACACAGTAGAAATAACACAAATTTTTGAAAAGACATATAAGTTCTATCGAAAATCACTTGGAAAAATGTAGGAACTGTCATTAACGTAAAGCAAACCCAAATTTAGAAAGTGTCAGTTTAGTTAACACTGAACTAATCACTCCTACCTGTCTAGCAAATTTCCATTCAAACATAAATTGTGGTTTAGGTCCTTTTCAGGTAAATTTATAAATAGAAATATAGCAAATTAACAACATAGTTCTTTTTGGAGGAGTCAATATTCAACATGTTGACTTAGCCAACTGTAAATTTTCCTTTTCGTAGATGGTGACAGATGAATTTACAAATTTAACTACATTCAAAATTACTTAATTTGTATTTATAACAAAATCAGATATTCAAAAATGCTTCAAGAAATATAAACCACAAACGAGAATAGTAAAAATAAGATCTGTCCGGTCAGACATCAACAAGCAAGACAAGTATAAAAACCCCTTCAATGCTTCTTCATTTCTTCCATTTTTAAAGTAAATAAGATAGTAATAGTAACACGTAGTTTTTTTTTTTTTCATTTTATTATTTTCTTTTATTTTGTAAAATAAATAAAAGAAGATGGGTTACATTTCAATGTCCGTGGTTGCATTCCTTGTTGTTTTTGCTTCGCCGTTGGTTCTAGCCACCGATACAGATCCGATTCCTGAAACCAGAGCCCAAATCCCGCAATGGTTCAAGGCCAACGTTAAACCATATTCCCAGAGAAAGGGCACGCTAGACCCCGCCCTCGAAGCTGCTGAAGCAGCGCGACAAATTATCACCGTAAGTTACTATATAATCTAATTTTGGTTTGGTTCGGTTCATATCGATTTAACCGAATTAGGCGCCGTTAAATTTTTTGCTTATATGAATAGTTACAAATATGTTAACTCGAGTGAAAAATGAAAATCTCATTGCAGGTGAATCAAAAAGGAGGCGCTAATTTCAAGACGATAAATGAAGCTATCAAGAGCATTCCAACAGGAAACAAGAACCGTGTGATCATCAAGTTGGCTCCTGGTGTCTACAATGAGAAGGTCACGATCGACATAGCTCGACCATTCGTTACATTGCTAGGTCAACCTGGTGCGGAAACGGTCTTGACTTACCATGGGACAGCCGCTAAGTACGGAACCGTAGAGAGTGCAACTCTTATTGTCTGGGCCGAGTATTTCTTGGCAGCTCACCTCACCATTAAAGTTTGTGAAATACATATATTCGATCTACGTTACTACATTACATTAAATATTAATTGCTACTAATTTGATTTTGTTATTCTATAGAATACTGCTCCAATGCCGAAACCAGGTTCACAAGGACAAGCTCTAGCTATGAGGATCAACGCTGATAAGGCAGCTTTCTACAGCTGTAGATTCCATGGTTTTCAAGATACTCTCTGTGACGACAAAGGCAACCACTTTTTCAAGGATTGTTACATCGAAGGGACCTATGATTTTATCTTCGGAAGAGGAGCTTCCTTGTACTTGGTAACCTTAAAATTAGTAGACATCTTTTAACATAAATAAATACATATATAACATGTTTTATTAATAATACATTTATTTGTTTGTAAACTCGATAGAATACGCAATTGCACGCTGTTGGAGATGGATTAAGAGTGATCACAGCACAAGGTAGACAAAGTGCAAACGAACAAAACGGATACACGTTCGTGCATTGCAAAGTCACTGGAACCGGAACCGGAATCTATTTGGGCAGGTCTTGGATGAGCCACCCAAAAGTCGTCTATGCTTTCACAGAGATGACCAGCGTGGTCAACCCATCTGGCTGGAGGGAGAACCTCAACCGCGGATATGATAAGTACGTAACATTTCGTACCCTCTCGTTTACATACATATAACTCAACCAACTACATTTGCTTAATTATATATCTGATTATAAACTGAATCGGATATTGTGTGTTTTGTATAAATACAGGACGGTTTTCTATGGAGAATACAAGTGTTTCGGACCAGGGTCACACTTAGAGAAGAGAGTGCCTTACACACAAGATATTGACCAAAACGAAGTTAGGCCTTTCCTCAGTCTTGGTTACATTAAGGGCTCCACATGGCTACTTCCCCCTCCTAAATACTGAAATTTTTCTTAAGACAAAATATTTGTTGTAACTGTTCTTTAATTTATAAATGAAATGTTCCCATCTTCTTATACTTTCTTTCTTTTTTGTATTGCTTAAGATATGAATTGATCAATATTTTTTTACATATATTAATCTATAGTGAGTGCATCTCCAATCCATTCATTTCAATATATACCCCGGAAGTTTGTGGTGTTTTTGTTTTTCCTTTATTTAGAAATTTCTATACGGTATATATACAAGATTTATTTTTTGTAAAATATCATAATTATGTTCACACACTATTGAGTTCATGATTTGTTTTTGTTTTTCTTATGATAAACGTTCATGATATGTTTGAAGTACAAACAAAAAGAAAGAGTCAATGTCTATGTCAAAAAAAAGAAAGAGTCAATGTCTATCCATGACATGTTTTTACAAGAATTTTGATTTTTATAACCAAAATGAAGTAGAACACACACATTTTCTAGATTTCATCATTTTAATAGTTCTAGTTGCCAATATTTTTCGTATATACATTAGGTTATGATGAATTAGCTTCTTCTTTCTTTATTTTTGTCGGCTAATTAGTTTATTTTAATACATAGAGAGATGCATGCATACAAATTTATTGAATTAAAAGACCCAATCGTAAAAAAATATATATATATATATGCACCGACGAAGCCGCCGCGAGTAGCCGCGTCACAGCCAGGTCAGCAAAGAGTCGCCATCCAATTAAAGAAAGAGAAGGATAGCAACTTTTGCAACGTGTTCTGCTCAGTCCGACTTAGATTCGGAATCTGGTTCTCACGATTTAAGGACCATCCGATTTTTAACGGCTCAGATTGTTTAATACCATTAGTACGGTATTGTCACGTCCGCAGGGAATCATGGCCCTATAATGAACTCACTTCCATGTTTTTCGCATCTCCTCGTGATAACATTGACGGTCAATTTTTTTTCTTTCACGTTTTCTTGATATATATTAAAAAGGTTTTAACTATATATTTTGTTGGTCATATGCAATAGTATATTCGGATTAAATCATTTGTAATTTCACCAATTATGGAGAGATATTCCTAAAATGCCCTCTAAATATAGTATTTAAAGCATAAGATGCATGTTTTTTTTTTCTTTTTTTTTTTTTGTAACGTGGACCTTATGTAAGCAGGTCTGAAGTTTATCCATAATTTGCTGTCCTATATGATAACATTAAGTAAATGTATTCCATATATATTATAAGTCTCATAAGTGATATAATACAATATTTGGGGAAAAAAATGAGTCATACAACATAATCAACAAGGTAAAAGTCATATAATTAATGCCGTCCCTAGAAACAGTCTGTCCCAGCTCCATCCTTATTGGGTGTCCACGTCCCGACCCTGTCACAGGAAACCAGTAAGATAACGGAAACCGAAAATTTCAAGAAACCAAATTTGTATTCTTTTCCTCAATTAAAGTAAATATAAAACATCCCTGAAATAGTGAAATATCACATGTTTTTTCCAACAACTAGTGTTAAATAGTCGAAATCAAAATCTTCTCCACCATTATGTACAATTTTACCAGGTTGGTATAATCTTAAATACTTTTAAAAACTTTTGTAGTTCGTGTAATTACTAATTTTTCCGAACATTTTTTCGATTATTATTTATAACTTTCCAACTCAACCCAATATTTTTTTTAGTAAATTTAAAATGAATGTTAATCTTCTAAAGATATGTTTGACTTAAAAAGGAGAAAACAAGATAGTTGTCCTTAAAAAAAAAAAAAAGTCAAATGAAGTAAAGAGAAAGAAAAAAAAAAAGATTAGACAAATCCAAATAGATAATAAGGGGCAAAAGAGTCATTTCAGGAGATAATTAGTCTCCGTCTGACGTAGGATACGTCAAAAATATCCAATCTCATTCAAATTACGCTTTCTCATCTTTCCCCTACAAATACTCATTTCTTTCTTCTTCTTCTTCTTCATTCATCACAACAAACCAAAAACTCCAAGTTTTTACCTTTTTCCCATTTCAATCGGTTAATTTCTCCGATCACGAGATACAAATTTCAGTTTTCTGAAATCTTGGATCTTCCGATCACTTTGGATTTTTGGTTTGTTGATTTTTGTTTCCCTTTGAAGTTCGAATTTTTTTTTTAGTGAAACAATGAATGCTTTAGCTGCAACGAACAGAAACTTCCGTCATGCATCGCGAATTCTGGGTTTGGATTCGAAGATCGAGAGAAGTCTTATGATCCCATTTAGAGAAATCAAGGTTTGACTTTTCTTTTTTGGGGTTTTACACTTTTTTTTTTTTTTCGTTTTGGGGAAAACTCGTCTCAATCTTGGTTTGGGTTTTGACTTTGATTCTCAGGTTGAGTGTACGATACCTAAAGATGATGGAACTCTGGTTTCGTACATCGGATTTAGGGTTCAACATGACAATGCTCGTGGACCCATGAAAGGTGGAATTAGATATCATCCCGAGGTAGGGTCTTTAATCATTTCCATCATCTTTCTTTGTCTTTAATCATTTGTTTTCGATCTAGGGTTTAAAGGTGTAAACTTTGGGGTTTTCAATTGAAGAAATTGCAATTTAGGGATTTGGAATTAAGGGTTTTGCTTTTTTGGTTTTGAAGGTTGATCCCGATGAAGTGAACGCACTAGCTCAGCTGATGACTTGGAAAACGGCTGTAGCAGACATTCCATACGGTGGAGCTAAAGGTGGAATTGGGTGTAGTCCTCGTGACTTGAGTTTGAGCGAGCTTGAGAGGTTGACTCGTGTCTTCACGCAGAAGATTCATGATCTTATTGGCATTCACACCGATGTGCCTGCTCCTGACATGGGCACTAACGCTCAAACCATGGCTTGGATTCTTGATGAGTACTCCAAGTTTCATGGTCATTCCCCTGCTGTTGTCACTGGAAAGCCCATTGTAAGGCTTTTGTGTTTTTGATTATATCATTCTGAGTTCCGAATCTGTTGATAGTTCGATGTTTCTGTGTGATTGATTACCAAAGTTTTGAGCTTTTTGATATGTAATAACTGTTGGATCACTTTGGTGTAGGATCTTGGTGGTTCATTAGGTAGGGAAGCTGCCACAGGACGTGGTGTAGTCTTTGCCACCGAAGCTCTTCTTGCTGAGTACGGGAAATCGATTCAGGGTTTGACATTTGTTATTCAGGTAAAACTACTATCAGTTAATCTCATATCTCAAGCTTGATTTTGTATAATATGAGAAAGAAATGTTGAGAGATTTTGATAATATGTGATAGGGTTTTGGGAATGTTGGAACATGGGCTGCGAAGCTGATCCATGAGAAAGGTGGAAAAGTGGTTGCAGTAAGCGATATTACTGGTGCAATCAGGAACCCTGAAGGTATCGACATCAATGCTCTCATAAAGCACAAAGACGCAACTGGAAGTCTCAATGATTTCAATGGTGGAGACGCTATGAATTCAGACGAACTGCTCATTCATGAGTGCGATGTTCTCATTCCCTGCGCTCTTGGCGGTGTCCTGAACAAGTCAGTTCAAAAAATTCACTCATAAATCCACACCAACCATACAGATTCATTCATTCTCTGAATCTTATATATTTTCCAAAATTTGGCAGGGAAAATGCTGGAGATGTGAAGGCAAAGTTTATAGTAGAGGCAGCTAACCATCCAACTGATCCAGATGCTGATGAGGTAATGCATCGATAACACAAGAACTCACCCCTAAAACTCCTAGAATCTAAATCCTAACATGTTTTGTTTTGGCAGATTCTGTCGAAGAAAGGAGTGATTATACTTCCAGATATATACGCAAACGCAGGAGGAGTGACTGTGAGTTACTTCGAGTGGGTGCAGAACATTCAAGGGTTCATGTGGGAAGAGGAAAAAGTGAACTTGGAGCTGCAAAAGTACATGACTCGAGCCTTTCACAACATCAAGACAATGTGCCATACCCATTCCTGCAACCTCCGTATGGGAGCTTTCACTCTTGGAGTTAACCGAGTCGCTCGAGCCACCCAGTTGCGTGGTTGGGAAGCTTAATTCAGCTGAATCCCCCCCTTATACTCTGTTTCTTACTCTGTTTACCGTTTTTTTGTTTTGTTTCATTTTTACTGAAAATCATTGAGCTTCCGAAATGGAAAAGGAAACAAATGGATTGAATAAACTAACAAATTGGAATAAAATATGATTGGATTTTCTCTTTTCCTTATTACGCCCATGTACTTCTCAAAGCAAAACGGAAGTTTCAAAGCAGAGGATGATTTAGGGGTTCTGATTTATCTTTTTAAGTTACCAATAGTGAAACCAAAACATATGTTAAATTCGGTTACAAATTATTGTATTTCCATGAAATTTCATAAATAATAAATTATATATATAAAACCGGAAATCAATTGAAGTTCACAAAAAAGTTGTTACATATCATAGCATGATCTAATAATCTAACGTATCAAACAGCAGTGGTGACTTGATTATTTCGATGGATAGATAGTGAACCTTCGTCGAACAAATGCATCAGAAGATTCTTATGAAAACTTTTAACTAAAAAAGAAGGTTCCAAAAGTGGAGAGTACATGGTCCTCATAACCATCTCTCTTTGTAGTGAAGAACAATAGTCGTTGTAACTAGAAACTGTCACATTCAATTGGAATCCAATTCCAAATAAGAAGTCCAGCTCTAACAAGTTCATCTCCTCTGTGGTTATTCCTCCAACTTTCGCATAAAATGCATTATTGTAACACCTATATTTTGTCAAAATCAGGTACATTTGTTAGAGAAATGTTAAGGAAAGAAAAAGAAAGAAAAAAAGAAAGAAAAAGGATTACTATAGAGTATAGACTATAAAAAGATAGATGATTGATGGGAAAACAAGTAGCAACTAGGCCAAAACCTTTAAGACTTGCTAGTTTTTTTTTTTTTTTTTTGGTTCAAAAAAGACTTATTAGTTCACAGTTCACAGTTCACTTATGTATTTTCTAGGCCAAACATTTTTAGACTTACTAATTTAGAAACATCATTCCAAAAATTTCTAATTTTGTAATGTGTGAAAATAAGCTTGCATGCTTCAATCCATTTATATTATTATTTCTATAAAAACTTCAACCTAAATAAAGATTAACGTTAAAAAAATGAACGTAACGAGAACAAATTTCATTCTAATTAAAAAGAATCATAATTTTTTTTTTCTAACAAAGGAACTTACAAGTCATCCATGAACTTAGCAGAGACCAAGACGCTGGTGATAATGAGCCTATGGACATTAAAGGAATCAATGGGCAAAAATGGCTGCTTTTGTATGAACCGATCCAAATATATATACGCAACTATGTAACACGAGTCGCTACAATCTGCGTACTTGAAGATCCTCTCCATATAGCTTCTGATTGATATAGAAGGTTTGGCCAGTGCATTGAAAGCTGAGATCCTCTGGTGCTCCCTGAACGGACGGCTCAGATCGTCGTTCGTCTCCGACACCCTTTGTAGGAGAGATGAAATCGCCGTTATGACATTTGGCATGATCTCAGCCATTGGTTCTTGATCGTGAATCACCTTCTGATCAATCTGATAAGCCATTGGATTTGGAGGGAGATGTGTAGGTTATTACATGGATTATGTTTGTGTTGTTGTCTCCTCTTTTGCCTGTCGTTTTGGGTGTATATATAGAAATAAATAGTAGTTGGTACTTGGTACATGTATGTGTTAATATTAAAATAAAGATATGTTGTATCGATGTTAATGTTTTACTTTAGTCATGCTAATGATTATTGGATTCTCACTACTAATTCTCCAAATATTATTTCTTTTGATTAATGGTTTTATGGCAATTTTTTTCTAAGCTCCAACCACTAAATTTGGACCATCATTTGGTTGGCATATTTTTTTTTTTTTTTGAATAACCGCGGGTCTTCCAAAGGCTTCTTAGGTCCAAGGACTAATTCCACGAGACTGGCAATTCCCCTATGTAAACCTGCCAGTGGCCGTGCCTCGAACCCTGGTGGCGGAAGTCACAGCCGTGACCCCTTTACCACTAGGCCACAAGGTCCGGTTTTTAAAGACACAATGTTTGATTTAGATTAATAAAGTCATTAGGTAAGTATTATTTGATTAAAATATTTATTATAAAGGAATAAATTTTTTCATATATAAGATTTTTAAACAGAAAGCTTATGAAAGTAAAGGCATATTGGGTTGGATTTTGTTGCTAATCACGTCACTGAATAGGTCAGAACTCAGAACTATAGAACATTAAAAGAAAAAGGTAAATAAGTAATCTTACCATGAAGAATAATCTAAAAGAATTTCTCTATTCCGACTTTCCGAATATGACCAAAAACGTTATAAGCATTAGTTACATCTTTGTTGAAGAGATGCTAATAAAATAAGATAATGCTAACTTGAGAGATTTGGTTTTCGTTGGGATAAAATTGGCTAACCACCAAACTAATTCCCCCTTAACTTTGTTCTGACTTTCACTTTTCTTGTAGACTCTACCAATATGTATATTATTCTATACAATGAATAAATTTACCCTAATATTAAGGTATTAGTATCCATGAAATGCTGTTATGCGATCATATGAGCCCCCTGTTCAAAAAATTGGGCGCCTAACCGATTAATTGGCCGACTAGGCACTCGGCGGAGGCATACCGCCACGATTTTGTCCAAGTCGGACACATTAATCGTCGAACCGATTTTTCGGCCGATTAAATGACTTGGGCGTTGAAATCGCCGAATTATTGTAAAAATTCAAACTAATTTCGGCCCAGACAAAAGATGGGATGGGCTGTAAATTACTGAGCCCACTTTAACTAATTATTTTAAAGACGAGAGCAAACTATTTATAAGGAAACATCACCAACTACTTCTTCTCAAAGTTTCGATGTGGGATGTTCATGTTTTGGGTAGGACTTAATAACTTTTTTAAAAATATCAATTAAATTCGGAATTAATTGTAGGCGCATTTATTCCCATGACAACTAATCAAGCTTGCCAGATTTATCCGAATTAAATATCAAGTAATTAAACATCAAATAACTTATATTAAGAAAATATCAATTAGATTTCTAATTAATTTAAATATCAAGTAAACATATGATTTAGATCCTTCAAATAAAAATTTATGATAATACATCATTTCCATGTAATTATTTGTAATATAACATTATATATTTTGTTTTTATATTAAATAAATAATATAATATTAAAATTAATCCCCGATTAAATCCCGAATAATTGGCTAGGCGCTAGGCCCACCTCCACCGCCCGATTGACGCCTAGCGATTTTTTGAACAAGGTATGAGCCAGGACCAAGGTGCCAAACACGTTAAAGAGTAATGAGCAACATGTTGTGAATATTCAAAGATTTGTGTATATTTAGGGTCACTGAATCTTATATCTTTTTCACTTCTCATTATTTTTTAATTGGGATATCATATAATTCGTATCTGACGGTGATTTGTTTTTTAAAATTATTTATTATTAATTTGATTTAGATGATTATATATTTATATCACGTCTTATATTCTCAATGTGAAAGAAACTGAAATGATCAAAATTATAGTATGTTTTTGTCAGCTATTTAAATAGAATGTATATAAATTATAATGTGTAAAAACCGAGAAGAGACAACAGAAATTTCTATACATATTAGAAATTGGTGAAGTAATCTTTACAGACTCACTTAATCAGATTTACTCCACATAAAGACAAATCCTTGATAATGTCACTAAACAATCTCTAAAAATTTTCCAAATGCACGAAACAATGGAATGGGTTTTACACTTTTACCTATGCTTGATTGGTTCATGAGGCTAAAATATGGGCTTCTTACGGATGGCCCAAATGATATTAGAAAATATAAGAAGAGATATCGGCCCAAATGAATTTTAGAGAGAGTTGTCCCATTTTCTAATTTCAGAATTCAGACTCAACTAGTTTCGAGTACTAATGCGTTTATTCAGATATTTATTAGTTGAATTTGAGTAACTAAGAGAAGTTTACAAAGGTGAGATGATACCACATCTTTTATTATGTATGAGCTGACAAGTACATATTAACACACACATAAACCAACAAACAAACAGGTAAAGAGGTCCTCTGAGAGAATCCTCTGTTTTGGGAGAAGAGCAACAAATGATTTTTGATTAGCCGTAGCAGCGGATAGGGTCCTTGCAGCTCTTTGCAGGTGATTGAGCGTTGCCATGCATTCCACCTTTGACTAGGTATTGCTGATGGTACTCTTCAGCTTTGTAGAATTTCTTTGCCGGTAAGATCTCAGTCACAATCTTATCCTCCAGTTTTGTCTGCTCTTTCTCTAGAGACTCGCGTGCTAGTTTCTCTTGCTCTGGTGTGTAGAAATATATACCTGATCGGTATTGTGCTCCCAAAAGCTTTCCCTGCAACAGTTTAAAGATCCGTTAAGAATTGAACGTTGTCAAGTAGAATGATGGTTATAATTGAGGACAAGGACCATCAAAATTGAAGTTCAAGACAAGAACACAAATTCACTCTAAGCATTACCATATACATGTCGCTAGACTACACAACCCAAACCAATCAGAAGAGTCAATTAAATAGACAAGAACATTCAAGCAAAAGAGTCAACAAAAAGTCAACATTCTTGAATTTTTCTTATGAAACTATCTACTGAACTCAGAAATTCCAACTTTTTACTTGAAGCCATTGAATCAAGCAGAGCAAGTCTCAGGACACACAAATTTGACCAGAAATTAACAAAATTAGACACCAAAACCCTAGATACCTGACGATTCAAGGTGGTAGGATCATGCCTAGACCAAAACAGATCAAGAAGCGTCTCATAAGTGCACTCTTTAGGATCAAACTGAACCCTAACAACTTCTGCATGGTTCGTGGTGTTCGTACAGACATCTTCATAAGACGGATTGTGAGAGATCCCCTGAGTGTAACCAACTTCAGTCACGGTCACGCCAGGGATTCTCTGGAAAGCAAGCTCAACTCCCCAGAAACATCCGGCGGCGAACTCAGCAAACTCGTTTCGCGGCGCCGGAACATCGTTGTCTGGCTCTTGAGCTATCGGAGAAGGAACAACCACAGGTTTGACAGCCACTTGAGGAGGCTCCTGAGCTATTGGAGAAGGAGTAGTTTCAGGTGTATCTACTACTTGAGGCTCCTGAGTTTTCAGAGAAGAATCCATTGTTAAGTCTTAAGTGTATTGTTGATGATAAAACCTCGTGAAGATCGTTTATATATAGAAAGAAGCTAGTCCGTGTCAGAGATTAACACCTAAAAATCAACGCTAATAAGAATATTCAAATTTCAATATTAGTATTTGACACACAAGAAAAATACGTGCAATAATACTATGTGTAATATTTCTAATTTGTTCAATTGTTAATATATCACGCTTCGTTTCATGAATTGTATTTGAAAATGTCTATAGAAAATTAAAGTCCAACAACCATGATTATAATTTGGAAACATCATTTAGATTTTAAATTTTTGGTTTGTCTGATTTTTTTTTTTTAATCAGAAATATAAGTTTAAATTATAGGATGACTTTAATAAGCAATCATGCAAGTATGCAACTTGTAGGTTGGTGGGCACGTTTGTTTATGCAATGAAAACTAGATAATCATTAATATGGAGTGGAGACTAAAGGAATGGCCCTCCTAGACTCTTCTTTTTTATTCGTTGGCTTCAATTATAAGTCTACGAGTTTCACAGATCTATTCAGGATCGCAATGATTATTTAGTTTAGGTTGATAGAGTATAACATCAATATTACAACATTGCAAATCAAATTCCAAAGAAGTAGTTACATAGCGTGTGATCAACTTCGGCAGTTTTACACAATATATTGCACACAAGTCCTTAGGTGCTAAATCCTCTGTTTTGGGAGAGGAGAAGAGGAAAGGAGCTTTTTAGCCGTAGCAGCGGATTGGGTCGTTGCAGCCTTTGGCAGTGGATTGCCCGAGGCCGAACCGCCCACCCTTTGACAGGTACTGTTGATGATGCTCTTCAGCTCTGTAGAATTTCTTAGCTGGCAAGATCTCAGTCATGATCTTCCTTTCCATTTGTTGCTGGTGACGTTCAAGTGACTCACGGGCTAGTTTCTCCTGCTCGGGTGTGTAGAAGTATATTCCGGATCGGTATTGGGTCCCCACGTCATTTCCCTGATCACATTAAATTCATAAATCAAAGTATCGATGTTAGCATAGAAGTAAGCTACCTAGAAAACAGAGTGCTTAAAACTAAAGAATGTCATGATTGTAACATTCACAGGAAGATATATCCTACTAATTCGGATCCAGAGGTTTTGATACGTGTATGTATATATGCCAATGAAAGTCAGAGAAGATGCAAATGTGAGAAGAAGCCTCATGCACAAGAGAGGATTAATACGATCTTTTCCATCATAATAACACCGCAACACAAGGTTAACATTATCGAAATAGATGTTCCGAGTTTGCAACAACAGAAATTGCTAAGACCATCGAACCTAAACAGACCGCTCGCTTGGGCATAAGCTACTGAATTGCCTCAAACAAAACTAGCGAAATGATTATCGTTCTCTGTGCACAGATGCAAGACAAATGGTAAGCCAAACTAACATCCATATATCCAAACATGAAAGCCATTGCTGATCAATGATCATGAACAGACCAAGAAGAACCTCTCTGAAAGCCGTATCTCTACCTCAATTAAAAAGAGAGCAACAGAAGAGAGAAAACAGAGCTACTACAGAAGCTGGATCATATAAAGATTCAACGACCAAATTTAACTACTTAAGCCTCATAGTTCAACAAAAATCAAGATTCAATATCATTTCTTTCCTCATACTCTACTTGGATGACCAAGGTTCCAAAATTACAAGTTTTTTCAGAGTTTAGACTGGTGATGAAACCAGAAAGCCATCAGATTTGAGAAAAAAATCAAGAAATCCCTAAAGCACAACAAGTCCTCAGGCTCAGGCACATCCCAATTAGAATCAATAATCCTAAAGACAAAATCTTTCTCAATCCCCAAACGTGAAAGGTTAAAACTTTAAATCTTGGATTAACCGTACCTGGCGATTCAAAGTGGTGGGATCATGCCTAGACCAGAACAAATCAAGCAGAGACTCATAGCTGCAATCGTTGAGATCATATTGAACCCTAACAACCTCCGCATGGCTCGTGGTTCCTGAACAAACATCTTCGTATGAAGGATTGTCTACGATCCCTTGTGTATATCCAACCTCGGTCTGAGTCACACCTGGGACTCTCTGAAACGCCAGCTCAACACCCCAGAAGCAACCAGCGCCGAATTGAGCAAACTGATTCCCCGGTGACGGAGCGTCATCGTCGTTTCCCTGAGCGATCGGAGAAGGATCCATATTGTTTTGCCCAGTTGATCCCAAACCCAACCTGTTGAGTATGTTCATGGAGAAATTTCTAGAGAGAGATATGAAGAGAGGACAAGAGTATGGAGAGAGAGAGAGGCTGTGAAACGGAAGACGTGTCTTCCAGTATTTTGCGTTTGCGTTTTAGTAGCGATCGCGATAAAAAAATAACCACAACTTTTAATCGACATTAGACACGCTGACACGGTCAAACGGTGAATTTACTAAACCGAACCAGATAAAATTACCTAAACTTTAAACCGATATCGGTTCTCCAAAAAAATCTGAATTTTCCGCGATCGAATCGCTCAGATACAAAATTCAATGTAATCAAAGAATCTAAACATAGATAACTCAAATTCTTTTTTTTTTTAATTATTATATATTGATTGATTGATAATTTAAACATAGATAACGTTGTTAACATGTCATTTTTTTAAGGAATCTGCTGACCAAACAAAACGAAATTTGTAGGTAATCTTATAACGAACCAAAAATTTCGGTTTTAATTTGGTCATAAACTCAAACCAAAATAAAGAAACTCAATCAATAGATATACTCTCATTCATTTTTTTTTTTTTTTTTGTGTGCCAAAACTCTCACTCATTATGAATACACATATAGTACATGAAAACTCTTATTATAGATTTTATAGTTGTTAATCAACAAGACCATATGAATGGAAAAGCAAAAACCATAAAATATACAAAAGTAGCCATATTACCCCTCCAACCGCTGTCGCCAACAAAACGAGCGGCCGAGCTAGCGACTCCGGTCGCAGGGTTATTCTTTTTAGAAGATGGTTGAAGAATCCCTACAGTGGCGGCTTGGGGAGATCCCACGGGGGCCTGAGATGGGCCATTGCCTTCAACATGGACTAGTAACCTCATACCAGCGAAGCAATGGAGCCTACTGCCACATACAAAGAACCGGTCTCCCGGTTTGGAAAGAGCAACTGTCGTGTTCCCGTTTGTGAACGTACGGATTGCATCTGTTGTGTTGCACTTTTGGTAGTTGTCTTTAGCTACTTCGTATACACTATGCGTCGATGAGTATTGGAACACTTGCAAAAACATTATACACATTATTAGCCTTAGTTCATCAAGGGGAAACACTAAATTAATTTGAGATTTTTTTAATTATATATAGTTGGATGAAGCAAACATTAGCTACCGTCTAGCGATTTTTAGAATGAGAGTATTAAAGTGTGTATATGATAGATACTTACGTAGAACATCACCAGGAGAGAATCGCTTGCCTGAAGTCCAAGTATCAAGATCGGAGCTTATGTCCCAACCGGAGCTGTCTCCCACAAAGTATGTTGTTGCATTGCATCTTCTTATTACTACAATCCCAAATATAATGCAGAGGTTATAAAGAAATTGCATCGTCGGCGTCTTCTCCATAGTGCACGCTGTTTGTATTTTTTCTGTAAATTGCGTTTAGTTTTCTTGCATCGCTATCGTACGTTTTCTATATGCAGTGTGAATGTAAATATATATGTGTTATAAACAGGACATGGGTTAAGGTTGCTCATTGGTGGGTAACCTAACTTCACAACCACCATAAAATATATGATCTGCTTTGTTCCCAGGCCTTTGTTTTATTTTTCCTAACAAATTTTTCGTGTTTCACAATTCATATGATTCTTGTGCTGTTAGTTAAAGTCTACATCCCTAAATTGGTTAAATCTTCATGAAGATATTGAAGAAGTAATTCATATTTATTTTTGCGATTGTGATTAATTAGGGAAGATTGTAGCGACCTGTAAATAATGCATGTATTTATAATTTATATATATATATATATATATATATATATATATATGATCTAGTGGATTGGTGACATTAGTTATTATGTACTTTTCCTTTTTCTAAAAATACTCGCAGAGGCTTGGAATTGGCATTGGAGGGGTGTTGAACCAGAACTTCTCGACTAATCCTGAGTGTTTCTCTTTACCAAACCTACCTAATATGCTTCCAGAGAATTTTCCTTGTAATACTTTTTATATTTGTTGATGGTTGTCATGCATGATTTAAAATACTACTATAGGACTTAGCCTTTTGGGATATAGTCGAGTTTTTAAACACATGTTTAATCAATTTATATGATAACCAATTTTTTTTTTGTTTTTGCAAGTTTTACTTACTTATTGTGTATTTGTAGAAATTAACTTATATACAAACTGCTAAAAGTACTAATATTAACGGTTGACATAGATTTTTGAGTTTCTTATAATTTAATATTAGTATTTTAATATTAAAAAAAACAGACAACTAAAAGACATAGAAAAAGAAGAAGAAAAATCTTTAGAAACGTAGCTTAAATTAGGTACGTCTCTTGTTCTTTCTCTTCTTTTTCTATTTTTTTAATATTTTAATCTTAAAAAATGTTGTAAGATACCTGCATTGCGGATGGTCTAATATATCACTAAAACACTCCTAATTTTTTTTATTCAAAGAAAAAAATATTTACTTAATTCGATAACAGCTAGCTAGTTGTAATGAAAAAGGGAAATTTTTTTATGATCATCGGCTGATTTTTTTTTTCTGTAATTAGATTTAGTAATAAATAGAGGATGCATGATCAGTGGAAGTTAAACCACAAAATTAGTTTTAACGTAATTAGTATGAATTAACATTATATCATTTTGCAAGTGATGTAAATATAAATTAATAAATACATCGATTGTGTAAACGATGTAAATTTAGAAATTTGTATCAATATGTAAAAGTGATAAATTGATCTAGATTTGTATCAGTTTTAATGAATTGATGCCACATAAATTAACAATAGCATCAGTTACAACAATTGATGTTAAATTATAATTTTTGTATCAATTATTAATAGAGAAATTGTTAAAAATGTTCTTTTTTCAATACCCCTTTTTAAAAATGCCCCTTTTGAGAGTCCATTTTTAAGTTTGCTCTCTTTTAATTTTAATGACCATTTTACCCTTATTTGAAACAAAATTAGGTCCACAAAATACAAAATATTTTTTGGCGGGAAGAGTGATCCCGCAATTTTCCCGCCAAAACACTTGTAAAAACCTTTAAAATACCTTGTAAAATTTTCCCGTAAAAAATTTTCCCGCCAAAAAAATTTTTTTGCGGGAAAAGTGATTCCGCAATTTTTTGGCGGGAAAATTTTTGGCGGAAAAAATTTACAAGGTATTTTAAAGGGTTTTACAAGATATTTTGTGTAAGGTTTACAATGTATTTTACAAGGTTTTACAAGGTACTTATAAGGTTTTATAAGGTATTTATAACTTGTAAAACCTTATAAAAAACTTGTAAAACTTTATAACTTGTAAAACCTTATAAAATAGCTTGTAAAATCTTATAATATCTTATAAATACTTTATAACTACGTTGTAAAACCTTTTAAAATACATTGTAAAACCTTATAAATACCCTGTAAAAACCCTTTAAAATACCTTGTAAATTTTTCCCGCCAAAAATTTAACGCCAAAAAATTTGCGGAATCACTTTTCCCGCAAAAAAAATTTTTTGGCGGGAAAATTTTTTGGCGGGAAAAAATTTTACAAGGTATTTTAAAGGTTTTTCAAATTTTTACAAGTGTTTTGGCGGAAAAAATTGGGGGATCACTTTTCCCGCCAAAAATTATTTTGTATTTTGTGGACCTAATTTTGTTATATTTCCTTATATATTTATGATATCTTTTATTAAAAGAAGGGTAATTTAGTCATTTTGTACATAAAAGGGGTATTTTTAAAAATGGACATCTAAAGGGGGCATTTTTGAAAAGAAGTATTGAAAAAAGGGCATTTTTGTGAGTCTCCTTTATTAATAATAAGTAACTCAAATTAGTATCATTTAACTTTTTGATGCAATTTAAGTGATGCAACAGAGCCTTTTTTTTTTTTAGTACTTAAGGTACGTTTCAATTGTACCGGTTTAGACCTAAACCGAAAAACTTGAAACACGTGAGCCCGGTTAATTTTTGTAACTTGACTTCCTCCGGTTTATCTAAAACAAAAACTGTAATTACCCTTTTTTTACCAAATGCTTTTTTTTCTTTAATTAGGTCCATATTGGTGACCATGTGGAAGTGCTAAGCAATGGATTATACAAGAGCATCGTTCATAAAGTCACTTTGAATGAAGAAAAGACGAGAATCTCTCTCGCGAGCTTGCATAGCTTGGGTATGGACGATAAGATGAGTGTCCCGTGTGAATTGGCTAACGATGAAAATCTGGTTCGGTATAAAGAGAGCAGCTTTAACGATTTTCTTGATTTTCTTGTCAAGAATGACATTTCTCAAGGGGATAGGTTCATTGACACTCTTAGAATCAAGGACTGATTATAAAAAATAAAAAAAAAATGAAGGACTGATCAGGTCTAACGTTGGTTTAAGAGTACGATACCCCGGTTTGGTTTGGTACACGGTATGACTCAGTCCATGTCCTTTTGCGTTTAACCTGTGATAACGAGGACATGTATATCAGAGACATATATACGTGTTAAATTGTAATGTGAGATATATTAGCATATCATTTTCCCTATTTCCAAATCAAAATACCACCTGAATATAAATAATAATATATATGTATATGAGCGTCTAATTTAGATTTTGTTTTTTGAAATGTTTTTCCATTTACAAATAGAAGAAAAGAAATATAAAGTATATAAAAAATTACGTAATTAATAATGCTCTCCAAAGAAACAAGAGAAGTGGGATTCATTCAAGAATTTGACAGAGTCCTTACTTCGATCTGGATTTACCAAAGGCATAGGCCCTAAATTCGCCACCAAATACTTAATAACTTTTTGAGGGTTTTTTTAGTAACGAATTACGAATCTTTTTCTCATTTGAGATTTGAAACAAACGTAATATCTTTCAGCCTTAATTAGTTACGTTGTAAAGAAACTGATTCAATCTCTTCTACACAACAAGATCGGATTATATAGGAGCAATATGTACAGATCCGCGAGCTGGAACCGTGTGACGGAGGATTACTCTGTGCCTTGGTCAGCACCAAAGGGATTATGGAAGGGCTTAGACGAAGACGAGCCGGCTCCATACGATCCCATCGGCCAAGAAGTGACCAAGAAAGAGAAGTCACGTACCAAGTTTGCTGAAAACGCCGTTCACATAATCCCTTTTGTCCTTCTTGCTTGTGCTCTCGTCCTTTGGTTCTTCTCTAATCCAGGTTTGTGTACCATTATACACATTGTGTCCTTAGCCATGATCTTAGGCTGTCATCTATTGGTGCGATTCTATATGCGTGCAAACAAACCTTCTATTTAAGAATGTTTAATTTTCTAGTCTTTGATCCAGTTATTTACTATTGTGATGTATTTAGAGGGCCATGAATCATGATTTGTTAAACATATGATCTTTTTTTATCTCTATGGAACTCACGTGACAGAAATTTGTGGTTAGAATGGATTTTATCAATATGGTATGCTTGGTTGATATAAGATAAATAGGAGGCTCGTCTCTCTACCCCATCGCAACATAAGCATTTGTCATGGATCCAATGTCATTTTCAAAAAATTTAGTGAAGAAAAAATGTCTAATTTTTTTTTTAAAATTTTTTTTATTAAGAAAGTTAGTTTTTTTTTTAGTTTTACCAAAGACCATTCTATAGATTAAGACGGTAGGATACATTATTACGACAACCTTATATATACATAATTTTGATTCTCCTAAGTTGATTTAATTTGTAGCGTCAAATGAAATGATGATTGCACATTTTTTACGTATAGATGTAGATGTTGGGGTGAGAGGGGAATCCATTGCAGCTAGGATTGAAGGATTAACGATCGAAGGAGACATTGACAATGATAGCGACGGAACTCAAACCGGATTCTTAGGAGCCGCCACAGATGTCGGACATTCAAAAAATAAACTAAAACGCGACGTTAATAAAAGCAATCGGAGGATACAAGCTTCAAGGAAAGTGATGAAAGGTTTTTATTAATTCTTTTTTTTTTGTTTGATAAATATTTATGAGATAAACTTTCAAAACGATTTATTTTTCTATTTTTTTCTATTGTAATTCCGCTTGTTAGTTGATCATGAGATGTGTTTCTTTGGTTACACGTTTCAATTTAGTTCTTCACATTTCCTTCAAGATGATGACGCCTTTTTTTTTTTTTTTGGAGGAAAGCTGTTTGATGTTTAAAAAGTTTAACTAAAAAAAGGAAAAAAGTTTAAACGTTAACATTTGTGCATGCAATTGCTTCTTTTCTGAAGAAAAGAATACGTGTCTTTCCAAGCAAAACTTGTAAGCTGGCATAGATTCTAATGAAAAACCGTCAGTTTATAGATCTGCCAGAAATAAAAACATTAATCTAGTGTCTAAAGGCTCTAAAACAATAAAATTAAACAATAAAACAATTACCTGAAATTCGTAGCTAAAACAGTTGAATCTAAAACCATGTTTTAGGAAAGTTGGATTCGAATATGATATGATTGGAAAAAGCTTTATTCTCGTATGATCCTGGTCCGAGGAGATGTATTTACCGCAAAACTTTTTGGATATAAAGAAAAAGCGATTCGAATAATAGATACTAAAAAAAAGTTTTATTTTTGTCAGATCTCCGGTCCGAGGGAATGTATTTAGCGGAAAACTTTTCGGACATAAAGAAAAAGCGATTCAATCATTATATACGAGAAAAAGTTTTTTTTTTTGTCTGATCTCCGGTCTAAGAAAATGTATTTAACGCAAAAAAATTCGGATATAAATTAAAAAAAAAAACAAGATATAAGCTACTTTTTGGTGTAAATAATATGCTGTATAAGCATTTCCTACTTCGATTAACTTTATAATGACTAAAATATAAATTATGGAAATGACATTTGCAAAATATTTCCATGTTTTTGGACTTAGCAATGCTCTCACCAAACCTACCAAGTTTGCAAAAGAGAGAAACGGCTGTCGAGGATTTAAAGGATTCGTCTCGACACGTGTGCCAGATGGTGCTCCTCTCCCCTTTATTATTTTTAAGTTCTTCTGATTATCACTTACACGTGTGTCTTCCCATGCAATTTTTACCATTCGTGTGTTTCCAAATGTTTTTTTTTTTCACTACTCTTCCTTCACATTTTTATTAACGTCTGTGAACTTTACCTCTCACGAATCAAATACCATTTAACACCATAATCAAATATTTAAATATACAAGTTGATGACAATTTTTTTGTAAATTACGGTTATATACTTTACATATGATCTGATGCTGCCTTTGAGAAAAAAAAAAAAATCTTCAAATCTTATAATTAGTATATCTTGCCGTTAAGATATTATTTATCCATAGTATATAAGTTCATGCAACAAAGATTAACTGTAACGCTTAAAATATATTTTGGCATTTTTCATTGCAAAAGTTTGCAGAAGGTAAAATTATTAAATATTCGACTTTTTTATTTCGTTTTTCTTCCTATAAATTCCCCTTTCAGTTTCCTAAATTATTTAAGATTTTCTTAAGATGAAATCTTTATAGGTTTCTTCCCTTTCCTAAATATTGAAAGACATGTATTAAACCAAAGTAAATCTTTAGATCATTGCAAGGAAAAATGTTGAAAAGTGTAAGTCCAATTGCATTCTACGATATCGGAGAGCATCAGCAATACTCTACTTTCGGGTACATCGTAAGCAAACCTGGGAATGCAGGAGCTTACGAGATCGACCCTCCGATCCCAAACATCGACGATGCGATCTACGGCTCTGATGAGTTCCGCATGTACGCCTACAAGATCAAACGGTGCCCTCGTACTCGTAGCCACGACTGGACGGAGTGTCCCTACGCTCACCGTGGCGAGAAAGCCACACGCCGTGATCCTCGCCGTTACACTTACTGTGCCGTCGCATGCCCGGCTTTCCGAAATGGCGCATGTCACCGTGGCGACTCATGCGAATTCGCGCATGGCGTATTCGAGTACTGGCTCCACCCGGCGCGTTACCGAACACGCGCCTGCAACGCCGGAAATTTGTGTCAGAGGAAAGTGTGTTTCTTTGCCCACGCACCGGAGCAGCTAAGGCAGTCTGAGGGAAAGCACAGGTGCAGGTACGCCTATAGGCCAGTGAGGGCTAGAGGTGGAGGAAATGGTGATGGAGTGGCGATGAGAATGGACGGCGAAGATTACGACACGTCACGGTCTCCGGTGAGAAGCGGGAAAGATGATTTAGATAGTAACGAGGAGAAGGTGTTGTTGAAGTGTTGGAGTCGGATGAGCATTGTGGATGATCATTATGAGCCGTCCGATTTGGATTTGGATTTGTCACATTTTGATTGGATCTCTGAGTTGGTCGATTAAATTGGGAAATTTAAGCAGCCAACAAAAAAAACCCGATAAATAAAGTGGATTTTAACAAAATCCACAAGATCAAGATTCAAGATGAGAGATCTTGTCATGTATATGGTAAATTTAATTGTAATGATTTATTGCAATGTCGCAAAACGAGTTACTTCTCTTTGCATGTAAACTGATTCTTGATCTTCTGTAAGTCTTTGAAGTTTCGATCATATAAACAATGTTATAAAACAGAGTTTCAAAAGAAAACAGAGTTTATTGGCTAAGTTTGTATTAGTCAATAGTCATGCAACCGTTACGTATATAGATATTATAGTTGTCGCTTATCAGTAACTCAGTATATACCATAAAAAGTTTGGGTTGTTGATCGTTGACCAGAAAGAAAAAAACAACAATTTGATTGATAATATATACGATTTTTTTTTGTAAAATGTAGATGTTGAAAGAAATTTTAGTTACAAATGTAACGTAATTTTTAATTAAAAATTAGAATTTATTCTCAGTTTAATTAATAATTTTTCTCTTAAAAAAATTCTATAATCAATTTGCTTTGGTATAGATAAAACAAATTTGAAAATAGTGAAATCAATTTTTAATTTAAAATTATTTAGTATATATAAACTTTAAGAATTGATATAATATGAACTACAGTACGGACCACCTAAGAGTCGACCGTACATTATACATTATTATACGTTCCCGATTGTTCATCACGTTATATGATTTATACTATATATAAATTAATAAACATTGTAGCATAGTCCATGTGTTTCTTTATTTCAGTATAATCAGCTTCGAGATTACATATGAACATTAAACGTTTTAAAAAGCTTTTGTTTCCTTATGAATCAATGCACAATACACAATATATATCTGCTACATGTTGGAACAACTTGACTTATTTCCTTTACCATGTGGGTGGTGTACTTCCACCAGCAGCCGGTTCAGCTCCAGCGGCAGGTGCAGCTCCAGCGGCTGGTGCAGCTCCAGCGGCAGGTGCAGTTTCAGCGGCAGGTGCATCTCCACCTGCGGCCCCTGCGGCCCCTGGTCCAAGCCATTTTGAGATGTTTCCAAACGGATTTCCGCCCCCTCCAAGCCCTCCAAGTCCTCCAGGTATACCTCCACCTGCGGCCCCTGGTCCTAACCATTTTGAGATGTTTCCAAACGGATTCTCGCCCCCTCCAAGTCCTCCAAGTCCTCCAAGTCCTCCAGGTAAACCTCCACCTGCGGCCCCTGGTCCTAACCATTTTGAGATATTTCCAAACGGATTTTGGCCCCCTCCAAATCTTCCCCCAAATCTCCTACCTCCCCCAAACCTCCTACCTCCCCCAAATCTCCTACCTCCAAACCTACGTCGCATGCTACATATATACTCACAAGTGCGTGCAAAGGTTAATTATGTATTAAAAACAAAATTGTACCACTTCTTATTAATCACGTTGACAGTTTTTCTAATGATATCATGTTTCGAAAAAAGGTAAACACGGGTTGTGATGGAATTGACAACTCATAAGTTAGAAGACAAAACATTAAAGAATTAATAAGAACATTAAGGTGGACAGTCAACAGTGTACACTACTCTTAAAAATAAATGAGGTAGTATGTGAAAAGAATCAAACATAGACAAAAGAGAATTATATAAGTCTGTTATAAAACAAAAAAAAAATCTATAGTTTTTAAAAATTTCACTTAATGAACCACCTGATGAGACTAGCAACGGCCATCGTTCCGAGTGCGCCACCGGCGGTGAATCCTGTAGTTATGACAGCAGTGGCTATCGTGGCTGGTACGAGAATAGGACTGAGTATGATAAAAAGCGGTGTGGTTATGGTTAATGCCGTGGCTGAACCTGCCAGTGTTAGACCCGCTAACACTAAGAAGACTATAGAGACCACGGCAGCAATAACCACCTGAGAAACCTCCGACACTAGGATGATGAGAAAAGAAAACATATTGGGAGAAATGTTAAATTTCGATGACTGAGATTTGTTCTTCGGCTCATACTTTATTATTGAATGGTTGTTAGGGTCTATACATGCAAAACGATGGGCGTAAATAGAGATTTACGTCACGTCACCTTTGCTTTTTTTTTTTGGGTTGTCATGTTTTTGGACCATCTTTTCTTTCTTGTAAAAGCTCAAACATTAATTGTCGTGTTGCAATTCATGTTTACGGTTGAAACAACCTAAAATAGGTGCTTCGAAAGAAATCCAAGAAGAGATTTTCTGGAAGTTTGATGAATGCTAGTTTGCTTGATTTTACGGCTGATGGTTGCAGTAAATCTTGATTCGGCTTGATGAAATTGCATGCAATATGCTGTTTAATTTTCAAATCTCGTAAAATAAAATTGTAAGAGATTCTTGTGAGGTTGGCCAAGTGGGAGAGTTTAGATTATACAAAAATAAAATATCGTCGAACATGAGAAGGCCGAGCATGCATATTCGATTTTGTCAGGAATAACTCTTTAATTTTTGGGATATATATGAAACATTGAAAAAAAGGTGATATCAAGATTCTTCCACTTGGCTGTTAAAAGACAATCATGCGTAATAAAACTACATGCAGAGAGGATCTTTGGTGAATGGTTTTTCCAAGCTGTTTCTCAACACACGAAGGAGCGCTTAAGAATGCAACTAAATAACCGGAAAACCGAGAACTGTGTACCTATCTTCCGTTGGATGGAGAGAGAGAGAGCCAGGTTTGAGACGAGAAGAATGTTGTTGAAGGTTCACCAAAATCACTCGACCACATGAATATGTTAGAGGGGTCTTATGCTACAGATCACATATCAAAAAGTAAAAAGCTCGAACCGAATATGGATGGTTCAACTACTTAGAGGGATGCTGTTTTAGTGATATCCCCAAATTCGAGTCCTAAGGCTTACATTTGGAGAGAGATCTGATAGAAAAAAAGTCTTCGAACGTGAGAAACTATGTATTGATAACTATTCATATAAACTTTATGAGCAGTCCGATTTGGATTTGGATTTGGATTTGTCACATTTTGATTGGATCTCAGAGTTGGTCGATCAAATTGGAAAATTAAAGCAGAGACCAAAAGAAACCCGATAAATAAAGTGGATTTTGTTAAAATCCACAAGATCAAGATTCAAGATGAGAGATCTTGTCATGTATATGGTAAATTTAATTGTAATGATTTATTGCAATGTCACATAAGTCTTTGAAGTTTCGATCATATAAACAATGTTATAAAACAGAGTTTCAGAAGAAAACAGAGTTTATTGGCTAAGTTGTATTAGTCACTAGTCATGCAACCGTTACATAGATATTATAGTTATCGCTTGTCAGTTTATACCATAAAAGGTTTGGGTTGTTGATCGTTGACAAGAAAAAAAACAGCAATTTGATTGACAATATATACGTTTTTTTTTTAAATGTAGATGTTATAAGGCCATCTCCAATGGTGAGAGCTTTCCCATGAGCTCTCACCAATTTTTTAATATAAATTTTGTCAAATTTTTAAATGAGAACTTGTGTTTTCTTTTAAAAAAATTTCATACTCCAATGGTGATCTCTCTCAAGTAGGTTCTTAAAAAAAAAAATTTCAAACATGTAAAAATATATATGGTTCTAGCTTCGCAAATGATGAAGCTAGATGATTTTCTGACCAAACTGCAATGCAAACTGATCAACTGCAGCCATAGCTTGACAAGCTGAACTAATTGATCCATCATATCTGCAGGAAGAAATCATAACCATCTTTGTAAGGGAGTTTGTTGTCTGGCTCTACTCCAACAGCAACTGCAGTCTGCGACGAGGCAACAGACACAAACACTTTCAAGAACAAAAACCTATATGATTATCAAAAAGTATTAAGACGTAAGCAATGGAAACATCGTTCCACACTCAATCAACATTTTGAATGATGCTATCAGAATACAATAACAAAGCAACGGAATCCAAACTAGAGAAACTTAAAGAATCAAATGATGGAAACAAAGAGGCAATGTAGAAAACCATTCTCAAACAAATCAACATCCTTATCAGAATTTATAATAAACAACACAAATTATAAGTTGCAGCTGCGTTTCTCAGAAACACCTGATGCATTTGACCTAACATAATAATGGAAGATTCTAAATATAATCACACAAAACTTCAAGGTTCCGACTAGAGTCCATAAGCTACTGATACATGCACTTCTACCTTCATCTTTACTCTAAAATCTAAAATTCAAAATCTCTAATCGACCAACAACAAATTCCCAAAATTAAATCATGATAATCTGCAGAAAAGTAGTAGATTCTTACCAATTACAAGATTTCTTGATCGAAGACTCTCATTCGATCCTCTTCTCCGGTTCAGACTCTTTCCTCACATCAGCTAATCCAGATTTAAGCGTCTCGTTACTCGGATCAATCTCTAATCCCTTCTTATACGCATCAATCGCTTCTTCAAACTTAGACAATCCAATAAACGCAGCTCCTAACCGACTATATCCTATAGACCAATCAGGTTTAAGCTCTATAGTCTTCTTCGCGTCGGATAAAGCTTCTTCGTAACGGTGGAGAGAACGTAAGCGGCGGATCGATTTGAATAGAGGACGTGATTGGTTGGTGAGAGATTGATTGCTTCTGTGAAGTGGGTTATTGCGGTGGCGTAATCGCCATCGCTCGCAAAGAGATAGAGAGAAAGAGTCGGGAAAGAAAAAGAGTGTGTGGCTTCTTTCATTTTTTTCTTGACGCGTTTTTTTTTTGTTTTGATCAAAAAAATCGACGGCTGAGAACACGCCACGTCATCGTCTCTCATACTACTCAAGATTTCTCTCAAGAGAGCTGTCTCTCTTCATAATTCAGGATTTTGATTTATTTTTCAACATTTTTTTCAAAAGAACCTGATCAGAGAACCCAATAAAACATCCATTGGAGATGCTCTAAGAAAATTTAGTTACAAATGTAACGTAATTTTTAATAAAAAAATTATAATTTATTCTTAGTTCAATTAACAATTTTTCTCTTAAAATTTTCAATAATCAATTTACTTTGGTATAGATAAACCAAATTTGAAAATATTGAAATCAATTTTTAATTTAAAATTACTTAGTATACAAACTTTAAGAATTTATATTATATGAACTACAGTGCGGACTACTTAAGAGTCGACCGTACATTATACATTATACGTTCCCGTTTGTTCATCACGTTATATGAAATTAATAAACATTGTAGCATAGTCCATGTGTTTCTTTATTTCAGTATAATCAGCTTTGAGATTACATAAGAACAAAAAACGTTTTAAAAAGCTTTTGTTTCCTTATGAATCAATGCACAATATACATGTTGGAACAACTTGACTTATTTCCTTTACCATGTGGGTGGTGTACTTCCACCAGCGGCAGGCGCAGCTCCAGCGGCTGGCGCAGCTCCAGCGGCAGGCGCAGCTCCAGCGGCTGGCGCAGCTCCAGCGGCAGGCGCAGCTCCAGCGGCAGGCGCAGCTCCAGCGGCTGGCGCAGCTCCAGCGGCAGGCGCAGCTTCAGCGGCAGGTGCACCTCCACCTGCGGCCCCTGGTCCGAACCATTTTGAGATGTTTGCAAACGGATTTCCGCCCCCTCCAAGTCCTCCAGGTGCACCTCCACCTGCGGCCCCTGGTCCGAACCATTTTGAGATGTCTCCAAATGGATTTCCACCCCCTCCAGGCGCAGCTCCACCACCTGGTTTATTCCCGAATGTTCCAGAAAATTTCTTCCCTCCCCAAAATCCTCCATATCCACCATAAACTGGCAATTTGAGCAGAGGTTGGGTTGACGAAGTTCCTTCCGCAGTCGGCTTTACTCCCATCCTACGTCTACATATATATTCACAAGTGCATACAAATTAAGGTTAATTATGTATTAAAAACAAATTTGTACCACTTCTTATTAATCACGTTGACAGTTTTTCTAATGATGTTTCAAAAATAGTTAAAATATGTGTTGTGATGGAATAGACAACTAATAAGTTAGAAGACAAAACATTAAAGAATTAATAAGAACATTAAGGTGTACAGTGTACACTACTTAAAAATAAATGAGGTAATATGTGAAAAGAATCAAAGATAGACAAAATAGAAAAAGAGAATTAAACAAGTTTTAATTTTCATGAAAAAAAAAAATCTATAGTTTTTTAAAATTTCACTTAATGAACCACCTACATGAGAGCAACGGCCATCGCTCCGAGTGCGCCACCGGTGGTGAATCCTGTGGTTATGACAGCAGTGGCTATCGTGGCTGGTACAAGAATCGGACTGAATATGATAAAAAGCGGTGTGGTTATGGTTAATGCCGTGGCGGAACCTACCAGTGTTAGACCCGCGAACACTAAGAAGACAATGGAGACCACGGCAGCAATAACCACCTGAAAAACCTCCAACAGGAAGATAAGAAAAGAAAACATATTGTGATAATTAAATGTTAAAGTTTGATGAGTGAGATTTGTTTTGATGGAGTTCTTCGGCTCATACTTTGTTATCAGATGGTTGTTGTCTACATGCAAAACGATGGGAGTAAATAGAGATTTACGTCACGTCACCTTTGCTTTCTTTTCTTTTTTTGGGTTGTCATGTTTTTGGGCCATCTTTTCTTTCTTGTTAAAAGCTCCAACATTAATTGTCGTGTTGCAATTCATGTTCACGGTTGGAACAACCTAATATAGGTGCTTCAAAAGAAATCCAAGAAGGCGAGATTTTGTGCAAGTTTGATGGATACAAGTTTGCTTGATTTGACGGATGATGGTTGCAGTAATCTCTATTCGGCTTGATGAAATTGCAATTTGATGTTTAATTTTCAAATATCGTAAAATAAATTTGAAAAAGATTTCTTGTGAGGTTGGCCAAGTGCGTGAGAGTTTAGATAGTAATACAAAAATAAAATATTGTCGAACATGAGAAGGCCGAGCATATATATTCGATTTTGTCAGGAATAACTCTTGAATTTTTGGGATATATATGAAACATTGAAAAAAGGTGATATCAAGATTCTTCCACTTGGCTGTTAAAAGACAATCATGCGTAACAAAACTCCAGAGAGGAGCTTTGGCGAATGGTTTGTTCCAAGCTGTTTCTCAACGTAACACACTAATTAATAAGAGCATGCTGGGTTCTCAAAATAGTTCTCAACAATATAAATAAATAAATAATAAAAAATAAGAGAGAGGGATAAGAATCGATTATCAAATGAGAAGTCTTGAGAACCTTTTGAGAGACTATTATGATACATGTCATAATAATATTGGTTATAAGTTTTTTTTATCATCCAAAATTTAAATAAAAAACAAACTATATTACATGTATTAAAATAATATAGATGAGAGACTTTGAAAGTCTCATCCATTGCACATGCTCTAAAAATGCAACTAAATAAACCGGAAAACTGAGAACCCTGCACTTATTCTTCCGTTGGATGGAGAGAGAGAGCCAGGTTTGAGACGAGAAGAATGTTGTTGAAGGTTCACCAAAACCACTCGACCACATGAATATGTTAGAGACTTAGAGGGGTCTTATGGTACAGATCACATATGGAAATTAAAAAGCTCGAACCAAATATGAATGGTTGATCAACTACTAATTAGAGCTGTTTTAGTGTTAGCCCCAAATTCGAGTCCTAAGGCTTACATTTGGAGAGAGATATGATAGAAAAAAGTCTTGGAACGTGAGAAACTATGTATTGAAAATTATTCATCTAAACTTAACACATGATTCTTAGAAACCTTAACAACTAATTTGCGGTCGCAAAAAATTACTTGAAACCTTCAAAAAAATATTCATACCATTCGTCTTTAAGTTCTATTGCTTATTTTTGTTGTCAACAAACCCAAACCGCTTTGTTAGTTGAATTTCTATTTTGAACCAGAAAAATCTATTACAAGATAGAAAATAACCAGTAAAACCTCCTCTTTATAATACTATGCTTACGTATAATTGAATAACAGAAGCAATTCTACTACAGAATGAAATAAAAGTGCTGCCACATTATTATTGTTCTTAAAATAAACATTGTATCATATTTATGTCTTTTTATCATAATAATCAGATTCAACATTACATATAAACATAAAACGTATTAGAAAACATTTTTTCTTTCTTTTACTTTCCCAATCATAAAATCTTGAACTAATGCGCAATGATATGCTTAATGTTGGAACTGCTCGACCATTGGCCTTTACTCCGCCATGTGGCTACCTCCACTTCCAAGTTTACCTCCTCCAAGTTTGTGTTTACCTCCTCCGATTTTGTGTTTACCTCCTCCACCCCCGGACATACCACCTTCCGACATACCTCCTTCACTTCCAGACATACCTCCTTCACTTCCTGACATGCCTCCTCCACCTCCGGACATACCTCCTTTCTTCCCGAATTTACTTCCAAGACCTCCGTGTTTACCTCCTCCAATTTTGTGTTTACTTCCTCCACCCCCAGATATACCACCTCCGGACATACCTCCTTCACTTCCAGACATACCTCCTTCACTTCCTGACATGCCTCCTCCACGTTCAGACATGCCTCCTTTCTTTCCGAATTTACCTCCAAGACCTCCGTGTTTACCTTTTCCATTGTGTTTACCTCCTCCACCTCCGGACATACCTCCTCCGGACATACCTCCTCCGGACATACCTCCTCCGGACATACCTCCTTCGGACATACCTCCTTCACTTTCAGACATACCTCCTTCACTTCCTGACATGCCTCCTCCACCTCCGGACTTACCACCTTTCTTTCCGTATTTACCTCGAAGACCTCCGAGTTTACCTCCTCTACTTTTGGATTTACCTCCGGACATACCTCCTTCACTTCCAGACATAGCTCCTTCACTTCCTGACATGCCTCCGCCACCTCCGGACATACCTCCTTTCTTTCCGAATTTATCTCGAAGACCTCCGCGTTTACCTCCTCCCCTTTTGGATTTACCTCCTCCACCTCCGGACATACCTCCTTCACTTCCAGACATACCTTCTTCACTCTCGGACCCTCCGGACATACCTTTTTTACTTTTTGATTTACCTCCTCGACTTCCAGATTTATGTCCTCCACGTTTGGATTTACCTCCTTCACCCCCGGACATACCATCATCCCCAGACGACATACCTTCTTCACCTTCGGACATACCGCCTTTACCTCCAAATTTACCTTTTCCACCCCCTGACTTACCTTTTTTACCACCGAATTTACCTCCTAACATCTTCTTACACCATGCTGGCAACTTAAGCCCACCTTTAGACTTTGACTTTTTGATCAGACTTTGGGCTCCTCCTGCTTCCGCTCCCGAATTCGGTGGAAGTCCGGCCGGAGGTGGATTATCCTTCGCCTTTACTCCCATCCTACGTCTACATCACACAAAAAAGTAGGTATATATACGTAGAGATTAATTAAGAAAACAAATGAAGTTCAATATATTTATAAAGTACGTTAACAAATGAAGTTCAATATATTTATAAAACTATATGTTTATGAATAATATATAAGCATAAATCTCGAGTGATCTCAATATAATTTGTTATAATCTTACTTAATAAGCCACAAGATGAGACCAAGGGCCGTCGCTCCAAAGGAGCCACCGGCCGTGAACCCTGTCGTCAAGACAACCGTGGCTATCGTAGCTGGTACGAGAACGGGACTAAATATGATGAAAACCGGTGTGCTTACGGCTAATGCCACGGCAGAACCAGCGAGGGTTACACAGGCGAAGCCTAAGAAGACTACGGAGGCCACGGAAGCAATAATAATCTTAATAACCTCCAACAATGGCATGAGAAAAGAGAACATACTGAGAAAAGAAAACTTTCTTCCCTCTCTCTCTGACAGAGACAACGAAGGAAAAAATCTGCCCTCTCTCTGTGACAAAGACAGAAAAGGAAATCGATTTTTGTCCTCTCTCAGTGACAGAGACTGAGCTGATGATGGGTTTTGACTGAGTTCTTCGCTCATATTTTCTGATCGGATTGTTGTGTTTTGGTGATGGAAAGAGAGAGGGCTTTTATAAAGGAGTTGTGTGGTCTACTACGTGCACGGTACACACATGAATGCTCCATGCAAAACAATTGGAGTGAATGGAGATTACGTCACGTCACATTTCCTCTTTTTTTTTTTTTTTTTTTTTTTTTTGTGTGTGTCTCTGTGGGTTGTCATGTTTTTTAGGCCACTTTCATTTATTCTTTCTTGTAAAACTCAAATGTTTTCTTTCATTTATAACTTACGTCTTAGCCATATCATATATAATTACTTAGCTAAATATTTGATTTTGATGGATTTCGATTGAAATTACTTGACTGAAAGATGGTTAATGGAGGTCATGAATATGAGACCGTATCACTAGTGACGAGAGGTCGCTCTGAATGGTAAATTTAATATTACATAACTAATAATAAAAAAATTATGGGTCCATGGGTCCAAGGAACCTCTTAAAAAAGAGAGAGAGAGATATGTAGCTCAAAACTAGGTATAGGCTCGGTTTGACGAAATAATGATATGTATGTCTATGGGTTAGAAATTCTTGATTTATTAGAAATTCTTGATTTATTAGAAATTCTTGATTTAATTGTACTGAAAAGGAGTTGGGCTTATTAAGACCAAGGATGAGACCAAGGACCCAACGCTAACCGCCGGGTTCAATTTGCTCTTCTAAAATTGGTCGAATTTATCTTGAAGGTTATATAAAGATAGCCCAATATTTTGGTTTCGAATAGAATTGAAAAAGCTAAAAGTGTTACAAACTTGAATAAAGTAATACATGCCCATATATAAACCAATCAATGAATTCGTCTTCTTCAACGTCCAACCCCGAAAGTCAACCTCGATCGTACCACGTATGTTCTCAGTATCTCACGATTGAATCATTCACTTCACATAGTCATATACAGTTGCTTTGGTTAACTTGGATCCATTCTCATTCATATATGTACATATGCTATAGTACCGATGAATTACTTCATTTAAACAAAGCATTGTTTCATAGTTTCTTTGTACCATGTTATACATTAATAGAAATGATATTTGAATCATGTAATTTCTTCTACGGTAATTAATATTTACTAAAAAGAGATGGATACATGAGGTTTAATTTATGAAACCAAATAATTAAGTTTCAAGTTGCTCCATATGATCATCCTTACCACCACGCAAGCCGTTTACCTCCTCGCGCTCCCGCCGGTTTATGTCCTGGCGTTTCCCCCGGTTTATCTCCCGACGCTCCCCCGGGTTTATCTCCCGACGCTCCTCCCGATGCTCCTCCAGGCGCTCCTCCCGACGCTCCTCCAGGCTCTCCTCCGGACGCCCCTCCAGGTCCTCCCGACGCTCCTCCAGGCGCTCCTCCTGACACTCCTCCCGACGCCCCTCCAGGTCCTCCTCCTGACGCTCCTCCCGGTTTATCTCCTGACATTTCTCCCCGTTTATCTCCAGGCGCTCCTCCTGATTTATCTCCCGACAGTCCTCCTGCTCCTGACATTTCTCCCGGTTTATCTCCAGACGCTCCTTCCGACGCCCCCGGTTGATCTGCTTTGGTTGGGGCTCCTTTCGGAGCTGGATTGTTCTTCGGTTTTACTCCAATCCTATGTCTACATCACACACACAAGTGTACATAAAACTATTAAGATTTTTTTTTTGTGCTGAAAACGTCCATTATTTAACATTAAAACCAATAAAAACATGCATTATGCAGGTTCGTTGTAGATGCACATGCCTTATAAGACGTTTGATAAATAGATGTATATATGATATGTGCACGTAGAGGGTTTGAATAGGGTTTTAAAAAAATTTAGTCATGGAAAAAATAATAGTAAATTAAATAAATAAATTTTACTTAAAGAGCCAAAATATGAGAGCAAATGCCGTCACTCCGAGGGCAACTGTAGCCGTAGCCCCTCCGACTACGAGAGTAGTGGCTATAGTGGCTGGTACGAGAATCGGACTGAAGATGACAAAAAGCGGTGTGGCTATGGTTAGTCCCACAATTGAGGCACCGAAGGTTATACCGGCGAACAGCAAGAAGACTACAGATGCTGCGCCAGCGATAACCACCTGAAAAAGCTGTACAACTGGGATGAGAAACGAGAACATTTTGTGAGTTACGTTTGATCTCTATTGTTGCTACTCTAATCGGATGTTTGTGGAAAGATAGAGGGCTTTTATGAAAAGAGTTGTGTGGTGTACGTGCACCGTACGGTACACATGCATGCTCCATGCGAAACGATGGGAAGTAAATAGAGATCTACGTTAAGTCACGCCAAATTTGCTTCTTCTTTTTGTTTGGCGTTTCATGTATTTCTTAAGATGATTTTCTATATATTTAATGTACGATAAATAATTAAGAAGTTACAAGGTCCCGCTCAGGTCCATTGTTTTAGTCAAAGCATAATTACAACTTACAAGTAATCATGACCCCAAAAAAAAAAAATTGATGATGACCTAAAACATTGAACCAGGTAAATTAACCTTGAGGATGGGTAGTTGTCCGTACCAATCGCGATTTATCACATTTCTCGGCCAGCTCTCACTCCACAAACTCCTCACTTCATCATTTGGTTCAAAGGCTTTTTTTTTTTTTGGATGAAATTTGGTACGGACACTTCGAACAACTCAAACTTAATCACAATATACATTTTGTTCACACTTTATATTTTAATATGTATCTGTTGACTAAACAGTTTTCTCTAGCTAGTTCTCATATAATTTTTGTAGGCCTTAACATCAAATTATTAACAAACAAAATAACTCAAATTATGTCTTTGATTTTATTGTGTTGTAATGAAATAGCAAAGCTTGGTTTTTAATTTTGTGTACACAGCTGTTTTGTTCAATTTCAATGCATCAACTTATAACCCCAGAAAAAGGAAGAATGGATGTTGTGTTTCTCTTTTTTTGCCATAAGAATGGTTTTTTGTTGTTGTTATATTTGTTATTAGCTATATATATAGCCCATATGCAATTAGCGAGTGACATGATTAAGGAGAAAATCCGCAGTGACATTTAAAAGTTGTGAAGGCGTAAACTTTGTTTTAAAGATATAACAGTCTTGAAAGCCTTTACCTTTACTAAAAAATTTCACCTATTAGTAACCCTTCCATATACTATTAGCGATTTAGTGTAGATATAGTGAACTTGCATCACATCCCAAAATCCATCTATGGTAATCTCATTGATATTACTTCATTAAAAAAGTACAAGAAAAACGATTACATTTATTATACTTTTTGTAACACACGATATACATCAATGGAATGATATTGGAAATATCCGGGGGTAACTAGTATTTAATAAAAGAGAGGATGGATAAATCTTTATTTTATTTATGGAACCCCAGTAATTAAGTATGATCAAGTTCCTCCCTACATCATCCCAAATTAGGAAACGCCAAATCGTATTTCCCCGATTCTGCAGGATTAGACGCCGGAGCCTGCTGGATTAGACGCCGGAGCCGCGGGTGGCGTCAATCCTGGAATTTTTGGCAGGTCCCTCCCTGTACGTCTCCTACATACAATCATATACTTCTGATTACTAAAATTAAATTCGTTGATTTGTATAAACTAAAGATTACGAATCGAACATGAACAAGGCGTTTGAACCAAAGTGTTGTCAAACCAAACTTGCAAAAACATGATAGAGTTTAATAAGGTTATACATCCTTAAAAATAACTGTACCATATATACCGAATGTTCACCCTTTGAAATGTATATTATATGTCTAAATTCTAATCATGCATATATATAAGTTCCCATGTAGATTCATATGCCTAAAACTACATTTAATAAAAGTAAACCAAATTGCGAGTTGTTTTCAATAATTTACTTGTAGATCCACGCAAGGATGGAGAAAGCCGTGGCACCAAAGGAACCGGAGGCTGTGAAACCTGAAGCTAGCAATGTAGTGGCTATAGTCGCTGGCACGAGAACGGGACTGAAAACGACAAAAAGTGGTGTGCTTATGGCAAATGCGACCACTGAGCCACCGAGGGTTATAGCGGAGAATGTCAAAAGAGCTAGTGCAGCCCCGGCAGCGAAAACCGCCTGAATAATCTCAAACATCTTTGGGATGATCAAATTAAACGGCTGGGATTTGATCTGATGGAATGGTTTGTGATTTGGTGGTGGGAAGAAGTGGGGTTTTATCAAGAAAGAGTGGAAGTCTACGTGAACGCTACGCTACACATTCATGCTCCATGCAAAACGATCTGAATGAAATTGGAGATATGTCTTACGTCACGTCACAGTTGTCTCTCTGTTTTCTTCTGTGGATTGTCACGGTTTTTGGCCTTTTCCTTGTGTTATGATCTTGATTTCGTATCCCATACAGACTTACATTTGGTTTTACGAACTATACGCTTCGTGACTATTACATGTTTTCTAAGAAAATTTGTAACCAAAAAAAAACTTTAACAATGATAACAAGAATTCAAATTAGAGTTCGATAATAGAAAAAAAAAATTGGATACCATATCGCTAACAAATTTTTAACTATTAGTATGACAGGTCTTTTAAAATTGTAACAAAAATAATTGTCACTAAAGAAATAAATATTACCAAAAACAAAATTGTCATTTAGTATATATAAATCAATAGGAAAAAGTAAGGAAAGATGTAAGCTAAGCTTTGAATGAATGTTTTTTTTAGCCATTCAATCTTAATAATAATTTTAGTTTATGTATGTGGCTCTATTTCAGCACGGTCCTGAGTCCTGACCATAGACAATAACCGAATACATGACTTTTTTTTTTTTTTTTCATCAAACCGAATACATGACTAAGTTTTGTAACTGATTCCAATTAATTTCGATTTAAAGATAGAATGACAAATCGAATATGTTAGGCTTTATTATTAGCTATGGACTACTTGTTCGGTTGTTCCTTGGCGCAGTGGTCAGTAATGGTCACTCCTTAGACTATTATAATTTGTATATAATTTCCCACTTTTACCTTTGACAAAGCTGCAACAACAACAACAGCAGTCTCTTTTGGGCTGATGGATTGTCTCACTGATTACATATTGTCCTTTTACTTATATTTCTATACAGGAATTTATATTTAAATTTTTTCGAACAAAATTTTAGGTTTGGATTATTAATTGGAAACCAGAGTATGATGGTCGAAACAAGAATTTCAGTGTGGAAGACTCACTAATTCACACGGATGATGCGTGGGTTAACTTGCGTCAAATCTCAAAATTTTCAACTAAGGTGGTGTTATTGGATTGGGGGTTTGAATGCATTTGGATGTATTTTGAAATAAGTGTTATTCAATTATGTATTTGAAACATTACGTTAAAATCTACTGTCATTGGATAGGTTGAAATCGGTGATATATATAACCTCGTTTTAAAAATATTGGACAATAAACATGCATACATATGTTATTGTTTCTGTAGCACGGCATACATTAAGAGAATGACATTTGAGAAGTTTACTTTCATCAACACGTAATAATTAGTATTTAGCAAAAAAAGATGGGTAATTATCTTTAATTTATGGAACTTCAATGATTATATAAATCAAATTGTCTATGTCCTTGAATTATTTTCATCCGCCCGGTTTAGCTGCAGGCTTAGCTGCCGGTTTAGCTGCTGGGGCAGCTGGGGCGGCAGGGGCAGCTCCACCTGCTGCAGCTCCACCGCCCGGATTCAATCCTGGAATTTTCGGAAGGTCTCTACCCGTAAATTGCCTAGACACAAAAACAAAGTCTGATTATCAAAAATTGTGGTAACCGGCTTGTGTGCGCATCATGCATACATATTAATAGTAGAAATGAATGTTTTTGTGGGTTAATTACTTGTAGAGCCACATTAAGATGGTGAGACCCGACACACCAGAGGTGCCTCCAGCCATTAAACCTCCGGCAAGAATAGTGGTGGCTATACCCGCGGGTACAAGAACCGGGCTAAATACTAGGAATACCGGCATGGAGGCGATTAGTGCCACGGCTGTGCCGGTTAAAGATAGACCGGCCAGCAACAAGAGGAATATTGCAGCTTGAGTGGCAAAAAAAGCCGTCATAACACCCTTGAGCGTCGGCTTTTGTCGGTATCGTATGTCGTCGCGACGTTTATTCTTTCCAAAAATCAAAGAGAGTGGAAAGGGCGCCATAATTGTTTGATCGGATGATTGTGGAATTTCATGAATTAGGAGAGTGGATTTTAATGAAGAGAGAGTGGTGTGGTCTACGTGCACGGCACCTGCTTACCCCATGCGAAACGATGCGAGTGAATGTTGAGCTCTACGTCACGTCAATGCCTCTTCTTCTTTCTTTCTTCATGCGAAAATGGGTTGTCACACTTTCTTGGCCTCGTTTTGTTTTTCTCTTTTCTTTTTCTCGGTTTCTTGTAAAATAGTTGTAGGTATTTTGGTTTATTTTCGGATTTCGGTTTGGGTACGTACCGATGGTTGGTTTGATTAGTTCAGTTTTCGTTAAAAATTTGATTGACTATAATTCGTTTGGTTCAGTTAGATTGATTTTAATTTGCTGTGGTTTTGATAGAGTTTGTTTCGGTTGTGTATTATATCTTACATGTTTTAAAAATCGATAAAATATGAATAAGTATGATCAACTAATTGCAGTATTTTTACCAAACAAAAAGCTAATTGCAGTATTGAGGATTGAAAACTAAATTGCCACGATAAAAAAGGAAAAAACCTTAGTGGTCTCTCTGTTGAAGATGGGTACAAGAGACAGAAAATGACTGAAGAGTCCTAAAAAGCAAGAAAGTTACATGGTTCTTATTAAGGGTTTGAGACTTGAGAACTTACGAACCAAGTGGTGAAACTGTATATCGTTATGGCAATCCGATACCAAACGATCTTGTATCAAATCATTTGAGGCTTAGATAGGTGAATATCATTCAAAACTCGAGTGCTCTCAAACATGGCGATCAGAATCTTCAATAGACCAAATAGGATAATTTTCGGCATCCAATAATTGGAATGTTTTACCAAAAAAATAAATAATAATTGGAATGTTATAAGATGTTGAAGAAGACTCATATATTAATATAATGATATTTGAGAATTTCAGTTTCATCAACACGTAATTAGTAATTACAGTATTAACTAGATTTAATTTTGGAATTCTAATAATTACATGCATATTAAAAATTTCCATATCATCTTTTCCTTGTCCTGCATTTCTTTTCATTTCTTTGGTTTAGCTGCTGGTTTTGCTGCGGGCTTTGCGGCCAGTTTTGGTTTAGATGTTGGTTTTGTTATTGGTTTTGATGTCGGTTTTGCTGCCGGTTTTGATGTTGGTTTTGCTGCCGGTTTTGATGTCGGCTTTGCGGCCGGTTTTGGTTTAGATGTTGGTTTTGTTGTCGGTTTTGATGCTGGTTTTACTGCCGGTTTTGATGCTGATTTTGCTACCGGTTTTGGTATCGTCTTTGATATCGGCTTTGCTGCTGGTTTTGCTACCGGCTTTGCTGCTGGTTGTGCTACCGGCTTTGCTGTCGGTTTGGCTATCGTCTTTGTTGTCGGTTTTGATTCTTGCTTTGCTGCCAGCTTTTTTGTAGGTTTAAATGTCGGTTTTAATGCCTGTTTTGATGCCAGTTTTTCTTCTGGTTCTGCTGTCATTTTTGGAACTGGTTTTGTTACCGGCTTTGATGTTGGTTTTACTGTCGATTTTTCTATAGGCTTTGATACTGGTTTTGCCACCGGTTTTGCTATTAGTTTTGATGTTGGCTTTACTGCCGGTTTTGCTATCGGTTTTGAAGTCGGCTTTTCTGTTGGTTTTGTTACCGGCTTTACAGTCAATTTTGATGGTGGCTTTGCTGCTGGCTTTTTTGTCGGATTATATGTTGGTTTTGCTGTCGGTTTTGTAACCGGCTTTGCTATCGGTTTTGATGTTGGTTTTGGTGTCGATTTTGCTACCGACTTTGATACTGGTTTTACCACCGGTTTTGCTGTCAGTTTTGATGATGACATTGTTGTTGGCTTTGTTGTTGGTTTGCCTTCTTCTTTCGATGATGGTTTAGCTACCGTTTTTGTTTTCGGTTTAGATGTTGATTTAGATATCGGTTTTGTTACTGGTTTAGATATCGGTTTAGTTGATGGTTTAGCTATTGGTTTAGATGTTGGTTTAGCTATTGGTTTAATAATCGGTTTAGTTGGTGGTTTAGTTGTCGGTTTAGATGATGGTTTAGATGTCGATTTAGTTGTTGGCTTTATTGTTGGTTTACCTGCTTCTTTCGATGATGGTTTAGCTACCGTTTTTTTTGTCAGTTTAGATGTTGGTTTAGTTATCGGTTTTGTTATTGGTTTAGTTGATGGTTTAGCTGTCGATTTGGACGTCGGTTTAGTGGTTGGTTTAATTGTTGGTTTAGTTGATGGTTTAGATGTCGGTTTAGGTGATGGTTTAGATGACGATTTAGTTGATGGTTTAGATGTCGGTTTAGATGATGGTTTAGATGTCGGTTTAGTTGATGGTTTAGCTACCGGTTTTGATGATGATTTAGCTGATTTATCTGTTGGTTTAGTCGTCGGCTTATTTGATGTTTTAGTTGGCACTTGTTTATCTGGTTTATCTGGGGAAGCACCTCCACCCGGAAAACTTCCATCTGATACATCTCTACCAGGTACATCCAGTGTAGGTCCACCCGGTGCAAGTCCACTCAATGCATCTCCACCCGGTGAAGGTCCACTCGGTGTAGGCAGTCTTGGTATAAGTCCTCTCGGTATAAGTCCTCTCGGTATAAGTCCACCCAATATCGAACCACTCGGTACATATGCATCCGATGGAGGACTACCTGGTGTGGATGTATCCGATGGAGGTCCACCCGTTGCAGGCCCACTCGGTATAAGTCCACCAAGTATAGATCCACCTGTTGAAGGTGTATTAGATGAAGGTCCATCTGAAAAACTTCCACCTGATACATCTCCACCAGGTAAAGGTCCATCCGGTGCAAATCCACTCATTGCATCTCCATCCAGTGAAGGCCCACTCGGTGCGGGTCTACTCGGTGCAGGTAGTCTCGGTATAAGTCCTCTTGGTACAAGTCCTCTTGGTATAAATCCTCTTGGTATACGTCCTCTCGGTATAATTCCTCTCGGTATAAGTCCATCCAATATCGATCTACCCGGTTTAGCTACATCCGATGAAGGTCCACCAAGTGCAGGTGCATCCGATGGAGTTCCACCTGATGCAGAACCACTCGGTATAAGTCCACCAAGTGTAGATCCACCTGTTGCTGGTGCATCTGATGGAGGTCCACCCGAAAAACTTCCACCTGATACATCTTCACCAGGTAAAGGTCCATCTGGTGCAGGTTCACCCGGTGTAAGTCCACTCATTGCATCTTCACCCGGTGAAGACCCACTCGGTGCGGGCTCACTCGGTGCAGGCAGTCTCGGTATAAGTCCTTTCGGTATAAGTCCTCTCAGTATACGTTCCCTTGGTATAAGTCTTCTCGGTATAAGTCCACCTAATATTGATCTACCTGGTGCAGGTGCATCCGATGGAGGTGCATCCGATGGAGGTGCATCCGATGGAGGTCCATCTAATGCAGGTGCATCCGATGGAAGTCCACCTGATGCAGGTCCACTCGATATAGGTCCACCAAGTATAGATCCACCTGTTGTAGGTGAATCCGATGGAGGTCCACCTGGAAAACTTCCACCTGATATATCTCCACCAGGTAAAGGTCCATCTGGTGCAGGTCCACCCGGTGCAAGTTCACTCATTGCATCTCCACTCGGTGAAGGCCCACTCGGTGAAGGCCCACTCGGTGCAGGCCCACTCGGTGCAGGTAGTCTCGGTATAAGTCCTCTTGGTATAAGTCCTCTCGGTATAAGTCCTCTCAGTATACGTCCTCTCGGTTTAAGTCGTCTCGGTATAAGTCCACCCAATATTGATCCACCCGGTGTAGGTGCATCCGATGGAGGTCCATCTGGTGCAGGTGCATCCGATGAAAGTCCACCTGATGTAGATCCACTCGGTATAAGTCCACCAAGTATAGATCCACTTGTTTTAGGTGCATCCGATGGAGGTCCTCTCGGAAAACTTCCACTTGATACATCTCCACCAGGTAAAGGTCCATCTAGTGCCGGTGCAGGTGCACCCGGTGTAAGTCCACTCATTGCATCTCCACCTGGTGAAGGCCCAGCTGGTGCCGGCCCACTCGGTGCAGGTGCATCTGGTGCAGGTACACCCGATACAAGTCCACTTGGTATAGATATATCTGATGGAGGTCCACCTGGTGCAGGTGCATCCGATGCAGGCCCACTCGGCATAAGTCCACCAAGTATAGATCTACCTGTTGCAGGTGAATCTGATGGAGGTCCACCCGGAAAACTTCCACCGGATACATCTCCACCATTTATAGGTCCTTCCAGTGCAGGTCCATTCGGTGCAAGTCCCCTCATTGCATCTCTACCGGTGATGGCCTACCTGGTGCAGACCCACCCGGTGCAGGCATTTTCGGTATAAGTCCACCCAATATAGATCCACCCCATGCAGGTGCATCTGATGGAGGTCCACCTAGTGCAGGTGCATCTAATGGAGGTCCACCTGCTGCAGGTGCATCTGATGGAAGTCCACCCGGTGCAGGTGCATCCGATGGAGATCCACCCGGTGTAGGTCTACTTGGTATAAGTCCACCAAGTATAGATCCACCTGTTACAGATGCATCCGATAGAGATCCCTCTGGTGCAGGTCCACCCAGTGGAGATCCATCTGATAGAGGTGTATCCAGTGGAGATGTATCCGGTGAAAGTGTATCCGATGGAGGTCCACCCGATACAGATGCATTTGGTGGAAGTCCACTCGATGCCGGTGTATCTAGTGCGAGTCCTCGCGGTGCAATTCTATCAGATGTATCTCCACTCTGTAGAACTCCACCACCAGATGTATCTCTACCAGATGCATCCTCACCTGGTGTAGCTGCACTCGTTGTATCTTCATTCGGTAAAACTCCATTTGATGCATCTTCATCCGATGTAGCTCCACTCGATTTATCTCCACTTGGGACAGCTCCATCCGATGCATATCCACCCGGTATCATTCCTAGACTATTCGGAAATTCTTTCCCTTGAATTTTCCTACACGGTTGAATACAAGTAGTTATAGAAAGAATGGATAAGTTATTCTTGAAAGTTTGGTCTATAATATTTTATAGTGTGATATTGATAATACTATGTTTAAAATGTAAACCATCCTTTTTAAGTATGGTTGAACTAACGATCTTGAGTATCTACTGATGAACCAGTAAACTACCAACTACTTGTTCAAACGGAACATTGATCAATCTTATATGAATGCTTTATTTGGTCCAAACTATTTCTCCAAAGACATAATCAGTTTATTTTGTTTTGTTTTGCTTTTTGGTAAAGTAAGACATAACCCGTTGCACGCACATGTAGTTCACGTATTATATGACTACGCTCCCGCCTAGAATATTCATAAATATAGTCACAAATCATGAATTGTAGACGTTAATTAATTTTTCTATGCTCTCACATACGGTATTTAGTTTGAAGTTATACAGATATAATAAAACTGTAAAAATCAGATATTAGTCGTCACCAAGATAACCCCAAATGCTAGATCAACACCTAAATGCACATACATATTAATAATAAAAATGAATGTTTTGTAGGTTAGTGTTAGTTACTTGTAGAGCCAAGTTAAGATGCTGAGAGCCGTCACACCGGAGGTGCCTCCAGCCATTAAACCTGAAGCAAGAATGGTGGCGGTAATACCCGCTGGTACGAGAACAGGGCTGAATACAAGGAATAGCGGCATGGAGGCGGCTAACGCTATGGCTGTGCTGACTAGGGATAGACCGGCCAGCAACAAGAGGAATACTGCAGCTGTGGTGGCAAAAAACGCTGTCAAAACACCTTTAAACGTGGGCTTTGGGGATCGTACTCTCTTGCGTTTTTTCTTGCCAAACAACATTTTTAGTGGCCAGATAATCTTACTTGTTTTATCGGATGGTTACGTTGTGGGATTTCATGAACTATGACAGGGGATTTTTATGAACAGAGAGAGGTGTGATCTACGTGTACGGCACGTGCTTACCCCATGCGTAACGATGCAACTGAGTGTTGAGCTCTACGTTACCTCAATGCCTATCTTCTACTTTTATCTTTGTTTCTCTATTTTTGTTGGTTTACCACATTTTTTCGGCCTCTATTCTTTTTTTTTGCTGGCTTTCTTGTGAAATAGCTGTAGGTACTTTGGTGTATATTCAGATGATGTTTGGGTAGGTTGGTTTGACTATAGTTTTCATTATAATATGATTGAATTATAAGTAATAAGTTGACTAGAATTTTTTTTTAATTTAGTTAGATCTTCGTGTGGTTTTGATTGAGTTTGTTTAAGTTGTATATTTTATCTTACATGTGTTAAATTTCCATATAATAAAAAATGAATAAGTTTTTTTTAACTAATTTAACTGTTGCAAGAACCTTAAATTGTAAAGTCAGTTTAGGTTCTTATTAATTAGTGTAAACCAAGGGGTGAAACTGTGTATCGGTGTGGCATTCAGATTCCAAACGATTTTACCAAATCACTCAGGCTTGGATGGGTAAAATATAGTTCCAAACTCGAGTGCTCTCAAACTTATGGCGACAGAATCATCTATAGACATTCGATATACAAGAAATTCAAACTTAGAAACAAATTAATTTCACGTACCAAAATAAATAAATAAATAAAGTAGTCCACTTAATATTATTACTACTGTAGGTTCATTAGCTGTAGTATTAGAGCAACCTCAATGGAGGTTTCTTACAAGATACCTTAACATTAAAATATTTAAAAAAATTGAAAAAGAAGAGAGAGAACAAGAAACATACCTTATATAAGGAATGTTTCTAAACATTTTAGAAACCTTTTGTACATTTGTCTTCTTTTTAGTGGTCTATTTATTTTTATATTAAAATATTAATATTTAAAATATAAGAAACTCAAAACTTATTTCTAACCATTGTGGTTGCTCTTAATATGTTTAAGTGTCGAAGGACGAAGGGTCACTTAATACAATTCAATTCATACTTTTCTCGGAATAATGTCGGTGGTTGAAATAGGACAGTCTCTTAATACCTGTTTGGTGTTTCCGATCTTTTGTTTATTAGTATGAAACAAAAACATTTACTTCGTTTTGCTATGTATGTCAAAATCTTCAAATAATAGATTTTCTAAGGCATACATTATGGATGGATCATATTGTTCTGATGTGAGTAAGTGCACAATGTTAACAACTAACTGTTAGCTGAATGCAACATATAGGTGAACTGTTCGCTGGTAAACTTTTTATTTGAAACTAGTTAAAGCTAATAGACTCGGTAAACATATTCAATAATGAACATAAAAGTGATTAGCATATCATTAACAACCAATAATGGATGATGGCGCAAAGACATCCAAAATAATCATATTTCTTTGTTCATATTATTATTTATGAAAAAAGAGGGTGGATTAGGTTTAATTGTTGTGGAGCCCTAAAAATTAATTAAAAATCCAAGAAATCAAGTTGCTTCAAATCATTTTCCCACCAGGAGAGGCCTACCAGGGAAAACAACTTGATTGAGCTGTCTTTCCTCTTTTAAAATTTATCCATTTGGAAGCTTTTTATAGAAAAATCTTTTCTATTTTTTTGTATGAACATAGAAAATTCTCTTGGGCTGAGTATCCAAAAAACAACATTATTTAATCGGACGTTGTTTGATCAGAAATGGTTTACGAGTTCCATATAAACGAATTTCATATTTTTCATTGCCTAGTCTTTCATCAAAGAATTTCGAAAACTGTGATATAAGGCTTATCTTCCGGACGGCGTGTTAAACTGTCTTTTGTTAAATGTTAGATTCAATTTAGGAATAATTTCATATTTACAGAGAAAAATCAGTTTAAGAAGGAAAAAAAATGATTTTAACTATAATTGGTATCTAGATACATTAATATACTTCGAGTATCATTTACAGAATAACTCACGTACGTTAAAAAGTCATTACTAGTACTAGAAATCCTTATGATATCAATAGATCAAATAGTAAAAATCAAATCAACCTAATTGCAATCAAATTTTGATTTTTGTTGACATCTCTTCTTATGCAGAGAATCTTTTTATGTGGAAACACAAACAAATGGCTTATCAAATAAACTTTTTTTTTTTGTCTATCATATGAATATTTCTACATAATATACCAATAATTATAAATAGCGAATAAAAACAAAAACAATAATGGGATGTTAGCAAAAAAGAAACAAAAAGAAATAAATAAGCAGTGCCGTTGAGAATCAAATGGTTTTTAGTAGTCAGCATCAAAGGTAAAAGACAAGTTGAGCATAATAATAGGAGAAGATTCATCGTAAAAACCAAAATGTAAAAAAAAAAAAAAAAAAAAAAGCTTAGCTTTTGATTATAGTTTTTGCAGTGTGAAGTGTCACATCACACAACAACTTGGGTGAGGGAAGGTCCTTACAAAAATTTGAACGTTGTCTTCATAAATTTGTATTAATTGATCACAGAGTTATGACCTATCTGTAAAATCGGTACATAGCTGATATAATGAGAGTATCAAGAGCCTATTAATAATTTTTTAATAGATCAGAGTATCAAGTTGGGTATGATCAATATCATTAGAGTGATATTTCTGATACCCAGTATCAGGTGACGTGGCGGCAGCTGATTCGTCTGGAAAACGTGTTTTTTTTTTAAAGCAGAAATTTTTTTTTTTTATATTTGGCAAAAATGGGGCCAAGGTAATTGACTCCAAACGACTAAATTATTTTTATCATCATGTTTTAAAAAGTTTTTTTGAATTTTATGTTTAATTTTGCTTAAGTATATTCTACTGTTTTTTTAGTTGTAATATTACCTTTTGTAATCCTATGTTTTTCTATATTTATTTTTGATTTTGCAAATAATTTTTTTTTTCTAATACTTAAACCGGTCTCACCAATGAAAAGATATTTAGCAAAAGTATCATAAAAAAATCTCAAGTAATAAATAATACTAAAAATTTCTTAATGATAATTTATGAGTATCACCTATGAGCATGCTCTAAAAGAGCGACAAAATCATAGTTTTTTTTTGTGTCCCTACCCATCCATGGCTGCTAAAATCTTTGATTACCTTCTTGTCTCCTTCCTCTTCTCTTTCCCTCTTTTATATAAGAACCAAAACATCCAGAGCTTTTGTTCAGTCATCACTTGCAGATTCTTTCTCTCTTTCGAAAAAAATGGCGAGTTTTGAGGAAAGCTCTGATTTGGAAGCTATACAGAACCATCTCTTTGAAGACTTTTTGGTTTGTGATGGTTTCATGGGAGATTTTGACTTTGATGCTTCTTTTGTCTCAGGACTTTGGTGTATAGAACCCCAGGTTCCTAAACAAGAACCTGATTCTCCAGTTCTTGATCCGGATTCTTTCGTTAATGAGTTTCTTCAAGTGGAAGGTGAATCGTCATCGTCATCACCAGAGCTGAACTCATCATCATCAACATCTGAGACTGATCAGAGTGTGAAAAAGGCAGAGAGGTTCGAAGAAGAAGAAGAAGCGAGACATTACAGAGGAGTGAGACGAAGACCGTGGGGGAAATTTGCAGCAGAGATTCGAGATCCAGCAAAGAAAGGATCAAGAATCTGGCTTGGAACATTTGAGAGTGATGTTGATGCTGCAAGAGCCTATGACTGTGCAGCTTTCAAGCTCCGGGGAAGAAAAGCCGTGCTCAACTTTCCTCTTGACGCCGGGAAATATGAAGCTCCGGAGAATTCAGGAAGGAAAAGGAAGAGAAGTGATGTGCAGGAAGAGCTTCAAAGAACTCAGAGCAATTCATCTTCATCTTCCTGTGATGCATTTTAACAGATTAATAGTGCGAGCAGTTTCCTTAAGTTGTATAAATTAATTGTACAGAGGAAACGAATGTGTAGGTTTAGTGTGCCTTGCAACAAATGTGTATGGATGTTCTGTTTCTTCATGTCCCTAAGATTTAGAAACAACTTCTTGTTTTCAAGAAAGTTATTGAGTTGCAGATCTCTAAACAACCTAACTAGTTATTAGATGTTGTAATCCACTAGTCAATGGTTCATGAAACATAAAGGTCTCAATCTCCCACATAGAAACTTCACTAAAAAAACATCTTCAACAAGTGACTCTACCAAGAGGAGAAGATGAGCAAGTTACAAGAATGTAGCAGCAAATGTTTGTCTTCATAGGTTAGGTAAAATTCAATACTCATTGTTAAAGGAAATGGACCACAAGCTACAGAGACTTAAAAGAGAGATGCACAACTTGCAAATGCAGAATAAAGAGAGCAGAGATATTTATCTAAATATCTACTTCTCTTTGTTTACTGTATGGTTAAGTATTAATAACACAGAAACCAGGATACCATTTCTCAGTCTCTGTCTGGTTTCCTAGTTTCACTGATATTATTCCTGTTTAGACGCTTACTGGGTGGAGGAATCCTAAGGCCAAAATGGGATCTATATATTTTTGAATAAAGTGAGATATCTTACATACATATGTCACATAACCCCCATAGTGAGCTAACCTGGTTTGGTTTTAGATTGAAGAGATTTTCTTCAAGGGGTTGACTGGGTTGTCATTTGTCAATGCAAGGCCCACTATATTGGACCTATTGGTCAATGGTCACCACTGCAAGAGTAAACTTGTCATACAGTTACAAATTATGGCATTTACCAGAATATCTATTGGTACATGGACAAAGCATGACAACATTCTTCTCTAATCAATCATTCTCCATAGTTCCAACGAAATACTTGAAGAAACTCAACCATATCTATCTCACTTTTGACAAGCATAACACTTCTCTAATTTGAATACTTATCATGTTACCACATAATCGGCATCATTACCTTTCAACACAGTTTTGATGAATACCTTTATCTGTTGAGCGGCTCCATAGACCAACATCAAGCAAGAGCTTATTTCCTGAAATGAGAACTTTATTTTGTTGGGTCAAGAACTAAACGGTTATTTTGTTACTCAAGAAAACTTCTTTATACATAGAAAAATGTTTTTAACAGTCACTAGAAAAAGTCGCGGGAAAAAAACACTCCTAAAATTGAAAGACAAACAAGGCTGCAACTCTTACAAAGAGCCACTAAGTAATCTTCAGTCATCAGAACTGTAGTCGCTGGACTCAGGCAGAGACGGGACCGTGGCACAACAGAATGCATCTTTGTCTTTGAGAAGGAGACAGCTTCCATCAATGTTCCATTTGAGGTCAGATATGGAGAAGCCCGGAAGGGGATTGCATACACAGAAGGCACCCGAGGGAGTCCACATGTAAAGGTGAGAACTTCCAGTGCATAGGAGAAGGCGTGTGCAGGTTGGGTCCCACACAGCGGCTCGGATGGGTTCTTTCTGAACCAGGATGGCTGCAACCTCGAGGCGGCGCATGTCCCATATCCACAGAGCAGTGGGCATACTGTCGTTTCGTGTGCATATGTACTGGCTGTCTTTGCTCCAAGCCAGAAGGCCTGAGAATATTTTGAAAGATTTTAGCTTTTGGAAGTTAATAACAAGAAGGAAATTTCCAATATACGATTGCAGTTTCCAAGGTTGGATTTGGTCGCAGAAGAAAGAGCTTACCGACTCCTTGTTTTGGGTTAGGCTTGTCTGCAGGAGGTTTCTGGAAAGGAAAAGCTACCGGTAATTCCATGACTTCATACCTGACACTTATATAGCCTTCTGAAGCATCTGGACATAGAACACAGAAGAAAACAAGATAAGATTACAAACATCAAGAGTGGTACCGAAGTTTTCCCTTTCAGAAAATAACAGGTTTGGAATCGGTGCTACCATAATTGCTTGGCATAAAGTTTTCATCCAGCGATAACTCAGACATATCAAGCTGTAATGGTTCATCGATTTCCTAGACAAAATAATGTCCAATAGGTTAGTTAAATACACGCCTGAGTCAGGCTATTAGAAACCTCTTTATCAAAGAATGGAAAGAGATTACCTTGAAAATGGCAGCAGAACAGGGTGCACGAACCGTTGATAGGTGTAAGAACTCAGCGAATGTTTTCCAAGTAAGGTGATTCAGGACCCGCAACATCTGATCATAGCTACCAATAGCAAGAAACTGACCACACGGAGACCAGGAAACAGTCTTGACACCAAGTCCACATTCATATGCCTGGTACTTAAACAGACACCTACCATCTGGAGAATAGATTAGAACCTGCCCAAAGGGTACAAACTTTAGAAATATCCCCAACAAATCAAACATAAGAAACTATCTACAAATAGCATCAAGATCAAAACAATACATACCTTATATTCAAGAGGCGAATCCCACACTACAATAGAACTATCATCAGGTGACCACTCAAGATCAGCCAAGTCCAAGGTGTCAACAGCAAAGCTTCCCATTATCTCCCATGATTGACAAGACAAAAGGTTAACATAATCCTTGCAATCACGCCGTGTACAGATCGCTGCAAACTTCCCATCTTGATTAAATGCAACTCCCTTGGAACCATGCTTCGGCCACTGAACATGAACACACGCAGTGTTTAAAAGAGACCAAACCGTTAACCGCAGCTGAAACTCGGACGTAGTGAGTATATGACGGCTGTCAGGACTCCACCTAGCGTATGAAATACCAGCAGGACCTTCATCAATCTTGCAAGTCCATTCTGGTTGTGTCAATGACCAAGCTTGAATCATGGGTTTTTTATAAAGACCACAAAGAATGTACTCAGAATCAAGAGCCCATTCTATGTAGCTTATTTTATCCAAGCAAGAAAACAATTGCACAACCTGCATTCACATCCATAACATTGAAGATTAGTACATAGATCCAAAAAAAAAAAAAAAACCTCAACGACATCATTATCTATAAGGTTCCAATTTCAAAAATTTAGCAAACCCAAGTTAGTATTATCCAATTGAAGCACAAGATCTAGTTGCATTTGACCATTAGAAGTAAGATCCAAAATCTCGTAGCTGAAATTGCCATTCTAATCAAGAGTTTAGGTGGTATAATTACCAAATCGAGCTAGTTTTTACCTGAAACGAAAACGTATCACGGATCACGAGACGATAATCATTAGCGACGGCGACGTAACGAGAGTTTGGAGAGAAACAACAAGGACCTGTTTGCTTGTAAGCCTCCGTAAATTCCATATTTGAGTATAATGCAAAGAGATTCTACCACAGATTCTCAGAAGATAATAGTCAATGCCTATGATCTTTGATCATCTAAGCTCCTCGATTTACAGTGATATGAGAGTACCAGGAGCCATGGACATCGACTTTCGAGAGAAAAAATTTCAAAATTGAAACGAAAAAGAGATTACGAGTCGGGTCGGGTTTGTATTGGGTGGTATAGCTTTCAGATTGAGACTGGGCCTGAGGCCCATTCTCTATTAACTCGTTCGTTGATGAATGACAATAATAGCCTTATTTAAGAAACAACTTCAAACATATTTTGAATGTTCTCGACTTTCTCGTACGTAAATGCACGTTCACGTGAAAAATGTTTTCCCAACTGAAAAAATGTTTTAACATTATTAATCTATTGTTTAGTTGTGAGATGCATTCAACATTACATTTATATATAAACATAAATTAAACCTTTTAATAGAACTATTGAAAAAATAGTGTTGTTGCATTTTTTGCATATAGACTTTCACTATAAGCAGATTCAACATTACATATAAACAAAAAACGTTTAATTGTAATCGTTTTCTTTTAATTTTATGAGAATCAGCTACATGTTGGAACAGCTCGACCAATGTCGTTTACCTCGGGGGCGGCAGGGGCGTTTTTGAGGGTGAGCAACCGGCGCAAATGCACAGGATCCAAAATTTTCTATTTTAAAAATTCTCTGCTATTTTGAGGGCTCAAATCTTTCAAAAATTTCTAGACATAGAACGACGGCTGCGATTAAATATTAGGTTTTATCTGGGAAGAAAAAGATGAGCATATGAAACCGTGACTTAAAAAAGAAAAGAACTTTGGACCAATTTTCCATTTTAAAAAGGCCCATTATTTCCAACAAAAGGCCATTATTAGTTTTAGTACAGGGTCTACTTTTTCTTTGAGCCGGCCTTGCCCGGGGGTGCGGGTGTACCTGTACCAGCACCACCAGGCGCACCAGCACCTGCACCTGCACCAGCACCAGCACCAGCAGCACCTGCACCTGCACCAGCACCAGCACCAGCACCTGCACCAGCACCTGCACCAGCATCAGCAGCTGCACCAGCAGCTTCGGGTGTACTTCCACCGCCGCCCGATTGATCTCCAAACTTTCCAGTAAACGATCTTCCTCCCCAAGTTGCTGTCCAAGTTCCTCCATAACTAAAATTTGGCGCAGCTTGGGGTGATGATGTTCCTCCCCAAGATCCTTTAAAAGTTCCTTCATAATTAATCTTTGGCGTTAAATTGAACGGAGTTTGGGCAAACATAGTTGGTGGAGCTCCTGTTGCAGGTATATTGTTCTTCGACTTAACTCCCATGCTGCGCCTACATCACACACACTATATATGTCATAATTTAATAAAATTTGATTTTTAAAAAAACATTCTACCATATGAATAATATATAAGCGTAAATCTTGAGTGATTTCTATATTATTTGTTTGGTTTTACTAAATCAACAACCTAATGAGAGCAATGGCCGTAGCTCCAAGGGCGCCACCGGCCGTAAACCCTGTGGTTAAGAGAGCAGTGGCTATCGTGGCTGGTACGAGAATCGGACTAAATATGATGAAAAGCGGTGTGGTTACGGTTAATGCCACGGCTGATCCAGCGAGTGTTAGACCCGAGAACACGAAGAAGACTATAGAGGCCACGACAGCGATAACCACCTTATAAACCTCCAACAACAGAATGAGAAAAGAAAACATTTTGTGATAAATGTTAAATTTCGATGACTGAGATGTGTTTTGATGGACTTCTTCGGCTCATACTTTGTTATCGGATGGTTGTTAGGGGTCTACATGCAAAACGATGTGAGTTTAAATAGAGATCTACGTCACGTCACCTGCTTTCTTTTGCTTGTCTTTTTATTTGGGTTGTCATGTTTTTTGGACCTTTTTTTATTGGGTGAATTTGCCCAGTAGCCATATTTAGACCAATAATAAAGAATATAGCCATCTAATTTGAGAAATTAAGCAAGTAACCAAAAACCCTAAAAAGTTACAAGCTAATTACAAGTCCACCCTTACATTATTTTTCTATTTTCTAATTTGCCATAACGATGGAACCCAAAAGTACGGCTACCGGAGCACTCGTCGTCGGAGTTACCACCATTGCTATCGCCGGCACAGCCGTTGCAATCCCTTAACACTGCCCTCATCTCCTCTCTGATCCCACTCTTCCGACTTATCTTATGTTGCAGGATTGGTGAGATGTGAGATTTGGTTGTTGGGGATGATGACGGTGACGGCGAAATTCGGTTGGGCTTGAAGAAACCCAGAAAAAAAGAGAGATGGAAGAAGAGATGGAGAGGTGGTGGTGACGTTATGGTGGTCGTTTTGGTGGTGACGACTGACGATGATGGTAGTAGTGGTGGTGATGACGTAGTTGTGGTGGTGACAAATGACAATTTTATATAGTGGGGTTAAAATTGTTAATAATACATGTAATATACACAATATCATAGTTCTATGGTTAGAATAGTTAGATAGTGAATTAAAGTTTTTTTTTTGGTTATACAGCCAAATTTCCCTTTTTTATTTCTTGTTCTTGTAAAAGTTCAAACATTAATTTTCGTGTTGTTCACGTTTATGGTTGGAACATCCTAAACTAGGTTCTTCTAAAGATAATCCAAGGAGGCGACATTTTACCTAAGTTTGACGGATACAAGCCTGCTTGATGTTACAGATGATATACTTGTACTGAATCTCGAGTCGCCTCGATGAAACTGCAATATGCAGTAAGTGTTCAAATCTTGCAAAAAGATATATAGTTCACTAAGCATGTAACTGATTCTTGATCCTCTATAGTTCTTGCAGTTTCAATATAACAATGTTTGAAACTCTGAAATTTACAGAAGAAAACAGAGTTTATGGGCTAAGTTAGTATTACTACTTAAAAGTAAGAAACTAAGAATAGGTCAAAGTCAACTAAACACAAAGAATAATTGATATGCAAAAGCTTCCTTCACAATCTTCTTGACCAAAAAAAAAACAGATCACATCACATCCTTAACTCTCTTTATAATCCAACACCAAAATCTCTTTCTACATCACTCCTAAACCCAAATTCCATAACATCACTCTTCAGCGATGTCTTCCTGTTCAAGAACGAGAACAAAAGCTCCAAGATCGGCCAGAAGCAATAGAAATGGCGGTTTCTCTTCCTCATCAGCTACAATTGTGGCTAATATCGACGATGTCTTGATTCAAATCCTCTCTTTTCTTCCAATCAAAACTCTTTTAAGATTCAAACGCGTATCCAAACGCTGGCTTTCGCTCATTACAAATCCCGATTTCTCCAACCGTATCATCAAGTCCAATCACCCCTTGCCCATCTCTGGCTTTTTCTTACACTCACCAAGAGCCATCAAGTATAGTTTTGTCTCTCTTGATGATGAAGATGACGCAACCAACCAACGGATTTCATCATCATTACCGCTTTGGTTTACTGATCATCAAACAGATATGATCATAATGCAATCAACCAATGGCCTCCTTCTCTGCCAATGCTCTTGTGCTTCTTCCAACCATTTCAACACAAATTACTATGTTTACAATCCGACGACGAAACAGTACACTCTTCTCCCTCAGATCACTGGTCACATCGCACTCTCTCTAGCCTTTGATCCTTCCAAATCTCCTCACTATAAAGTCTTTTGCCTCAGAGGAAGAAGTAACAACTCTGTTTCCTCTGCCTCTGACTCTGAACTTTACCACATAGAGGTTTATTCCTCCAATGAAGGACTTTGGAGAAGAGTTGATCCAGCTCTAACTTCTCCTTCAACCTTTATAGAGTTCAGCTACTCAGTCTTCTGGAATGGCGCGGTTCACTGGTACGGTCTCAGCTCTAGAGATTGCCTCTCCTTCGATATCAGTAAGGAGGAAATCAAGATTCTCCCACTCCCTGATCTTGACGATGAAGAAGCGCTGCTACCTGATCCCAGGACATTGAGGTTTTTGGATGAATCCCGGGGAAATCTTTACTATATCGAGGTAAATGATCAAAGTTCTTCAGATTTACCGGTATACGAAATGGAAAGAAACAGCTCAAGCTGGTCCATGAAGTATAATGTTGATTTAGAGCCTCTTGCAGCCGCTTTCCCCGAGATGATAACCGAAGACTATACCAATAGGCGGATCTACGCGTTCTCTGTCATCGGTTTCGTAAAGGAAGAGACAGATGCGGAATCTTACATTTTGCTTCACATTCCAAATAAGGCTGTAAAATACAACTTCATAGACAAGACTTTCAAGAAACTTTGTGACTTCAAGCCATTGGTCAATGATGCTCCTGAAGATGCGTTTTACAGATTCCAAAGAACTTTCCCATTCATCAAGTCTCTTGCTAATGTCTAGTAGTAAGTTTATTTTTCTCTGTAAAATGCATCCCTATGTAAAAGCTTTTATTCAAAAAAGATGATTCTAAAATTTCCCAATCTCTTCAAGTTTCCTCAAGACTTGTTTGACGTTTGGCCTAAGAGAAGGCGAAGGAGAGCAACAAGACATTGCAAGCTGAAAATACATGAGGACACATTCTTCACTCAGATTATCATCACTTCTGATAATCTCAGGACGGTATAAATCAGACAACCTATGATCAAGAACAGCATTCCTCATAAAATCAGGAAGATAGAACTCATCATCGCCCGTTGGATTCTCGTTTATCGGTTCTTTACCAGAGACTAGCTCAAGCATGATCACACCAAGACTATACACATCACTCTCTTTGCTCACTTCCTTCATCTTTATTAACTCAGGAGCTTTGTATCCCTCAGCTGCAGAAACATCAAGAATCTCTTGTCCTGCAGCTAGGTTCAAGAGCAAATGCAAACCGAAATCAGAGATTCGAGGTTCGAAAATCGAACTCAGAAGAACGTTCTTGGACTTCAGATTGCCATGGACGATTGGTTTCTGCATTCCTGTGTGGAGATGATCAAGAGCTGTAGATATTCCAATTGTGATTCTTAAAATATTAATCCATTTTCTTAATTCATCATCTCCACCTGCCAAAACAAAACAAGAATGTAATTTTCTTGTTAGTCTAGATATTTGCTGAGATTGATGTTCTTAGTGTAAAATTTTGTCTCAATTGTTCTTACTAAACTAAAGAAGTGGAAAATGACAGGAAAATAAAACAAAAATAGTACAGACAAAAGACAAAGATTATCATACCTTATATTTTCAAAAGCTTGAAAAATAATAATATTTAAGACAAATAATGAAAGACTGAATTATATGATCCAGCTAATGTGCTTAATTCCAGCTGTGTGGTTCTCTTTTGGATACTCTAGACACATTTTTAATCTTTCATATTTTAAATTTATATTTCTATGAATATATATGTATGTATGTACATATGAATCATCATCATCATGAGAATGGTAAATTTTCCGGGATAATAGAATCTTCCCGGGAAAACCCATGAAACAAGTAACCACGAGATTCCATGGGGTTAAAGGAAAAAAGAAAAAAGTTAACATTCTTTACTTTCTGTCGGAAAAAAGAAAAAGTTTGGTCCTTTTTAAAACATTTTTATCAAGAAAACAGAAAAAAAAAAAAAAAAACAGAGACGTACTTCTGATGAAGTCGGAAAGATTCCCGGAACCGAAGAAAGGATGAACCATAAGCTTCTCTCCTCTGTTTCCAGCGTAGAAACCTAACAGAGGAACCAAGTTCTCATGTCGAACAAACCCAAGTGTCTCGATGATGCCGTTAAACTCTTTAGAATCCGATCTCACTGTACACACCGGTCTAAGAAATCTAAGAACCCTAATCTTGCCGCTTCGTTGCAAAGACGCTTTGTACAAAGTACCGTAGCTTGATTTTCCGATGACTTCTCCGGGAGCATCGAGGATATCGCAGATCGTGAGATCTTCTCCGCCTTGAAAGGATACGAGTTCCTCTGTTTCCGAAGAGAATCCTTGTTTGTTGTGGTCGAGTGATTCGACGTCGTATTGATCTGAGTCAATAGATGATGATTCTTTTCTTCTAAAGCAGATGAAGAAGACAATGAAGAAGATTACTATCAAGAATGCTGATAAAGATACTCCAAGTAACATTGTTATAAGTTGAGTTTTTCTCATCTCATGAAACTTTTTTAGGTGAGAGAGTTTTAGGAAAAATGGGTATGGTGTTAATAAATGAGAAAAAATGTATGAATATCGAGTATTGTGAGATTTGCAGGAAAAAATCTGAGAAGAGAAATGGAAAGTGTGGAATTTATTGTTTACAGAGAAAGAGAGAAAGATTGATAGTGATGGGAGATGAAGTTGATATATAAGTTCAGAGGACAGATCTAGAATATCTTTTTTATTTCCTTGTATCAATGTTGACTTTATGATTTCTTGAGCTTGTAAGGGTATGTGTATATATGTATTTACATATATGCAAATACTATTATACTACTGTATTTTCCAATTTTACTTTCATCTTAAGTTCTCAACCAATTATGGTGACCTAATTAATAATTCCAAATTGTGTTTTCCTCACACGTCGTTATTTGCTCCCGGGTTGATGTTTTACAGTTTCACAATTTAGTAAAACTATTTTCGGAAAATGATATCTCGAGTAGAACGTTTTAGTTTCTTTCAAGGTAAATATTAATGAGCGACCGTGGTAATTAATTGTAATGATCTCAAGAAAATTTGAAGAACGTTGAAAGTGGTGATGATAAATTAAATGTTGGGTTTGACTAGTGATGGTGGTTGAAGTGCGTGGGGTACATATTTAGTAGATCCTTGATTGGATGTTTTATCCGGCAAGTTAGGGTCAGACTGGTGGAGAGCAAATAAATTGAACGGAAGTAAATACAACTCCTAACTTGAGAATGAAATTAATTGAGAGTAAAAAAAATGATTTTAGAGGAATAATTTTTTTCTCTTGGTTGATCAATGTTGAGGAAACTGTTTTTTTTTTTTTTTTTTTTTTTTTTTTTTTTGTAAAAGTTGAGGAAACAGTTCTTCTATTATTACCATTTTTTTCTGTTTTTCAGCTGAATTTATGTCTCTCTATTTATTGTTGATTGGTGAAAAAATTATAGAATTTTAAGTTATATTTATTTTTGCTACAAATTTTGCAGCCAATCAAAACTTAAGTTATATTAAGAGAGAAGCCGGTTAAGCAATCACAAAAGGTCTAAGGGAAATGGAATCTTGTTAATGGTCGTCGTGGTTAAGGTTTACATTTTGCACTAATGATCTTTTAGTAAGTTTGCTCATGTATTGGCTCTCTTTTTCTTTTAAGCTTTTATATGTTTTTCCCTTAACTAACAAAAGAAAGTTTCTATCTCCTATACTCTCTTTAAAATCATCATTTTTTACATAAATATTATTTGATAAAATATGTGATTAAAATTCGTAACTTGTCATTTAAAGTTTGTTTCATATAATTTTTTTTTGTTAAAGGTTTTATTCACTATTATGTTTGCGTAAAACCTAGGATACCATGTAGAGTTGCTAGTTAGTGAATAAGTATGATTGTGTTTAGAGCAAAGACTGAAAGTAATGATTACTGAGAATTGACAATCGACATCACGATTAATCTATTGTTAGCTGTAAGCTTTGTCTCTATTCCTTCATTAGACGGTTGACACAGATGATGAAATTCACTTTATTCAACGGCTCGAAGTTAGCCAATTTGGGTTCCACTGACCACTATCCTACCACGTCATCATCATTTTAAATTGTTCACCACTAAATACGATTGTGAAAGCATAATCGTTTCATAATCATAAATTGCACGATACATATTGGCTGGCCTTTTATAAGTTTATAACAAATTCTTATGTAACTACAAAGTACTATAGAACCACCTCATATGAGTTGGAAAGAAAAAAAAAAAAAAAACACATCACGAGCCCTGGTCTGAAGACGTTGTGATAATTAATGAAATCAATATATACAAAGCAAAATATAATAAGGGGATAAATCCATTTCATCTAGTTAATTAGCTATAAATTGGGAAGATGGAAATATGGATTTTCTTTAGCATTACAGAAATGATCATAGAAATATTCTACTAATATTAAGTGCATGGGCCAACAAAAATAAAAAATGGATGAGGTTAGCATTTAATAATTATTGACAATGAAACGTTGGCCGGCAGTTTTATTATATGGTCCCAATGTGACATGTAAGTACTATGTAGTTCATACTCCTGATAAAAAAATTGTGATTCGGACTCGAACAGAAGACAAAAAAATTTGATGACAGAAAAGAGAATAAAACTGTAAGTTGAATATAATTGGCTTGTTTTCTACTCGTATATAATGAATAATTAAGGTCAATGTAGTATGTTATCACTGACCGTATAAACTTATTTTAGTTCTTGCAAGAGAGATCTCTCATACTATTAGCCGAATATATTTTTCACTTTATTTCAGGTGTGACAAGTATTACCAAACTTGTGTTTGGTTGACTGGCTATGACGAGCACGAGGTCTTTGACTCATTCATTGCATTCATTTTCAAGTTGTGACAAACTGAAACTTTCTTTGCGCTTGTCTTATGTTTATTACTAAAACTGTGTTGTGCTTTGTAGTCAAGGATGTTACTACAGCCTAAACTTCTAATGGATAATGATAGGCAAGATTCTCAAGAGTCCATGCTGATAAAACAGTACAATCAATCGAATCCGGTGTAAATTCGATGAGGATTATATATTTTCAGGTATTATAAATGAAAAACTAAGATCATTAACAATTAGTCAGGTTGGCCGAGTGGTCTAAGGCGCCAGACTCAAGTTCTGGTCTTCGAGAGAGGGCGTGGGTTCAAATCCCACATCTGACATTACTTTTGTTTTTTCTTACCCAATTTTTTTTTTTTTTTTCATCCTTTTTCTTACCCAATTATACAAAATCCCCAAATCAAAACCCTAAAAACCCAATTTGTGATCAGATTGCGTTATGATATAATTTAATCATGTTCCTTTGGGGATCAAAGTTACTTGGATTCGTGCAATTGAATCGTCGTCGTTAGCCCAGCGAGGGACTTTGAGTTTTGCATCTCCAAAAAAAAAAATGGCTACCAAAAGTGACAACAAGGTTAATCTCTCACGCATGTTCAAGTATTTACTAGGTTCGTCTTCATTGTGTGTTTTTCTTTTTCGAAAATCTCTCTTTGCATTAAGCTTCTAATTGGTGTATTTGTCCATGATTCTGGATTTGAATTTTGGAATTTTAGCTACGCAGTTTCTATCAAGAAGCATCCCCTTCATATTCAATTCCTGGATCGTGAGGCATCTCACCGAACAAGACTATGCGGTAATGAATCCTTGTTTTACCAGTCGAATGTTTATCTTCTTTGATTTTGCCAATGTTTGTGCTTTAAGCTTCATTTTATGGTAAAGATTGTTTTTCTTTTTGTTTGTTTCATATTTCCAAGAAGCAACACTTATGCAGTTGTGTTCCAGGAATCTAAAATGTGATTATATAGTTGCTAAAGTATGGACTCTTAAATGTGGAAGATTGTTTTGGTTTGTGTGCCTGGAAACAATTATGAAGTCATGTTTTTTAGCTATGCTTGATTTTATTAGTTTCAGAATTTCAATGGGTGTGATTTTAATCTCGATCTATCTTTCCTCATTGAAATGCAGCTCTACGCTGTCCAGTTCCATCTTTTTGTTACTTGTGTCTTGTTTCTCAGCCGGGAGGGATTCCGCCGCGCTTGCTTGCGGGCTAACATTAAACGGTATGCATTAAGCAGTTTGCGCTGATCCTGTTCGCATATTTGGCTCTTGGCTAAGTTTTTGGTCAGTGATATAAATATTCCTTAAATTCGTGCTTCAGTGATGGTCCTGGATCAGAGGAAAATGTGACTAGGCTATTGAAAGTAGCATGGGTGACAGTACCACTCGGAATAGCTATTACTATTGCAGCATGCATTTTTGTGTTATGGTGGCAGAACCTTAGTTACTCCGACACATATGCACAGGCTATCTTGATTCACGGTATATTGCTGTCATTTTTTGTGCCTTTATCGTAGTTCTTTTGCTTACAGCCTTGGAATTTGAAAGTTTCGGTTTTGCGATCATTTACTTGTGTGTGTAATTATTGCAACATCAGTTGATTTTTTTTTTCTCCCACTACGATTTTTTTCTTCTCTAAGTTCACCATTGATTCATCTCGTCCTTACCTAATAATAGTTTTCAAAGTAGTCCAAGTTTAGCTCATTTATATATAACAGAATGATTAATCAACTTCTTTTTTTGTCAACTTAAGGACTAACCTACTTAACATGGCAGGCTTCGCATGTGTACTTGAGCTAATGGCTGAGCCTTTGTATATCCTCTCTCAGACACTGGTGAAGCTAGAGTTGCGACTCTTTGTTGAGATTGCCGCTACATTTGCACGCTGTGTAACTCTGTGGTCTCTCATAGTCAACCAAACCAACATGGTACAGCTCTTGTACCATTCCATTTTGTTATGGGTAAAAGAAAGCATATATGGTAGAACTATAATTTAATTATCATCAACATGTTTAGGAAAAAGGAATAGTCTTCGCACTGTCACAAGTTGCTTATGGAGGTTCCTTGTTTCTTGGCTACTGGGCTTATTTTCTCATTTGTGGTGTTCTCAGAAGTTCAGATCTCTTTCCTTTCAGGTTTGAGTTCTCTATTATTTGATTCCTTAACTCATGATATGCTCTAACCAACTCATTCATTTCCAAGTAATGTTCAACAATCTTTGTGATGTCACAGACCTGGGAACTTCATGGATTTCGATAACAAGCTCTCGAACATGTGTATGCTGTTTACTTTTCAGTCCTTTCGAAAGTTGATCCTTCAAGAAGGTGAAAAATTGGTCCTTGTATGGTTAGATACACCTTATAATCAGGCGGTATATGGGATCGTCGACAAACTAGGCAAGTCTCTTTAATAACACAATGCAAATTATCTATGGCTACAAAGGTTGCTTAGAAATGTTTCTTACACAATTTCTAAAACTCCAGGTAGTCTAGTTGTACGCATGGTGTTTTTTCCCTTTGAAGAAACTTCATACACTATATTTGCCAGGTTCGCATCAGGTTCATTTCTCTCCTGAGTTTAGTGTAGTTAAGTATATAATAAATCTCAATTATAATGTTTCATGATATTGGTTCAGATATTTATCTCCCAAGATTCTTAGTGGTCATTACCATATAAGGTTTCTATTTGTGTCTCTCTCTCTGTTGACAGGTGATTATCAGGAAAGGAAAAAGAAACTCGGAATTGGCTTGACCGAGGCCTTGAAGCTTGTGATATTAATAGGTATATTCCTATCTATTTGCAGAGTCTCTAAAACCTAAATTATAGATCCCCGATTATTTTTGTTCCTCAATGTAGATAAGACTTTTGAATCTAATCTTTGGTAATTTTCTGAATATGTGAACTTCCTGGGAATTTATAGGTCTTATATTTATGGCATTTGGCCCGAGTTATTCATACTCTCTCATCAGATTGTTGTATGGTGAAAAATGGAGCGATGGAGAAGCTTCCTTGGCCTTACAGTTTTATTGTCTCTACATCATCGTCCTGGCCATGAACGGTTAGTGATCATATCTAGATTAACTAGTGCTTATGGACTTATCAAGCTTCTTCTTTTGGCGGTTACTATTTGCATATTTCAATCTGTTACTTTGTAAACTCTTTTGTCAGGAACCTCCGAAGCATTTTTACATGCAGTTGGAACAGAGAATGAACTGAAGCGCTCAAACGACATGTTGCTTGTATTTTCATTGATTTACGTCGCGTTAAATATTCTGCTTATAAGATCTGCCGGAGCAATAGGTTTAATCATGGCGAATTCCTTGAGTATCCTTCACCTATAGATATATAGACACTTCAACTAGAATCAGCTATTGTTTATCTCTTTTTGTCTTCTTGACTTCTTAAAAAAAAAGATATGATATTTAGGATCATCTATTCAGGGAAATTCATCCAGCATTACTTCCAGGTATGCTTGATTAAACTATAGAATTATGTAACTGCCCCATTTTTTAAACAAAATTTGTAATTTAACCTCCAAATTTGTCTGCAGGGCACTTCTTCATTCTCGTTCCGAAAATGCTTTCCTTTAGGTTGGCAAATTCTTATCCTTTCGAGCATAATCACTCTCATCTCAGAGAAAACCATCCTCGATCGTAAGAATTTCTGGGAAACATTTCCTCTCCATTTCGCCATCGGTTTCATCTGCTTCTGTCTTTCGGCCATTGTCATGTAAGTCCTCTCCTATGGCTACTACAATATCCATTTCAGAAAACCGACATCTACGGTCTTGTTTCGGTTCAATATGCAAATTGTACTTTCTGAAATCTTGTGTGTTTTCTCTGGTAGATACCGGCGTGAGAGGGTGTTCATCAAAAGAATCATACATTTCAGGGATTATAATCACGACGACTGAAGAAACCGGTATATGTCCTTGTTAAAGTACGGTTTATAGGTTTACTTACAAGAGAGTTTTAACGCTGAGAAAGAGAAAGTGAAACTTTTGTATTACCGAATCCGGCTCTATTGGAAAAAAAAACCTCAGTTTTCTTAGGAGTTTTTAACATGGAACTCTTCTTTTTTTTTTTTTTGTCATCTAGAACTCTTCATTATTTTTGTTTTTTTTGATAATGGTTAAATCATCTCATGAATGGAAGGTACAGCAAGATTGAACCAAACAAAAAAAAGGTTTGTTAGAAACTGCATACTAATTGACCAAAAAGGTATTAATTTCCTTAGAAACAATGTGACTTGCCACACCGATGATTCAGACCAAATCCTAAAATTAAAATAAATATTTTAACCTGCGGGTCATATTCTAGTCCTAAATAAATCTAGAGTCTCCACTCCCTAAAAAAAAAGAATTTTGATAATTTTAATAAAATTATAGAGAGTAAATAAATGAAAGATTCTAAACAATTGCTAGAGAGTATTCTATAATCTTCTTGACTAGTTTTTCCAATAATCTCATAAAGTTTCCGAAACAATCTCTCTATTTTGATGATATTTTTTTATGATTTTATTTTGTTAAGAAAAATGTATAAAATCATAAACCAAAAACATAATAATATAATTCATTAACAAGCAGAAATTCTTTTGTTTTAGTTGAATAACACAACTTTTATTAACTTTACAAAATTCTGAATTCAATAACCCCAGATTTATGAAGATTTTATTGAAGACTTTTTACAAATCAAAAACTAATAACACCAAACTTTAAAAAAGTTTTGATTGAATAACAACAAATTCTACATAAGATTTGAAGTCATTAAAACACTATTTAAATCACAAATCAATAACACCCCTTAAGCCAAAAATATTGCTATTCCCTATTTTTTTTTTTTTTTTTGGGCAAACTGCTATTCCCTTTTTTCAAGCAGGTTTTTCACCTATAAAAGAGAAGGCTAATTCCCATTGAGGTAATCTCTTGTGTCCTCTCTCTCTCTCTCTTTCGTTTTTTCTCTCATTTAACGGTAGGGTTTTTCAGTTCACAAGTGGAGGAAGCAATCAAGAAGCCTTACACGATGTGTGTGTCGACCTTTCGGTTATATTGCAAGGGGTTGGTGTGTGAAGAGGTGATTAGGGATGAGAGTAAGCAGATCGGTGGTTTTGGTGTGGCCATCTGTGACCCAGAGGATAACCGACTATTTGAGATGAAGAAAGTTCTGGGAGGTGAAGAGTCCACACACCAGCTAGTTGCGGAATTGGCTGCCATAATTCATGCTTTGAATTGGGCGTTGGAGCTTGATCTGGGAAGTGTCACGTTCTTCTGTGATGATTCCAATATCTTAGAATACGTAACTACTAAACCCTAAAACTTACTTATTTTCATTAGTAGACTATTAGTATGTGTATTTGCTAGGTTTACGTCTCATATTATATTTTCTTTTTCTATGTGACAGGTGACAGGTAAAGCTGAACCAAACGAGTCCACGACCACTATAGCAACACTTGTCAAGGAAGTGTCTCTTCTTCAGAGCAGATTCTCGTTTTGCGAAGCACTTCCTGTGAGCAGGGACATCACTTTTGTCCTTGAGCATGCCAGAGCTGCTATAGCTTCCCAAATCAGATGGCGTGAAGGTGACGTCTACATGGAGACTTGTCCATTATGCTATGAACACGTTCCATCTGATGAGAAGTTTGAGGTACCTGGTTGTTTCCACCGCTTCTGCGTTGATTGCATTAAGAAACAAGTCGAAGTGGCACTAGAATTGGTGAAACCAGTAAACTGCCCAAGCTTGGGTTGCAACTCAGAACTACAGAGAGAGGATTGTGAAGGTCTTTTGGAACCTAAGCAGCTTGATCTTATGACCAAACACAAGAAGGCGAGCATGATCAAAGGTTCAGAGAGAGTATATATATTGTCCCACATGTGACAATGTAATGGCAAAGCCCAACCTCATTGAATACACAAAATCGTTCTTCGTTGATGCTGAGCTGTCAGGAGTCAGAAAGTGCACGGAGTGTGGGTATTGTTTCTGCGGAAAATGCAAAGCAGGATGGCACTATGGCATGACATGTGATGAATTCGTTAAATCAGAGTCTATTGAGACATCTCCTGAGGCTGAGGAATGTTACGAAGCTTTGGCTAAGAGTCTTGGATGGAAGAGATGCGGAAATTGCAAGTTGATGATTGCACATGATGGAGGTTGCAACCGTATAATCTGCAGGTACACTCTCTTTTTTTTTTTTTTTTTCACCCATCTGTTGAATATTGAAATAGAATGTTTACAAATTACAATCAAGGGAGAAACCAACTTTGAACCATAAGAGAAACAAATGACATTTCCAATCCTACACCTAGGACAGATTTTAACAATGACAAATGAGGAACCATCGCAGCATTGCTTCAAGTTTTTCAGCTCATCACAGTGAATTCCCGCACAACAAACTATGAAGACGGGCGGCGACACAAATGACGATAACTCGTAGACAACCATTGGCCTTCTCCGAAAATGATGCGTCTCCATCTCTGATTGCTTTTGTGCAAATTATCCCGGTTGAAAGAGCATCCAGATCCGCTCAAAGAACCGTCGGACAACCTATAATCGCCCAAATTCCAAACAACAAAAGACACACACTATCTAAGACTTGAACGCAACTAAATAACTAGACATGTGGGAGAAATTCTCCAGTCATAAGCTCCATCCACTGAGAATAACTAATTCAAACAGAGGAAGAGAAACAAACCCAGAAGCCCGAAAAAAGAGAGCCAGAACAAAAAGATCTGGAAGCAAGTGAGGAGGACGACAACTCGCGAGAAGATCAGAGAACCCAGAGAGCCGCTGAAACCCGTCGCCGAGCACCATCACCAACTGAAACAGAAAGCCGATGGAAAACAGACAAACCCCTTAGCCATGACCGGATCCGCCTTAAGAAGGGACATCAGAGCCATCTCTTCCACAAAACAAAACCCTAATCTCGCTACGCCCACCTCGCTTGCCACCGCTAATCTCACCGGCTTTCGACTAAACTGCAATAAACCTAAATTAAAGCTACTAGGGTTCCTCTCACAGCGCCGTGAAGGCCGCCGGAGAGGAAGAAAGCCAACGAAAAAGCCTCTGTGTTTCTCTGCTTTTTTTTTTTCCTGCCGAAGGAAAAGTTTTGCCGATTTTTTGCAGGTACACTCTCTCTTTCTCTGAATTTTTATTTCATATATAGTGTGATAATATTGATTTTGATCATTTTGTCTTCTTAAATCCTCACAGCTGCAAATTCGAGTTCTGTTTCGCCTGTGGAGCTGAGTGGAACAAGGAAGCCAACTGTAACTGCCCGCCCCATGATGAATCCTAGTAGGGAACGGGTTTGGAGTAAGAGGACTAGTGATGTTTTTGTGTTGCATTAAGTACGGTTAAGGATTTGGTTTTTGTACTTCAAATTTTCACAAGAGTTATTTTGTCTTTGCACTCTTCATTATTTTTCTTTTTGATAAATTGGTTAAGTGTACTTCATTGGTCAAGAAGAATGACGTCATTCGGGGTGGAATCAAAATCCTAAGAAAAGAAAATAAATATAAATTACCAATAAAATAAATACAGTAGAAATCAGAGGATAATGAATTACTCTTTTTTTTTTCTCTATAATAACATCATAATATAGTGGACAAAAAAGGATTGAAATTTCTTTAGAAACACATATAAAACTAAGAACTTGGCGTTATCCAAAGAAACATAAAATAAATCATATGAAAATTCAAAAATTGTACTATTTGATATTTCTAAACTATTGGGTCAGAATTATATAAACTCTGAGATCGTGCCATAACGGTTATTAATGATTCTGTTTCGGAAGAGTTTCTTTTTCACCATATCAACGCAATGGGTGCTTAAAAATGGTTCTTAAGAGTATTAAAATAATAAATTTGTAAAAGTGATAGTTAAGAGATTGTATTTTTGGGTTAAGATTTTTGTGTGATTAATGGTAGGCTCTTAACAAGTGGTTCTTAGAAAAAAAAATATTAATATAAAAATATAATTTATAATTATAGAAAATTTAATAATTGTTGCAAATTAAAAAATTTAAAACATACATGAGATACAATTTATAACATAAATATTTTTGTTTTAAACTTAATTTCTGGAATATTTTGTCCATATATGCTCGACCAAATCCTTCTTCAATTGTTGATGCATATTTGGATCACGAATCCGAGATCTAGTGGCCATCATATCGACGATATTTGAAGGCAAATCTGTAGAATAGGTGAAATCTACCCGTGAACTTCCTGCAGATTCCGCTTGTTCGAATTCGGTAGTATCATACAGAGTATACCCATCTCGTTCATCTTCTACTATCATATTGTGAAGTATTAAACATGCTCGCATAATATTTCCTATTTTGACCTTATCCCAACTAAGTGCCGGATTTTTCACAATGGCAAATCGAGCTTGCAAAACTCCAAAAGCACGTTCGACATCTTTACGGCAAGCTTCTTGATGGGTTGCAAATAAAGATGCTTTCTCAGTTTGTGGAAGTGAAATAGATTGGATAAACGTAGCCCATTTAGGATAAATGCCATCAGTGAGATAGTAACCCAAATGATAGTCGTTCCCGTTTACTGTATAATTCACTTTTGGTGCTCGCCCTTTTAAGATGTCATCAAAAACCGGAGAGCGATCTAGAATATTTAGATCATTTAAAGTACCTGGAGGTCCAAAAAACGCATGCCATATCCAAAGATCTTGGGAAGCTACAGCCTCTAAAACGATCGTTGGTTTTCCAGAGGCACGTGTATATTGTCCTTTCCAAGAGGTAGGACAATTCTTCCACTCCCAATGCATACAATCGATGCTTCCCATCATCCCGGGAAATCCTCGAATCTCTCCAATAACGAGTAGCCGTTGAAGATCTTCTGCATTGGGTTTTCGTAGGTACTCATCTCCAAAGCAATTAATAATTCCCTCAACAAAATGTTCCATGCATTTTAGCGAAGTGGTTTGACCAATCCGGAGGTATTCGTCAACCGCGTCAGCCGCCAAACCGTATGCAAGCATACGAATTGCTGCCGTACACTTTTGTAGTGCAGAGAAACCGTACCTGCCTGTAGCATCTCTTCTTTGTTGAAAGAATTGAATTTCTGCAGAAAGTCGATCAACAACACGCATGAATAATGGCTTGTTCATTCTAAAACGGCGTCGAAATAGATTAGGAGGGAAAGTTGGATTTTCTGCGAAATAATCGTTCCATAACTGGATGTGGCCTTCTTCACGATGTCTTTCAATATGGACTCTTTTTTTCCTCGGTTTTCTGGCTTGTTGAGGATCACCGTATGAGTACAAAGAATTATCCAATTCTACCTGGAAAATATTATTAATTTCTTCGTCTAACGATTCGTCGAAATTATCATTGGACGACGAAGCCATTTTGTATGTAGAAAATATTGGATTTTTTTGGTATGTAGAAAATATGGTTTTTTAGAAGTAGAAAATGGGCTACGTTTATGAGATGTTGGTATTGAGTTGTTGGTTTGAGAAGTAGAAAATATGGTTTTTTAGAAGTAATAATGAGATGTTGGTATTGAGTTGAGAAGTGAGAACAAAAAGCACTAATGAGATGTGGTATTGGTTTGAGAAGTGAGAACAAAAAGCAATAATGACTTATGGTATTGGTAGAAAATGTTTTACAAGAGAGAATGAGAATGTGAGATGGTGAGAACAATAAGCAATACATGTTGTTTTTATATAGCAAATGAATCAAAAAAATATGTGGTCTCGGAGAGATTGAGTTTATGTTATGTGGTTCACAATGCGATCCCAAATATGTGGTCCTCTTCAACATGTCCTCTTCTTGTCAGCTTCAACATGCCCTCTTTCTTTTCACCTTGTCTTTTTGCTTCACGGGTTGCTAGTAATATTCTTTGGTACTATCCTGCACAAAAACACAAACAAAGACAGAGTCTGGCAACAATTATATCATACACTTGAACACAAACAGAAACACTTAAAGAGATCAATGCATCATTAATTATAAACTTCAACAGAGTCTGTTACAAAGATATCAGACACTTGAACACAAACAGAAACACTTAAACACAAACAGAAACACTTAAAGAGATTTTGATACATAAATAAAAAAAGAAAAACAAAGTCTAACAGAAACTTAAACGCAAACACAAAACAAATGCAAGCTTGTTCTTCAAAACATTATCTCTCTAATCAGCTTGTTCTTAAGGTCTTCCTCTATTTCAGTAAGAGGAGTAGATTTTGATAGAAGACTATCAAGCAACCGCCTATTGGTTAGCTCCTTCTTCATTGCATGCTCTTGCTGCTTCATTGCAAAATCTTGTTGCTTTATGTCCCAAATAGTATGTATCCTTTTCAATGATGCTTCCCCTTCTTCTTCAACAGTAGGTAGATTGTTGGCTGGCTTTTTCCCTTTGGCCTTTGCAGCCTTGGCTGCCTTGACACCAGGAGGACGGGGTTGAGAAGAGTCAGAGTCTCCATTGCCTTGGGAAGCTTCTGGACCGTCCTCAGTCATTCTTTTTTTGGTTTTTCCAGTCTCTTTCATTCTCTGTGATGCAGCCCATTTCTGGTCATGCTTTAATTCTCTCCATGCATGCTCTAGCTTGAACTCCTTCTTGTAATCAGTCTCGTAAATCTGATGAGCTAGCTTCATCAAGTCATCATCGTTCTGACCACTTGTCATTTGATTTGTTGCAGCTTGGTACGATCCAACAAACTTGCATACCATCTTGTTAATCTTTGCCCACCTATTTTTGAAATGGCTTGGCGGCCTCTCTTTCAAAGTAGAAACATTGGGACTAGCTGCATAGTAGTTTGCAATCCGATTCCAGAAAGCAACTCCTCGCTGCTCATTACCTATTATAGGATCTTTGCTTGTGTTTAACCAAGCAGAAATGAGTACCACATCTTCTTTGGAAGTCCATTTGTTCCTCTTTCTTGGCATGCGTGTAGCAGGAATGTTTTCAGCTTCACTTGGTGACCATTGAGAGCTGAAAACAGGGACTTGAGATTCACCAAGATCAATACTTGGTGAATCCGTATCAATGCCATTGGGCTGCAGGATTGGGGTATCTTGTTGACTGGTTAGGAGATCCATAAAGCCGGCAGTTTGATTAAAAGGATTCATGAAAGATAGAATGAGTTTCTGAGTGTTTTAGTAGGGAAATGAAAGAATGAATTTTAGAAAGAATGAGTTTGCGGTTATATAAGGGATGTGTTTTAGAAAGAATGAGTTTATGTTAGGTGAAAGAGTTAGTTAATAGTTAGCAATCAATGCAAAGAAATCTCTCTTCTTAACACAAACTAAACATCAAAGCATTAAACTGAGAAGTAAAACAGAGAGAAAGCAACAAATATCTAGTCAATTATCTATTACCCACTAACAAAACAGAGAGAAAGCAACAAATAAAGAAAAGACAGTTATCTACATGCATTTATTAAAGGACAGCCAATACCAATGACACAATCAATTCTAATCCAATGCATTTATCACAAAACTGACACACCAAAAAAAACTCAAGTCTCACCTAATCTTAATTGAAGAATAATCAATGTTCTAAATGCAGTTAAAGATGGCATTGACTTACCCTAATGTCTGAGCCTGCAGTTATTCTCCAGAGTCGTCCTTGAGCTCCTGAAGCCATCTCTTTTCAAGGCCATGAAGTGATTTTCCATCTGAATTCATAAAGGGGATCAGTGTCAGAACTATTCTTGTGTTATCTCGTGCTGGATTCAAAACCTCTTAACAGATAAATAGCCTAGAAATCTTATTTAAAGAACCAGTCATCAAAATCTGAGAAATTTAGTTATTGTGTATGAAAAATTTGATAAGCAGCCAGTTATTTGGAACCTACCAGGGATACAAGTTTGAAATGAACAATTGTCAAGATCCGATAAGCATCTCAGGAATCTATTAATCTTCTCCTGCGTATAGCTCAGAGAGCTTGCTTGCTCCTCAAACAGAAGAAACTCAACTGACACACATTTATCTGCTGCAGCCTGAAGCAAAAAGACTCAGAACTGAGAAAACAAGCTAAAGCACTAACAAATACATTATTTACACATTTGACTAACCATAAGAGTGTTTCTAGCTTCAGAATCCATATCACTACAGCCATTTTGAAATTCAATATCCCTTGAATCTAACAGAGAATACTTAATCCTAATTTCCCAAATTTAACAACGAAAAACCCTAATTTCTCAAATTCCCGAAACCCTTATTTCACAAATCCTAAGAAATATTGCTCGAAAATACTTAATTAATACAAACACACACACAATCATGTTTCTAATTAGCCAAATAACAAACTAATCAACGAATAACCCATTTTCCCCAAATCAAGAAACTCTAATTTCACAAAAGCTAAGAACCCTAATTTGAAATCCTAAAATACAACAATTCACACAACCAACGAGACATGCATACCTTGAATAATAGATGATTG